TTTTGAAAAAATTGCAAAAAATGTTCAGTAATGTTCAATTATTATTAGTTGAATGACAGATGTTAAGACTCTTTCATTCTTAAAAATAAAGCAGATGGGGACAATTTTTAGAGAGCTAGAGCTTTACAATTCAACTTTTTTTAGTAATAAGGAATTCACGTTCGGTAGATGTAACTAGATTTGGTAACTTTTTTTTTTAAGCTGTGTAACTGCGGACATAATTGTTCTAGTGTATAATGTATTACTGGAATGTCAGAAAGTAAGTATCAAAAATGTGACATGACAGTAAGTAAAGGTCAAATATCGAAAATGTGATGGTTTTGTGGTAATCTGGTGAATCTATTTTTGAACCAAGGAGAAAATCGCATCCCTCTAAAAGCCCAAAGAGCAACCCGCATGTAAAATTTTGAATATTTTCCCTTCACTAGTTTTTTTAGGAGGACAAGCTTTGATGTCATCATCATGGATCCACAATTTCACCATGGATCCGTTCTGGTATATCCATGTCTCATCCAAGAAAATGAAAAGTAAATCTTCACCACAATCACGCAATTGGAGATAGGTACCGCCTTAGAAATTTGATTCTGGCAGCTATAACGTGTTTAAAATGTGAAAAACTTCGCCTTCGGAAACCTAAATTTATACGTGTTTCCATGCTGTATTTAAGGATTTTCTTGAAACGAAGCGTGTTGAAATTAGAAAAACTTCGGTTTTTTTTCCACACAATTCAGATTTGACATTTGAATTAGAAAATTAGACAGTTGATGCTAATCTTAAATTTCTAGTGATCTTAAGATTGCAACTTAACCACAGAAAAGTTTCTGTCAGTTACTTCCAGGGCCGTCTTAACCCGGGGGTGCAAGGGGTGCAAGGCGCCCGGGCGCAAGCGGCCAGCCGAACACTTAAGTGTAATAAAAATTAACGTGATCATCGGAGCGTGGGAAGCTGGGAAGAGAATCCCGTGCATTTATTTTACAATGACATCTAGACCATAGTCCGCACGTTATAAATCTTAATAAAACTTAGTTATGATGTACAAGCCGAAATAGCGGTGAAATCCAAAAATTTAGCCGATGTAGGTATTATTTTATTTTTTTATGATGTTTCGATTCTGCCAAAAACACGTGGGGCGAAATTGACGGCTCTCAGAGCAATGTTAAAGGGCGCCGCGCTGGTAATTGTAAACTATTTCCAAAACATTATTTCGGTAAATACTTTCTTTGATGATCCGTTTTCAAAAATAAATTATACTTTGCCCCAAAGTACAAATTTCTTCATTGGTTTTGCAACACCCGCCGCGAGTTGTTGTCTGCTTCTCTGAAAAAATAGTGAAAAGTGCTCTGAAAAAATAGTGAACCGTGAAAAGTGAAAAAAACTAACTAAATAATATATTGTTTAATTTTTGATTTGCGTTGAAACAAGGAAATAACGATTTTTTTTCAATTGTCCAGGAAATTTATGTATTTTTTTCCGGATCAACATCACGGTGATCATGAATCAGTTACCCACTTTGACATTAAAACCACTGTCAAATACGCAGTGAGAAAGTATGTAGAATTAACGCTCTAACGCTACGTTTTAATATGGAAAAAATGTATGATGCATTGTACTTATTTTATTTTTTCAAATAATAAGTATGATAGCGACACAAGGAACATAGCAAGCTCACTGATGTCGAAACTAAAGAGTTTTAAGTTGATATGTTCAGTAGTTACTTGGTACAATATTTTATCAAAAATTAATATTCTCAGTAAAAATTTACAAAAGTGGGATGTCATTCTTTCAGAGGCCGTCAAAATGCTAGATCAAATCAGCAAAAGTTAGTCGCAAACCGTACTGACACTGCGTTTGAACAGTTGTTATTTGACTCAGTATCAATTGCTGAAGAATTAGAGTATGAAACTGAATTTGTTCAAATTGTTCGTCCACGTCCCCGAAAAAGACATTTTAATTACGAAACTGCAGATGAGCTCATTTTAGACCCAAAGCAAAATTTTAAAATCAATTTCTATTATTATTAATTCGACACGGCAATTGCAAAAATAAATGAAAGATGTGAATTGTTAATACAACATAATAAACATTTTTCATTTTTAGAAAATATAGAAAATTGGAGGAAATCGGAGCTAGAGCCAAAAAACTTACAACAGAAATTAACATATGGAAATAGATCCGATATATATGGGGAAGATCTCTGTTCCATGAGTTAGAATTGTTGCTAATATTTTTTATAAATAAGAACACAACTCCATTTGATATTTTAAGTTATATACATATATTCGAATAATTTACTATCCGCATTTCCTAATCTTTCAACATCTCTACGTATATATTTAACTCTTCCAGTGACGGTAGCTGAGGGCGAAAGATCATTTTCTAAGCTAAAGTTAATAAAAAATCATCTGCGGTCAACCATGGCCCAAGATAGATTAACTAGCCTGGCCATATAAGCATTGAAAAAGAAATAGATTTTGAAATAGTCGAAATAATAAAAAAAATTTAAATCTCGAAAGCGAGAAAAATTGACTTTGTTGTATGAAATAGCACATAATAGTTTTAAGTTTAAATATTCTGATCTGACGTCTGTACTGTGTAAATTATATAATTGTAATAAGATTGTACTGATTGTAATCGTTTGAACTTCCTAGCCACGTGGCTAGGAAGTTCAAACGATTACAATTATAATGATGGTTCATCTATTTATTACATAAACAATGTTGTTTATGTAATAAATAGATGAACCATCATTATAATTTTGATTTTTGGCATATATGAATAGAATATTTAAGTGAATTGCGAAGGTTAACTGCTTCTAGGTTAACCACCCGTAACTTTAGATTCTGGTGTGGGGCTCTAGACTCTGTAAAAACAGAGTTAATTAATTTTTGACAGGGGGGCGCAACGCTGATTTTCGCACCCCGGCGCAGAGGATCCTTAAGACGGCCCTGGTTACTTCTACCGAACGTGAATGCTTATTACTTTATTCTTACAAGCTAAAAACCGAATTTTTGAACAGTTTTAAGAAGCTTTAAAAATTGCCAGTAATAATGTAACCATAGCAACGTAATTAATAACTCACCATCATTTTCGCGGTTCAAGAAAGAACAAGTGACCAGTGCCGAAACAAGCTATAGGCCGAGTAGGCCCTTGCCTAGGGGCGCCAACGACAAGGGGCGCCAAATTCGTCCAAAAATTATGTTGTACCAAGAATTATGTCATATTAATCTTTTTTATTTTGAACGGAAACTCAGAAACATATTACATATTCATACATATTATATACCTATATCCTATATGTATAATCTCGAATTTTTTTCTTTTTTTTATATTTTATCATAGTATCTGTTTTGCATACTTATTAAAAAATATAAATAAAACTGTTCTGTAAAATTGCATTTTTTTATGTATAGAGGAGGGGCGCCTAACGCAAGGTTCGCCTATACCTAAATATTCTCTGGTTTCGGCACTGCAAGTGACATCTGCAGTTCATAAACAAAATGAAACATATAAGAGTATTTTTTAAATCTACTAATTTCTGAAATATTTACATACAAACCACCCTTAACAGACCTAGGACGAGTCCTACTAATGAAATGTTGAAATCGTAGAAGCTCCCACAATTATTCCTAAAAATAAAAATAATGAAACCACATCAATGAAATCCAGTTCCATTATACTTGTTGACACGACTTCAGCTTATACGCGGCAGAGGTTCAAAACAAACCAACCCACAGAAGGAAAACAAATTTCAACGTAGCCTTTCCAATAAACATTTTTCAGTGTATACCGATTTAACCACAAAAATAAAAAAAACGTGCCCTCATTTTACACAAAAAATGTCCTTAATATTAAGTCGGACCATTGAGACAGTCGATGCTCTCCTAAACTGGTTTCCTTCATTTTTTTTCAGTCATCACCAACATAAACAACGCCGACGATACAGACAAAGAATCCGGCTGACGCACAAACTTCACTTTTCAAGAAAATTTTTCCGTAAATAATAAGCATTTTAAATATAACTCCATCCGAAAAACACGTTCATTGTGTGATATAATTAAAGAACGAACGACGGACGCATGCATGATACGTCAATTAACTTGTTTCGGGTTTCCTTCACCGCATATACCAAATTTAGTTCCACCAGAATAACTAAACATTTGCGAGTCCGTTTTAATCGCCAAGGTAATTACCAGCGATGAGCAAAGATGGTTCTTAAACACGGAATTAATTTTACTTTAATTGTGATTATTTAGAATTATAAGTCGGGTGCTAATTGGAGCAACAAAACCAGACTTGCGGTGCCAAAAAATTAAACTACAAAAGTAATCTGAACTATTCGAAATATTCAAAAATTGTAAATTACGACCGGATTCTGTGGCTCGATCGCCCATTGAAGTCGCCACACAATTCACTTCCATTCTTTAGTCATTCGCTGCACTCTCGTTCACCCGGCAAAGTACGAGAAATCAAGAGTAAAGTTGAAGGAATTTGTTAAAAGGTTCTTTTTTTGAAAGTGACCATTGTCCATCAAACGTCCAAACCGAACCAGGTCGCCAGAATCCACACAAAAAACCACTTAGCATAATCGCCGAAAAGTACCATCTCGGTACCGTTTTAATGGCACCCACTGGGTCGGTGGGTCCTCACAGGGTGCTCCATCGCGAATGCGTCCTTCCATATAACGCACGCTCTTAAATAGGGGATGGTGTTAAATGAAAGCAGCATCCGTCCCGTTGGTCGCAATTAGAGACGTTAGTACCATCAGCTGACCTTAACTCGCTCTAGATATCTCTAGAAAAAAATCCGAAAGACCATCACCAGCGGCCACACAAGAATCGTACTTGTGCCAGGAGAGATTGCGGCATCCGCTAACCGGGTCAATTCATAGACTGCTCTAAATTATTCGCTTTATTTTTTACTGGTCTATGCTCCATTAAGCTCCTCCGAATGAAAAGTGACTACTTTTTTTGCTAAGATATATAAGCGTGAGATTTCATAGCTGAAGTCACATTGCAAGTGTCTGCGAACATGTGTAAGCTTCTGGTGTTGGTTCTGGCCGTGGCGGCGGCGGCGGCGACGGCACACGCCGAGACGGCGGACGTCAGTCACGGGATGCAGATTCTGGGCAAGATCGTGAGGCAGTACCTCAACACCCAGCCCGCCGACGTCAAGCTGAGCGATGGGGTGCATTTGGTCAGCGTGAGGAGCGAGAACGACGCGAGGGCCGCCACCGACGATAAGAGCGTGTTTGGAGCGGTGGAGAACTACCTCCAGACGCATGAAGTGAGGATCAAGCTGCCGGAACTGATGCCAGGAGAAGGGTTCGGAAGAGCCTTCAAGGATGCGTTGAACAACATCGAGGGAACTGACGCAGGTAATGAGTGATGTGGCGGAGGAGGTTGGTACTGGTACCTTGGGACCACCGACTAACCTATTTAGTTGTAGTTGTTTAAACAAAGTACCATCATGAATTAATGAAATTACTTCAATCCATGAAAACAAAAATTTTCATTTTCAAAATGGTACTAATATGTTTTCATCGTAATCCATTTTTGGAGTTAGTAGTGTTTTAAATACAATCAAACAACTTAAACAGTACTACGTAGGGAAAAGTGAAGAAGGGTAGTTAAGCTAAACGTACAATACAATCGAAAAAAAAACGCCTTTGATGTTGACTGTTTTAAATTTTGGAAATGTAATTTTAAGCACAATATATAACAAAAAAAAACATTTCTTCCACATTGTTGTACTAATGAGGGGTGATGAGAAATACTATGATTTCAGCTGAAATTATCCTCAAGCATATTTTTACGAATTAATGGTAATGGTTTGTAGAAAATACAGAAGAAATTGATTGCACCTTTATTTTACATTATTTCTTCAATATATTTAATATTATAGAAACAGGAGAGAAAAAATACATACACTCGAAAAATTTTTTCATGAAAAATTTAGTATTCTTTTGGTAACTTTTAGAAATATTTTGACGAATTCAGTAAACATATTTGAAAAACAATGTAAAACAAAAAAGTACTTCGCTTTTAAGTCATTATCTTATCACTTAAGGCCCAGTATTATTTTGCCTTTTTTTTTTCTTATTTTATTGTTTAATTTACTAGATTTATAACCAACGAAATTCCACTTTTTTTAACAATTCAAAATTTCAGAATATTATTTTAATTTTTATTCAATAAAAATTAAAAAAAAAAACTCACACCAGCCAGCTATTTTAATATTAGTCTTCAGTAACATTCTTGAGAAAATACATGTCAGTCCAAAACAAAAAATTACATGTTTTATCTTGCCGCCTACCTCTGAAGGAACACTTACTATAAAACATGAATTGATGTGTTAATGTTAGTTTGTCAGTATCATTATAATTCCTGTTTCGACAAGCCGGAAAAGAATTTTTATGGAATATTTAATCTACTTTATGATATATTATCTGACCATTTCTGTATCGAGAAGGGCTGTTTCTACTAGTTTTTCATTTTTGTACAAGTTATAACAGCAACACTAGCAGAATGGCATGCTATTAAATACACCAAAAATAATTTTAAAATATTCATGAAAAATTCTCAAAACTTATTTTACAAAAAAAAATTTTTTTAAATTGCTTATTTCGCTAGTATTTCATATTTGGAAAACTGGCTTTATAGAACAGTTTATAAAAAAAAAAATTAAAGCAATTCGAATTTTTTTAATAAATACTTAAGAGAGTTAGTTAACTTAACTTTCTCTTGACGTCACGACAGCCAAATTATTACTTTCGTTGATCAACACATTTTCGCTTATTATAATTTTTAACTAAACTCATATTTCCTCAATAAATTAATGTTTGCACTTTTATCAAAGAACACAAATTTAGTAATTGGAGGAATAATATTTCTGCTGAATCTCATAGTATTTTTGGAAAATTAGTTGCAAATTAATTTACCATTTACTTCACGAAAGGAATTATTATGTTCGTCACTTAGCAATATATTTACTTAAGTTTTAATAACTGATAGATATTAACAAATGTCATCCTTAACTACTGAACTATTGCAGTTCCAACGAAGAACAAATTTATTTTACACATTTTACTACAGATTAAGATAAAATAAATAAATCAGCTTAAAAATTAACAAATCGCATCTAAACTATTTTAGAATAGAAGTTCTGTACAAACTGCTTGTTTAATATGTTTAGCAATTCTAAATGGAAAAATAATGAGAACTGAGATGTTTTCCATTGCTTACAAAAATGTGTGCAAGATACAAAAAAAACACAAAACCCTCAAAGTAACAAATACGCAAAACTGTCCATTATCAGAACAAAAATAATCCAAAAATTAAACAAATACATGCATCAAAAATATTTAGTAATAAATATAGAAAATTTATAATTACACTAGGAGCCAATTTTGGCAAATATGAAATCTACATTTTTTATTTACAGTTTACAAACCTTTTAGTTTTTACTAACGTGCACTAAGAAGTTTTACGTTTGGATTTGGCTAAACATACCACTACATTACACCTAGTTTATTTTTATTGGCTTATTCAAAGCATAATAATTTAATTCTTAACAATATTAATTTGTTTGTGTTTTCTCAAGATATTACGTTATTCGTTGAAACGACGTTATTAATCTGCTTATTTTTAATTTCAAACTGTAAACAATTAAAAGTATTTTAAAGATATAAGTATTATATAAAATTTCATACACAAAAATTTTTACAAAAGAGAACCTATCTCACAGATTTCTTCTTCACAACAAATATTTAAAGTTTGAAAATACTAGACACTTTTGACAATAACTGTTACATAAACCAATTTAAATATGTTAAATCTGAATCATAAAAGTGTTGAATATTTCACAACTGTCAACACTGCAAGCTCATCACCCGTCAGTAACAATGTTTGTACAACTTTTTCCCCGATAGCTTCACATCTAAAGATAATTGGTGATCATCACCCAGGCCAAGGCAGAAGCTAATCGCCAAACAAAATTTATCATCATTCCAAAATTAATTCCACATTAAACATTCCAATTAATGCGGACATTCCACAAACATTAATTAAAAAACCAGGTGACCGCAACCCGCAACAGTCCAATCTAACGGTTCACCAATTAACACACTGTAACACCAACACGATTAATTCGACACCATATCAAAGCCAGAGCCCCGATAAATCCTCAATGCCTCTCAAAATTACCAGCGGACATAAAACTAAAAGCTTACAGCGCACCGCCAACATTTTTCTTTACGATCCAATAAAACACAAATTGTAAACGTGCACTTACCTTTATACTCGAAGACTTCACGTGTGTATAAATGGTTGCCTGCATAGTTAAGCAGGTTAGAGTTTTAAACAAGGTATTTAGAGGTTTACCTCTAAATACCTTGGTTTTAAAGACGTCTCGGTAGATGGCACCACACACTATACGACTTAACTGTTTACAGGTTCACCTCGTGGTGGAGGAGGAGGCGGCGGCGGCGGCGGCGGCGGCAAAAAAGGAGGAGGCATGGGCGGAATCTTGATCATGGGTTTGATGATGGGCAAGATGATGGCGGCACTAGGTCTCGGCGGCGTCGGTCTTTTGGCAATGAAGGCCTTGATGGTTTCCGCTTTGGCTTTGATGCTGTCTATCATTATCGGTCTGAAGAAGCTGGTACATTCTGGACACGATGATGGCGGTCATACTGTGATCCACGCCACCCATGGTGGACACGGGCACGAGTACAGGAGGAAGAGAGACGCCGCTGACATGGCATACAGGGCTTGGAGCGCCTACAATTCGAGCTAATGTGAACTAATTTATTTATTTAAAAAATTAAGTGAATTTTGATGTGGACTCTGTGGATCTTGGAGTTACTCTTTTTCTTGTAGAGTCATAGTTTGTTTAATCTCTTTTTTCTAGTAGTATCCGTGTTTTGTTTTCATTTCTCAAAGAGTAACTTCTTGGTAGCGGCGATTTACATTTTTGTAGATCTGGATGAGCCACACACCTTAGAAATTCGCTCTTACCATGCTATTTATTTAATTTATGTTGTTGATTGTGAATGGTCGAATAAAGGCCCCGTAGTAGCATCCGGTTTTTTCTTAACATTGACCCCGATAGCGGCAATTTCTCCATAATCCTTTCCTCTCAAGTTCAATGAATGGTCATTACCCAGAAATACACTGACCCCGATCCACCAGACTGGTTTTATGGAATGAGGAACCCGAGAGAAAAATTGAACTTGAAAAACGCCAACAGGTTCAAGATGAATGCTCTTTTGGTGGGAAAATAGAAAGTGTTCCATCGAAAGATCGGAACCAGCTCATTGGGTCAATTAGTTTAATTCGGATTGCTCTCTCTCATGGTAGCCGAAGGTCAAGGCAAAGCCTCCTCCGATGTGCTGCATCCAACGAATCGAGTGCTTCTGCCGCTCGGCCGGAGGATCGAGCTTTATAAGGATATGATGTAGACCCAGAGACCTACATTTGCGGCGGCCGAGACGAATCGATGGTATGCGAGCTAATGGATTTCATGGGTTGTTTACGAGACGCTAGTTATCAATGAATATTCATGTGACATCCTCACACGGGAAATTTCGGAAGTGATTGATTTGTTCTGCTTGCTTCTGGATGGCCATCTTATGAATGGAAATCGGCAGCTGCAGGAAACGAAACGAACGATTTGCTAATATTAGCAAAAGGTACAAAAATAAAACCGAAGCTAAAGTGGAAACAAAGTGTCTATTGTGCTGTACATAAATATTGACTAAAAGCAAAAGTAAGTTTTAAAACAACAAAATTATTCTGTGCAGAATCTGAAGGTGGAACTTTATTTGACGACAGGAGAGTTGAAACCGGTCTTTTTTAAACAATGATTCGGTTTATACTTTCTACAAACACTACATCAAGTTATCATGCGTGTCTAAAGTTCTTGCAAGCAGTAAATAAACATTTTCACATACTTGATGTTTTTTATAAAAACGAAAGGTTTTTCTGAAGTATAAGAAAAATATAGTACTTGCCTACTTAAATTTAAACTTTCTAAAATTTTAAATTTTCAGTTATTAAAGCTATACATTTTTGAAAACAAAAGTTTCACATTCAACGGTTTTAAGAAGTTTCTAGTGCGTAAAACTGCAGAGAAATAAAAGTGTAAGATTTTTGACTTTAATTTTGCAAAATAATTTAAAACCGATTTTGATGAATTTCCTTCAGACTTTAATGTATAATACAACTTGTATAATAAAGCAAAGTACCTATAACAATTTTTGTATTACTACTTTACCAACAACTATAAGTAGAAATTTTACTAATTCAAAAAGTCTGTCATTTTTATAAAAACTGCTGGGATATCGTAAAATGTCACATTTTCAGATAAAATTATCACGTAATCACAATTTTCCAACTTCATTACTAAACATAGCCTCCGTTTTCAAAAACAGTTCCAAAAATAAAAATTACAAACAAAACACATTGCGCTCCGCAGTGACACGGATATATTCATCGGAGAGTAAAATTCTATTATCATCTCAAATTTGTATGCAAAATAGCCACACACGACAATAAATATGCAAATCAGGATTTCTCCCATTTGTATCATTATTCTAATTTTTTCCCCATTCTGTTACACACAGTCACAGGTCAAGAATGCCAGACATGTGGTTACTACAAGTACAAGAAACTGCAGGGTCAAGGTCTATTCTAAGACATACGTTTATCAAATATTAACTGGGTCTCAGAAGCGAGATCAAAGCAACTAGGCAACCCAACAAACACTAGAAGCACTTTCAAATAGGTGTAAAAATTTTCTTTCTTTCGTATAAATATTTAACTTTGATTAATACAGAAATCGGGACACTTAAGTGGTCCGAAGTAGCAACATATGTTAATTGCTTGTGGAGTTTCAGTGATGAATTTGCTTTGATGTTAATAAAGCAGCTCGAGGGGAAGAGGCGGAGCACTAGAACAGGTTAAACACAAGTCGTACGGATGGAAGGACTACGTCGGTATTTGCTAGAGATATGGCTTCAAACTATAATAAAATTTTTATCTGTTTAATTTCTAACCTACTGTATGTTAGCAGAAATAGTTTGTTATACAAAATATTAGTTTAAGGAATTTAGGCCGTGTTTTATTCATTCACTCTTTCGACCACTTGTGTAGGCGATTACTAGATCCCGGAGTATGTGTTAGCACACATCTAAGTAATATTTTTTTGAAATGACGTCACCAAATTTCAAAAAAATTGACACATTCCTAAATTAGAATCGATGTTCTGTAATAATTTAAATAATAAAAAAAAAAAAGAAGATTACGAAGCTATGAACGATTTTTAAATGGTAAGAACATGAAAATTGACAAAGTGGCTCAACTGTTAGCATATAACAAAAACCATCATCATAAATTTACACACACCACTTCAGTGTTTTAATTTTTGGTCCAGCACATTTTTTAAAAAGTACGAACCTGTTATAACTGGACTCAGACACGAGCGCTACTCTACTTTTTCCCTTTATCTGTAAGAGCTTCAGCGCCCGAACTGTTCGACTAAGTCATTTTCGCCTCGGGGTAAATTTCAATAAAAGCCACGCCTTTGGAGTGCATCTCCTACATTGAAGTAGCTCGTATACACAATCACATTTTCCAGCCATTTCACGTTGAGCAATATCCATTCGTCAAATTAATGGCTGCAATTGCTCTCGGAAGCTTGTTGAACCATTTTAAAAATGCCTTAAAGAAGTTTCGTTTTAATGGAACCATTAAACGTGACGGTTCGATACGCGTTACTTGCAGACAAGACAAATAGACTTAGTTACTACACACTTTTATTTTTGCCGAATTCGAGACGGCTGCCAGAAGATGAATATGAAGTATGAAGTTGCTTTTCGTGAGTTCTAAAAGCCCGCTTCTGCCAAGTCAAATATTGGATTCACCGTCAGTTGGGTTGCGAATTTTCTCGAGAGAATTAGGGAATTGAAAATCCTCAACTGCTGTCTGGATTATTTTACCAGGAGGAACACACTGCACACTTGTGGAATGAAAAGTCGGAACACAGTTAAAGCACCTCGCTTTAAGCATCGATCTCGCCTGAAATTCGAAACTTGCCGGTTTCGCGAAGTTTATCTTGAATTAAATTCTACAAGTTTATGCAAGTAGCTGGCAGGGATCGTAAAATGCATGTGTTGGATGATGCAGCCATGGGATTTATCCTAATCAGTAACATCTCTGTAAGTGGCAAGTTAACAAAGCAGACGTCAGAACTTGAACAAACTATAAAACGTGCAATTAAAGCGAGAAGCTTGAGTTCCTGTAAAGACAAGGATCATTACACGAAAATATCCGTCTTTTACAGACACTACTTAACACACTGAAAAAAAATCAGTTTTAACGAATGTCACTACTATTAGAAAATTTATGAAGAACGAGGGCATTAAAAATATGTTAAAATTATCTTGGATTTTTTTTACGGATTTACAGTTTCTTCAGACCATAACCGATTGTGACGATAGTAGACTCTAATCAAAATTTGACTACTCATCTTGTCTTGCTTGAAATGTTCAGCATGATAGGCTTCTTCACCTGTATCAAGTTTATTAACTGTTCAAGACAGCGTCATAAACTTTCTCGAACACATAATTATATAAATTTTTTAATCTTTAAATGATTTAATGGTTTCAATCCATTTATTTAATACGTTTCAAAGTTGACGTCATCAGTTTAATAGTGGGGATAAATATCTTAGTTTCAGGAATTTCGATGCGGTACCATTTCGGACTGGATAATTAAATGAACTGCTTAACTTTAAATGATTTTATCTACAGTATATTTTATTCATTATAAAGTTCAATTCATTGCAAATACACAGCAATTCAGGGCAACCTCTAGTGAACTACTTAAAAATGCAGAAAAATACTTCATACAACTTCCTCTGGTAAAATTATGTTGGTTCACAGTATCTTTGCAATTTAATTGTCTGGTTACACATAGGAAGTACTGATTAACACCAATGAGAAACCACTTAACCTATTTACTAACAATTGAAAACAAAAACCTACCGTTTTAATGTATCGTTTTTATTAATAATATAAATTAAATCGGCATTAAACGTAATATTGTGTCACGCTGAAGCGTAGGTGTTTGAAAGTGACTGAAGCTTGAAGCGATCACTCAAACTAACGATGTTATTAATTACTAGGCAAAAAATTAATAGACTCTGTTATTGTCTCTCTAAAATATCCGCTTTTTTGCACATTAGTATAATAGCACGACACGTATTCATCATTCAGTACTTTTCTCATTAGTGGAAAATACGGGATGGGAAATTCGCACTACAGTTTCCGTCAGGTATGAGAAATAGATGTCTGTGTCACGACCAGGCCGATCAATACACAATGCTACGAATATAATTAATTGAAAAAGTTACTTCATCACGATGTAATTTTTGCTGGTTAATTTGACAAGAGGCGAGTGAAAAATACAAAGTAATTTGTAAATTTACGCCAGAGATGATTTTTCATCACTACCGATAAGCGAGCGTGTGTAATTTTCTCGCCTCGGAATTTTCCTTTGTCGTTACTAACTTTGGAAAAATACTACGTTTTTATAAAAAGAAAATATATTTCAGAGGAGCGGAATTTTACAAAAGAGTAAGCCAGTTGTTTAACAAAAATCCAAACAGTTAGAGAAAATATTTTCATAAATTTCTCTGCGTTCAATATCATTCATATATTTTTCAAACATAATGTTTTACTTGTTCGTTTCAGTCATTTATATTTCAAAAAAATTCTGATCAGTTATTAAGAGCGCAACAAGTGTATTAATTTCGCACGAATGCACACAAATATTAACATATTTCAAGTTCAGACTAACTGTGTGCAATCTATTATTAGTTTAGGCATTATTCTGCATTCACGTGTCAGTGCATTATAAACAAAGATATTTTTCTGCATTGTGCCCCACAAGGCTTGCCAAACGCATGCCTCTGACATTGTTATAGAAAAAAATTTAAAAGAAAACCTAAGACTTAAAATACGCTCCACTATTTCCATCTCATTTTACCTCCTCATAAACTCCCAAATTCAATCCAGCGAATCGTTGACAAAAAATGTAAATCCTCCCAATTCGTCCGTTCACCCTAATTTATTCAATCAATGCACAGATCGAAAAGCCGCGAGTTTTTGCGTTAAAAGTTCGCTAGTAAAAAAGCTCGAACCGAGTTTAATATTTATGCGAAGGGTTGATGGAAATCGGAAAGAGAACTGATACTAAGGGATGTCGAAGTCCTGAAACGAATTCAGCGAAAGTACATAAACGTCAGTTATAAAATCAAATAATAAAAAGTTAGACATCTGCGCCAACAAACGGCTGAGTTGCACGTTATTGCCGGGCTCAGGGGCGGCGCGTTAGGGAGGTTCGGTTTTTATTAAAAAAAATCCAGGTTAAAACTAAACACGAAAGGGACTATAAGACCAAAAACAAATCGTATACTTATTTTGACATGATTTAGCAAAATTTTTGAAAACGGAGACAAGTTCCTTTATTTTTGTTAAAAAACTAGTGCAGACGATAATTCTTGTGCGTAACTGCACAGCTTTTGGTGAAATTACTGTTAGCCATTACTTCGACAGTAAGCAATTACAGTAATGCATTACGGCCGCATGTCCCTCTCAGCTTTCCACTAATTAACACCTGTTATAATCGCGGAGTGAAATTCGTGTCGTAGACTAAAAACTAAAAAACGAAATAAGCAAGTTCGCTAATCCGGCAAAAAATGGTTCATTTCGCGTTATATTATGATGAGAATGCAACTCTTAGTTTCGTTTATCCTCCGGCTCGCTTTTTTGCCAACAACAGTTATTCAACTAAGCTAACATCCTGGGAACTATCACTTTTAGCCAAAGAACCACGAATCGAGCAATTAACTGGCACAAGATTCCAACGATCATTATCATCAAAAGAAAAATTGCAGAATCGGTGTTGTTCCATGGGTGGGAACGTTCTTTGTGACCCACCTGTTTGTATTGAATGTTAAAGGTAAGTTTACGGTGGAAAAATATGGCCTGAATTCGCTAATGACACCGATAATTTCATGCTAGGTAAGATTTAATAAAGGACGTATTTCTAGTCTAATTGCAGGGCTGTGGCAGTTTTAATTGTGGAAAATTTTCTATTTTCGATGCGAGGAGATATCGTGACGTTTCTGCCAAGTTCAGGTGTTGCGGAAATAGGATAAATAACTAAATGCGATATTTACATGAAGTCCTCGTCAAACTCGCAGTGTGATCGCATTCTGATGGGTTGATGTCACCGGCAGAAGTCCCGTTTTCGGAATGTTTTACATGATGGAACGAATTCTTATCGTCTGCTGCCTGAAGAATGAGAAGGCAATTACAATACGATTTTAGAGATACTTCAAGAAAGTTCTCGGAGTAACGCCAACAAGAAAAAGTTAATAAGGAAAAACGCTGAAACTTGTTAAAAGATTTACATCAATGACACTCTTATCGAAAAAATTCGCGGTTAATTTGGTGAAACTTAATCTGCAATAAAATTAATATTAAAGAGTAATAATCATGTTATGACTTCTTAACCAAAGTCATGTTATGTAAATGTAATCCTAAATAGTAGCATCATCTGTTAGAATCAAAAACCCATGAGTTAAATCCGGTTTGAATATTCCCGTTTTAAAAAATACATTATTTTATAATGAATCACAAAAATTATTGTCTTAGGGCGACAGAAATATTTTGTGAATACGTATTATGTTCAACTAAATAATCTACACACCTATTTAATTCAGAACCAAACAGTTCTACTACTTCTACTCAAACTTAAAGTAATAGTCAAAATCATTTTGGACCTGTTCAAGACAACTATCTTAAAAAAAAATGTCAAAATTAATTTAAATTTAAATGCAGTTTTTAAAAATTTTTACAGAAATTTCGGAGTTTTGTAGCTTTCAAAATTTTCATCAGCGATTTTTGAAATTCTTACAGGTTACATTACCAAAATTCTTAAAATTTCGAAGAATTTCACAAGCTTCACCAATCACAATTTTAAGTAATAGGTGTTTTTCGAAATTTTTGGATTTTTAGTGGCTTTTGAGATTTTATAAAACCAGTATTTTTACATTTGTCAAAAGTTCTATGAAATTCAGTTATTCCATAAGATTAAAATATTTTTAAAGTATTAATAGTAGTGGTACATTATTCGAAAGTTCTAAAAATTTCGAAAATTTCAAAAATTTCCGGAATTCCCACGATTTTAAAGATTTTAACAATTCCATGAACTTCAGAGGATTAGCACTCAAAAATTTTAAAAAGTCTCGAACAAAATTTAGAATTTCCAGGGGATTTTAAAATATCATAGTTTTCTAAAGATTTTCAAAGCGTTAGGAATTTTCTCAAAAATTTCGGATATTTTATTCATTTTTAAGATTTCATCTGAAATTTCAGAGATTTTGGAGATTTAAATGCGGTTTAGTGATAACAGAGATTTATAATATTTTAGAGAATTTCAAAATTTTTAAACTTTTGAATTTAAAAAAATATTTATATACGTTTCAAATTAATTATTATCAAATATTTAACCAAGATTTCTAGCAAACTGGTAAGATCAACGGCATGCAAGAATTTCAACTTTTAAAAAGGTTAAATAACTTCATAAATTATAATATTTAAAACTGTTATAAACTTTTAAAATTGTACAAAATTTCAGACAAATAAATTGTTTCAAGAAATGTTTACAAACAATACAAGCTGTCAAATGCCTGACATCCCAAAATTCATGATTCCGTTTCAACTTTTACTTTTACAACGCTATTAACCTACCCAAACAGAATAACAAATTGAGCTCACTCAAAAATCAACAATGCGAATCCCTCAAGCAAAAACCGTGTTCCCCAAAAACCGCAAACAAGTACTTAAGCATCAAAACCACAAAAGCACATACCCACTTACGTCCTCGTATTTAAATCACTTTTATAGAAAGCTGAAAAAGTCAATAATTAACGCGGTTTTCGTCGAGCATAAGTCAGAGGTCAAAAAAGTATCCCATCGGCACGCAACGCTTTTCTCACATGAATCCGAAATCGAAAAGATCTTGTTTAACAACTTCCTGAGAATTATCTAGCCATCGAAATTGGCAATATAGTTCAGTACCGATTTTTTGACACCGTTACATACAAATACCTTAGAAACTGGCAGCGAACAACAGTTAGCCTTAGAATTAATAACACATTCGGTATGTGAGTGTGTGGATTATTTGACATGGTTTTACTTTTACTGCCCGTACGCAAATGGGAATTAACCCGCATAGCCCAACTTGCAAATTAATCCTAACCACTTGATTAAACTAGTTTCGGTTTTCTTCGCCGACTTTTACTTTTATGATGTGTGTGCTTTATGAGTGGGCCGTGCTCGGAAAGACTAAATTTAGATCCTGCAAATTTAAATGTACCAGCAGAATTTAAATTTTGTCAAGATTATTACCAACACACGTCGCAAGTTTTCTCTAATAACTTTGCTTGAACTTGAACTTGAACTACAATGTTTCCAGTTTTAGGATGTTAGATGCAAAAATAAATAAGTGATAACAACTGCCTTCAACGAAATAAAAAATAAATAAGAGCTGCAGAAAAAACATTTTTTTTATTAATTTTTTGTTTATATTAGTTAAAACTCATCAGAAAATCATGATGTCACACAAACTAATTTCAATCTGGCGACGATTGTTGAATATGCTGATTTTTTTCAAATTGTGATTAAAATTCCGGCCATCAACACCACTAAGCCAGCAGCAGATATCCGTCCGAGTCGAATTTTTTCGCGTGGAATTAAGTATGTCAGAGGACCTACCCTGCATTGTTATCACAAGACAACGGTCAAGATCTCATCGAAAAGAAAGAGCGCCTTTTCACTGATGCACACATATCCGGCACATGAATAAAGTAAAAGTGACTATGACAGAGGATTAATCTGACCTACTTCCTGTGTGTCCTGGATCGGAGTTTCATCATCTCGATACCTTAATTGTTTCATTCCCGAGCCCCCATTATCAAACTCGTCTTCAACTTTTCCCAATTTTGCTTTCTATCAAAATGATGCAACGTGTTCTGGTCCAGGTGTCCCTTTTTTGCGCGAAACTCAGCGAGAGTGTTATGGTTCAGGAACCGTTGCAGGCCAGAGCGGCGAGTTGACCCGTTGACCTCCGTTTCCGGTTCTGGTCATCAGGAGCATGCAGTGTGTAATTGTGGGTGCTACGAAGCGCATAGACATAGACCCTCAGACAGTTGCATATCGCACCGAAAACGAGGTTAGACTATGAGAAAGCGGTCCAAGATATCGCCCCGCGGCCGTCATTATGGTCTCCGAACCCAAATTGTGTTAAGCTGGAAGGAGAAGGGATAAGTCACATATATACGACTCCACCATCTTCGACGCATCACACTCCGATAACGCTCAGTACAATGAAGACGATTTTGTTGTTGTGTTTCGCGATGGCTTCGGCCCTTCCGGCACAAGAAGAAGCCAGGGGCTCCCGCAACGCGGTGCAGACCGAGAACGACCTCCTCGACACGATCTACAACGACTGCCTCCGCAAAGACACCACGAGCTGCCTCAAGTACAAGCTGTTCTCGTTCGTGGACAAAATGTTGGGGCACAAGGACACGATCACGGTCACGGAAGGAGTGCAAATTATCAAGACCGGGAGTGACTCCGGGGCGCCGAGAGCCCTCAACGGAGACGAGACCATCGAAGGGTTGATCCTCTCCAGAATTCAGTCCTTCCTGGAGTCGCACAGCATCAAGGTCGATATTAAGGGCGCCGACATCGTAAACGCCGTTTCCTCGACCGCCCGATCCTTCAACGACGTTCTCGATGACCTTTCCGAAGACGGAAACTCAGTCGAAGAAGGCCGTGGGAAGAAGAAGAAGGCGCAGAAAATTCTCGGGCCTTTGATGGCCGCCGCCGCTCTCAAGGCCGCCGTCCTCGGGAAGTTGGCTTTGGCCGCTATCGCTCTGATCGCCGGGAAGGCCCTTCTCATCGGCAAGATCGCGCTGGTCCTTTCAGCCATCATTGGGCTGAAAAAGCTCCTCGGAAGCGGGGGCAAGCACGTGACGTATGAGGTGGTTTCGCACCCCCAGCACTCGTCTAGTCACGTCAGCAGTCACGAGACGGTGTACGGAGGCAGCGGAGGCGGCGGCTATGGCGGCGACGTCGGCGGCGGCTACTCCTCGTCGGGACACGGAGGCTGGGGAAGGTCTCTCGATGCCCAACAGTTGGCCTACAGAGGGCACCCTCAAGCTCAGTAGATCCGGTGGAGCCGGGCCTGTACCTGCAAATTCTCAGCGAGATCTAGTTCCGGCCGATGTGGCTGTATTATTTATGGTTTTATTTATGTATTTATTAGTCTGTACCGACGAACAAAGACTAAGTACCAGCTAGCTTTAGATTTAGATTAAGTGTTATTTTTGACGAGTCAATAAAGATGTATATGAAGAATTCTCTTTTATTGGGGAAGTGGGACTTGGGAAGGTCAAGGGCTACTTATGTCAAGGCTGCGCACCTGTTGGATGACTTAAGTAGGTGACGCGCACCAGCCAACTGGAGGGGATGAGCTAATTTACAAACATTGAATGGAGTTCTCATTTACACTAAATGAGTTTTTATAAAGTTCTCACCGGAAATTCTTGCAGCGACATTAACTTTTTGCGTTTCGACAACATTGTTTTACTTTTTCTGTGCGAAGTGCTACTTGCACGGACTCTCGCAACCCTTTTTCGAACGTCCCGGGCAGCTTATAACATTTCGACACATTTTTACCCCATCAACTTTCACTAAACCGAAAACCCCTTATACATCCGGATTATTGCTAACCCAACCTTCAATTAAATATTTTTGTTCACAAAGTAAACAAACATGAAAATCCACTCGGTAAATTTCTGAAATCCCCAAATAACTATGTCAGTTCACAACTTTGCCGAAATAATTCATACATGTCGGCCAGGTATTGCTGACAGGTACACGAAGGCATGAGTAACGGCCCATTGTTCGTTGGGTGCATCCAGAAATTGAACATTAGCGTGATTAGATGGGATTCAGAGTAGTTGGAACGCGAAGAATTGGGTTTTCGGTCGATTACAGGTTTGTTTACAAGTGCAATCTAGCGCACCATCCAGCAAGGTTAATGTTAATGTCATCGGCCTCATCATCTGGCATCCCGTTTGATACGGCTTCTTAACAGAAACGGATTTTGAAAAGGTGGAGTTTTATTTATTGTCGTCGGAACGGAAGTATAAAATATACGAGAATCTGAAGCTGTAAAAATTAACATTTCAAACAAAATAAAACCCGAAATTTTCACGCAACTTAGAACTCAAGAATTCAAACGGGATACAGGTGTACAATCTGAAAAATATAAGAATTCTGATCCTTTTAAATCATGAAATGACAAAAAAGTAGGAAAAATAAAAATTGTTCGCAAGGATAAAATTCTGAGACCATTTTTAAGAGAGCATCAAACGAATTTTCAAAGATTCTAGAAAGTAACGTAGATAATAAGACAGCAAAACAATTTACATATTCTAAATGCAAAGTAAATATAAAAAATAACAAAAATAATTGCGAAAAAAAAAGTAAAGTAAAAAACCTACTGCTCTTAAGAATCACAATAAATTTAGTTTTTACTCCACGAATGATAGCAGGGAAAGTATCATTTTGATAAGTTATAGGTTTTTCTTTACCAGCGTCGTCCGCTGTCTGTTCGTTTGTCTTAGATCTATTGGCAACTGAATTTATTAGTTTGAAATACATGTTGTCTACGATTATCGTGAAGGTGGTTAAGCGCTAATAAAAATGTATCTACATAAGTTTTTTTTCCAAATTTTACAAATTTCATAGCTTTATGACAGAGGGCCAGTTTATACAATATTTTATTTAATTAAGTTAATCAGTAATCACAGATTTAACGAGGCGTTTAGTGACGTCTAATTGACGTAGAGTCGCTCACGTAGTATTTTAATGACGTGTTAAAAATTTAATCGCAATCATATATTTAATTGAGCTTCTGTAAATCGGGTCTAAGTCTAAAAAATTTCTTAACATCTAGAGTAAATCTAATATGTAGAGAATTCTGTATCCAAAATGGAAAATAGTAGAATGAATACGCAAAGTTTGCAGAACACCAAAAAAATCTAAATTAAGCTGACAACAAGCTTTAAAGAAGAAAATAGCTTGATATGAAAAAACGTTTATTAAATAAACACTATTCATTTCAAGACTACTCTTCTGTCGAGTCCACGAAACGCAAGCATCATTCATCCGCGGAAATCTCACGCCATCTACCAACTGGCAAACCATCTTTGTTTTAGCGCTCAGTCATCTGACACATCTGACACTATTCGTCCGAAAAAAATTAATTTTCAAACGAACAACCGTTAGGTGGAAAATTCAATCCACGTACTGCGCATTCTGAATGTCGCGCACATGTTCAGGAAACGTTAAAAACACATCCAATTTTCCAAGGCGTCTGTTAATATTTGAAACAGTAAAATAGAGCTGCTACAAACTTAATAAATACAAGCTTGAAATTAATAGGAAAAGTTTATTACGCAATCGTGACAGCAGGAAGATGAGCATTCGCTTCCACTTGCAGCAGGAATTTCTAACGGGCAATTACTTAATGCATGGGTATTACGATTATTCGCATTACTATGATTATGTTATTATGTTTAAAGCAAGCATTTAAAAAACTGCATAAAAAGTTAATTCGTGCGACTACACTACTTTTAACCCAAATAATAACAAAACGAGATTCACGAAGCTTCGGAACGACAGAAGCGGTTGTTCATAAATGCGCACTCGTGCGCACGGAAATTTAGACACGTGATGTGCAGAATTCACATGAGCGCTAATTACGTTGGCTGATGAACAGTTCTTGCAATCTGCTTTGAGTGCTTTGTTTCTGCAAGTTGTATTTTTTATAAGGAGGCGCAAGTGGGTCAGTGGTGGGGTCAAAGTTAGTATGTTTGAGCTTGCAAAGATGTCACCACTTAACTCGGTTGCGTGAAATTTAATTGTTGACTTCACTAGCTTCTGATTAATTGAATTAATGATTATGAACGAAGCGATATACACTGTTAGTAGAATAGCAACAGATTTTTTTATATAGCGCAACCGAAAACTGATGTTTCTTTTATTGCTTTACACCGATTACAGCCAACTCTGAATCACAAAGATTTTTGTCTGTCGTTCTGTATTGATTTGCGAATTCGGTTCAGATGACATATTCTGTATATACATATCATAAGTCTGAAGTCAATACTGCTCAAGTTCTTGGCAAAACGTCATCATGTGTCCTGTTTGTCGAATTCTATGTATTGAAGCCGTTCGTCCTGTTCCGAGCACTTTGAACTATGGGCCCCTCTCGCTCCCCCTCTGGTACAGGGCGCTGGGCACCTGAAAGCGGTCAGTGGGTCAGGACAACAACCCAACTAACTATTTGGTCTCATACAGGGCCGGCTTGAGAAAAAACCGCTAGGAATTTGCTCTTAGTCATTGGTCATCAATAATTAATCCCGAAACTGAATTTCCATAACTTTCTTCATTGTTCGCTCTTAACCGCTATTCGGAATGACTAAGCTGCGGAAATTATTAATTAATAATAGCGCAAATATGAGGTCACGTGCCAATATTAACTGAATTTGCGAACATCGCCTCGTCATGTTTCTTTAAATTTCCTAATTAACTTTCTACCGACACCGATTTTTCTCAATTTTCTCTACATTACGCGTTTTTATGGCTTCCACCAATTGACCTGTGAAATTGCTTTGCTTGTCTGAGGTGTTGTTGTGGCGTGAATTATGAAAATATCAAGTTTAGGGCAAGTCTGAATATGAAAGAAACAAATTTTCGCGGAGAAACGTCGGAATTGGAGTTGCGTTAGGTGACGTAACATTACAAAGTGTGTTATTTTTTCTAATGAAATCCATCTGCAAATTAACATAATTCCACTGAAGAAAGTGTATTAGTGTAAATTTGTAACTTTCATTAACGAGTTCAGCTCGCCGGAAATTTAAATAGCGTCTGTCTGATGCTTTAAATGAATGTTGTGACGTAGAAAATGCACGACGGATTTGGTAAATTAGTAATTAGTGATTAGGATTTTCTCTTAATGATGGTAATTTTTGGTGGCACTTTCTTGATCGGTTACATTCTGATTCGTTTTTATCTAGACCTTGACCTGGTGCGTCCATCAGAGGCAGCGCGACGAAGAGGCGTGAGTCTTCTGAAAGATTTCCTTTCAGGAATTTCAGTTCAAAATATTTATATTATTTTTGGTAACAACTTTGATAATTATAAAAATAAATTTTTACCACTCATAGTTACAAAAGGAAGGAAACAGACAACAATCTCCTGAAAAAACACGAGTCACTTTTGGAACACAATGGCGTGAAGTTCATAGGTCGCCAGAAAAACTGGCAGAAACACGAAATGAATCCAAGTGGGAAGAAACAATAAGTAGCGAAACTGTTGCATAAAAACAAATTACAAATGAGATTATTTGAAAAAAAAACTACAATACTAGAACTCTACGATTCTGCATACATTAATTTGTATTCCAAAGAACGCAGATTTGAAGGATCACATGGAAAATCTATAGTATAAGTAACAAAAAGCGTTACCATGTTACACAGGAGAAAACCGAAGATAACTGGGGAAAATCCATTTTCTATGGAACAACAAACTTGAACTAGGAGGAGGTTACGAATAAGAACTTCGATAAGAAACTGACTGTAACTGTACCCCAAAGAAGAAATGAAATAAATCCGAATTACAAACAACTAAAGAAAATTTAAAACAAGAAAAAATCTTAATTTGTGCAAAACAATTTAGAAGAAGTGGAGCTTGAATAATAATAAAGGCAAATTTTGTCAAATCATAGTCTTTACAAAAATTATGTTTCAGTTTTAACAAAACCGTTAATATTCAAAAGGAGGCAGATTATCTAAAAAAAGAATAAGATGAAAAAAAAAATTAAGTACAAGCCTCACAAACCATCACCAAATTGGAAAGTGTACGTATTATTGTACATTGCACATCGTGGAAAATTTCATTTTTGAAAAAGTCGTTTGAAAATTCTCCAGAAATTCAGGATTATCAATCTTGACATACTGATTCCAAAAATGTAGCGTGTTTAGGGTCACGGAGTATTATTTTACAAAAATTCGGTGTGAAATTCGCATTTTTTGAAATTCCAGAAAATGCAGTATTTCTGGAAAAACGGTTGGAGTTGCATAGTGGAAAATTTCATTTTTGAAAAAATCTCCTAAAAATCTCAAAAAATTCAGGGAAATAGATCCCAACGTGCTGATTCCAAAAATAGAACGTGTTTCGGGTCACGAAGTATGGACGATTCTGGAAAAACGGTTGGAGACTTCTGCGGCCCGAAATCTTCAAGAAAATGTATTTAGTTAAATTTCTAAAATCCTCGAAAATGGATCGAAATTTGCATATGGGTATAGATAGAGAAAAATTTCATTTGAAAAAAGTCGCCTAAAAATTCTTAAAAATTAAGGCTCATAGACCATGGCATGCTGATTCCAAAAATATGCGTGTTTAGGGTAACGAAGCGATATTTTCGAAATATTCGGAGTAAAATTTTGATTTTTTGAAATTTTTCAAAATTGCTATATTTCAATGGGCGATTCTGGAAAAATGGTGAATTTATCGAAGAAATGAGGCCGGAAGTGACTTCTGCGGTCCGAAACTGGCAAGAAAATTCGCTGACACGAACAAATCGCTAATCCGAACACACCTTTTTTTCAATTAATTTGGATTATCGAGGTTATATTGTGATTTGAAAGAACCTCGGGGAGTACCTGTGGATCTTGTTTATGAAGTAATTTGACAGAAGTTTTGGATATATTTTGTGTCCTGTTTTCGAACCAATTTGAAAGAATCCCGGAGACTCTTTATGTTTTGTTTTTGAAGTACAATATATAATTTGAAAGAATCTTGGAGTCATCCTGTAGATCTTATTTTTGAAGTCGGTTGGAAGAATCTCGGGGATTCCTTGTTTTGTTTCACAAATAATTTGGAAGAACCTTGTGTTTTGTTTTTATAGTAGTTTGAAAAACTCTCGGGGATACCTTGTCTTGTATTTAAAGTAATTTGAAAGAATTTCGGAGACTCTTTGTATTTTATAGGTTTTCAGGGGTGTGATTTTGTTTCTCGATCGAAGTGATAAATTAAATGTCATTACCTAGCTTTTAAATGCAAAAGTTTCCCATCAAAAAATTGATTACGTCATAGCCATAACTATTACATCAAAAATCCTAACCCACGCTGCTTAAGCAATACTCCTTATTTAGTTAAATTTCGAAAAATCGTCAAAAATCGGTGGAAGTTTGCATAATTGTGGAAAATTTCATTTTTGAAAAAGTCGTCTAAAAATTCTGAACAAATTCAGGGTTATAGATCCCGACGTCCTGATTCCAAAAAAATAGCGTATTTAGGGTCATGGAGCCATATTTTTGAAAAATTCGGTGTGAAATTTGAGTTTTTTTAAATTTTTAAAAATTACGATATGGCAGTGGGCGATTCTAGAAAAACGGTTGGACTTATCGAAGAAATGAGGCCGAAAGTGACTTTTGCGGCCCGAACTTGACAAGGAAATGTATTTAGTTAAATTTCGAAAATCGTCGAAAATGGATCGAAATTTGCATAAAGAGGTTATATTGTAAAACAGATATTATATAATCATTCATTATTACGCTATAAGCACTAAATGTAAACTGTCACGTGTTTGTTTGAAAATGAATTTAGTTCAAATATATTCGCCGTGGAATTAGTATTCTGAATTCTATTTATAGTTTTGGAATTAATTTCGTGTAAAATTGCCAAGTGTGAAATCGGCAGAATAATAACCACACATTTACGAATAGCAGAGATGGATATCACGTTATGCAACAAATTGTTTTGATTTAATTAAAGTAGGAACTGTGGGAAACTTTACCAGACTGACACTGAATCGTTTTACAGAAACACAGAATATTGAATATTGAACAGCAGATAGTTTGCATACACTTCTCTAAATAAATGTCTCGTTCAACGTTTTGCTTTTTTTTCTCCTTAGTACATTTCTTCGTAGTCAATCGTATTCCTTCTATTCCCCAAAAATTTCTATTACAATATCCGCTTGATAAGTAGGTATGGTTTATAGCTTTTTATATACTTATTAAACTTACTAAACAACTATTTTTAACAAAAGTACCATATTCTGTTTAAATATAAACTTTTTTTATATCTATTTTTTCTCATTAATAAATCCAGTTAGTTTTAAATCTGTAAATATGTCTTAGTTGCCATTTATAAATCTGGAAGCATTTTTAATTTAGTTCGTACAATGACGAAAAATCAATTCGCTGCCGAAACGTCGGAAACTGCATTTCCCAAGCGAAAAAAGACCACTTACGTTCCTTGCTACACAAACACCAATTTAAATCAATTTTCAGCCAAAGTTGATGTTATTTTTTTATTTCCCTTTCTGCTTTAATTAGCCATCCGTATTCCGCTTCCATAGCGGCCCCTACAGCGCCATCAAATTAACGCAAGTGTGGTATCAATCCTGCGAACAGTTTTCGCATTGAGTTTACTAATTTAGGCCAGAATTGAAACGAATCCTCGTCAGTTTCCGGCCGAGGATCTTGAACTTTTCGTCCCTGAACTAGACGTCGAGAAACGTCAATCGGCGAGATCTGAATTACTTTCGAATGTGCTTACGCATCGGAGAAAGTTTACAACTTGCGGATCCGTCTTCGGTGTCTTTGCGCATGAATTAGCGGTGAATCAGAAGCTGGATCGGCGGCCCACCCTGTGGGACTTTCTAGTGGTTAGGTTTTCGGGTCAGGGAACCGTCATGGGCAAGGGCGATACGGGTTTCGTGGTCACCGCGGAACTCTTCCTGGAGTGAGCTGAAGCGAAAAAACTACCAGTCGAAGGAGACCAATATGGTTTAGTTTGGGAAAATTCAGAGTAAAAAGCGTGGGGTGCTTGATATTTTAAATATTACAATCATTCTATTGGCAACTATCTATGAGAGGATAGTTATGAACCGCAGTAAAATGCACCCCACGCTTTTTACTCTGAATTGAATTATTCTGTTAATAACTTAAATTTTATTATAATTTTAATTTGAGGTGATTTATTATGATTGATTGTTTGATCTTCTACTACTGTAATATTAAACTCTGTCATTAAAAATTATTTTCTAGTTTTTAGTTCTATTAGCAATAAAAGCGTGTTTTTTTAGTTTTTTAAACTATTATTTATTTTTCATTTTTTAGTCTGCGACAAATTCATAAATTGGGGAATTAATTACTTATTTAGATTTTTCTAGAAAGAAACACTCAGTGGTCTCCGTAGGATCGAGGATCCTGGCGGTCCTAATAAGGATAATGGGAAACTGTTATCAAATTATTGCATTGTCATCGATCCTTGAGACGTGTGCAAAGTTTCAAGATGATCAGACTTTTAGAAACCGATGAAAATTAAGCTCAAAGATTCCGTTACATACATACATAGATACAACCCAAGCTAATAAAAGCGTGATAAAAAGAAAAAACCTCTCTGTATTGTAGCATTCTTTCTACATCAGTCCCTTTTCAACGTACTTGCAAAGTGCATCAAGACTTGAAAAATTGTAATACAAGGAATGTTGCTGGAATGCTGTATTTTTATCTCATTTTCTATGCACACTATGCACACCCGCGACATCTGAAAAAACTGACAAATAGCGACGCGTTTTGCGCTCCGTGTTGCCATTTTCTCGGATAGAGAACTCAATTCAATTTTATTTTCAGTTCATTTCTTTATGCAAATTTCAGTCGGAATGTCAACTACCTTATTATTCAGTAGACATGTCAGGGAGTATAGTAATTTTATGATTTTGACTTTTCCAAGTTAGCCAACAAAGAGAATCTTAAACATTAAAAAAACCGATCCTGATTAAACGAAACCAAACACAATAAACAGTCCTTGTTTAAGTTTGCATTTAATAAGGGAGATTATTCGTTGACAGGGTAGTGAAGAGATCAAAGTCATAAAACCACTACATTTCTAACCAAACTATACAACGAAATTAAAATATAGTTTTTTATTTTATTATTTAGCTAAATTCTGTTTTAACCCACTTAAGATAATTTACTATAATAAAGTTTTATTAGAAAACTTTCAATACTCAGCTCCAGTCGTGGAAAGTAGTAGCATTCTTAATAACTCTAAGTCAACACAATATAATAGGCAATTATAACTCGAAAATGACATATTGCTTCCGTACGATGTTAATAATCTTGTGCCATAAATATAGCCTATACTAATAATAAGAGACAGTTAATTCCGAGGCCGTATACAACCAAAACAGTTTTAAAATTAAGCTCAATAAAAATGACTAATATAATAACAACAGCTTCCAAAGTGATCGCTAAACGCCGAGTTGCCCATCCACCTAATTAAGAAAAATCATTAACAACCAAAGAGAAAGCCTTACTTTCATAATAAACCCTTTCAAAAACCCAAAACTAGGTCAAAAAAAGCAAATCCGGCATACAGTACAAGCATCCACCATAATCTACCCACCAACACGAGAAAATCTCCTTAACCTCCGAACCTCATCAAATTCCATGACCAGCACGTGTCCGCTTCCTATAACCGTTTCCTAGTCCAGTCCTGCACCTGTAAGTAGGTGAGGGCCACCTGTCCCCTCTTCGGCCGCGTCGCGCCGTCGTGATCCACTTAAACCCGACTTAAGTAATCCTCCCCCCAAAATCTCAACTTTAATTGGCATTCTTCCACAGTTTTGCTCCACTTGCTTCAAGCGTCTGCATTCGCATGTTAATTGGTCGGATGCATCGCGGCCATGGGCTGTAACGACACGTGATGCGTCCGATCTGTTTTTCGTCTCGGTCAATGTCACGGCTGAAGAGTGAGGGGGTCTTCTTGTACTGACCGCAGAGGGGATTAAACCTACCACGAAAAGAAATTCCAAAGGTGGGACCGCGCTATAAATACTACTACAAGTGAAATTATATCAGTTACCTGCGACATGTTGCTCAAGTGTCTCGTTCTGGCCACGCTCGCCACCGCCTGGGGGCGCTCAACCGCCCCCGAACAAAACACCATCCACGAAACCCCAAGGGCGCAAGAAAATACCTTCTTCGGCGACCTGCGGTACGTCTACAAAGTGTATCAGGAGTGTGCCGCCAAAGATCTGGGACCTTGCTTGAAGCTTAAACTCATCTCGGCGATAGACAGAGTGGCCAGGAATTACGCAGAACTACCCATTTTTGACGGGGTCGCTTTCGTGAAGGATCCTAAAGCTGTAACCCTCAACGAAGTCAAAACAGAGGAGGAATACGAATCCACCCTTCCTAGAGCTTTGAACGAGAAAGACACCGCCCTTAATTCAATCATCTCGGACAAAGTCGCCAACTTCTTCGACACACACACCCTACAGGTACGCCTTACACCCTTTTAAAGTCGAATAGACCTCTGAAAATTTTAATTTTTTTATAGGTCAAGCTACCCTCAGCGCTAAGCGAAGAGAGCCGTGGCAAAAAGGGAAAGAAGGGAGCCGGTCTGCTCCTCATCCCCCTCATTCTCGGTGGTACCTTGGTGCCCTTGGCCCTCGGCGCCTTAGCCCTTCTAGCCGGTAAAGCCCTCATCGTCTCCAAACTGGCCTTAGTTTTGGCGGGCATTATTGGTTTGAAGAAGTTGCTCGGCGGCGGTGGCGGCGGCGGACACGACTCTGGTCACGAAGTGGTGGTGGCCAATAGCCACGGGTCTAGCTGGGGGCGGTCCTATGACAAGGAGCAGGCCCAGAACCTGGCGTACAGCGCGTACGCGCCGCAATCGTCTTAATTTATTTTTTATTTATTTATTTCTATTTATTGTAATATTTCAATAAATTGTTTGCGTATTATCTAAGAGTTTTACTTTCGATCTGGTCGATGTCGCCTCCGGGTGTCCGAAGTAAACCAGAGCGTCGACCTGATATCAGTCATCTTGATCCGTTGCTCATCATTCGAGAAATTGGATTTGTTATGGCAGTGTAATCACGTCTCAAATGGAGCGTTTGCAAAAAATGTACTTTCGCTGAGGATTATGTGACTTAATAGATGGATGGTGGCATAATTAATGTAACTGAGGTTTGATGATAGAAAGTGATAATTAGTTCCGTTTGGTGTTTGACTGTGAAGAGGTCATGATCAATGTGAAGTGGAATTAATTAGATTTGTCATGGGTTTTTGTTAATTAGATGGGATTTGAGATTGCATGTTTAAAGCGCACCAATTAACGAGCCGTGAAAAGACGATTTAAAATAGATTTAACACGTTATAATTTCGTGAGAAAAAAAATGTCGAGATTTAACTTAGTTGCCAAATTTTGCTAGCAAGGTCAGGGTCTAGATGCTCACGTGCCAGAAGACATAGCGAGACATCTGTCACGGTTTATTTGAAGCCGGTCTTGTTGATACAGCTATTAATATTTAAAGCCCGTTTTATGACTTCGGAATAGAGAGGTACAGGTGAATGGTCATAAAAATTAATGACAGATTTTATACTAATGTCACGTATACAGCAAGTAAATTAGGACACTACTTACACATAACAAATGTCTAAGATTGTTCGAATTTCTGTGTGTTTTTATATTTATGGAAATGAAAGTGACTCATCAGTCTTAATAAAGATGTATTATTTTGTTCTGCTGACCAAACAAGCAACCCCAGTATCTAGTTCAATAGTTGAAGATTTTTCACACAAAATTTGAGAAACTAAAATTCTTTTTATTCGACACCCATTATTTCTTTAATTATATAAGTGACTTTCTTAAATTGGAGTTTTATTGGAAAAACAGAAATTTTCACTAAAAAAAAATATCCCAGTTGCAAATCCAAGTGCGAACTCAAAAATATTTAAAACTACGTTCAGTTGGTCATTAGTACTTATGATAGTAATTCTGAAAGTTTCAAGTAGGTATGCATAAATTACGACAATTATGCATATTTTTATAGGTTTTAAAATATTGTTACAAATAAACCCATACGCCGCCCCGGTACGACGCCTATGGGTTTCTAGTATCTGCAGCGGATTAGTGAGTCATTCTCACCGACGGCGGCGCGGAAGTCGCGATGGGGACTCCACAACAACCTCCAAAGCGGCGATCTCGAACCCTCTAGAAGTCCCTAGTAAGTTAAAGAATTTAAGTCTAGTCAAATCCATTCCAGTGGAGTCTGAATATTCTGTACATCTCTGCATAGTTAGTTGTGTAGTTTACCCATGCCGATTTTAATACCCATAAATCGTAACAATATATGAAACACGATACTCAATTTTTTCTCAAATTTAAGTTTTCCTACATAATATTACGTAAAACGAGCACAATTCTTTCACAACTTGGAACAAGGGCCCTCGTATTTTAGGATTTCGATTAGCCAAGAGAAAACAACTAAAGTTTTATAAATAAATGAGCTCTCGTAAAAAAATTAATAAATTTAGAGTTACAGGATGAATAAAGTAACTTCCAATTATTCTTTTATTTTCAAAAAGAAAAGCTTAACAAACTTTTATATCGACCCTACTCTGAAAAGAATTATTTTTAGATAAGTTAAACTGGATTTAAAAACTTGATCTTAATAAGGTTAGTAAGCTGCAATGAGAAAAATGAGATAAATTAAGAATATTAAATGAAACGATATGAAGCGGAAGAAAGAAGGAAAAACGTCAGTATAAGTAGGCATAATTAATTAACCAAGGTAATGATGACCAAAAGAAAAAGTAACCGCAATAGAGACGTAGATACAAAGAAAGGAAACAACCCAATCGCAAAAAGTTGAAAAATACACTAAAACCATATCCCTGAAAAGCACCTTCTAGAAACTTTTAAAAATTACCTTTGTCGTTACTAAGTACTATAAACCAACCACAACGAATTAATCTACAAAATTTTTCAAACCTCATTAATTCTGCTTGCACCACTTAACCCACTGTTTCAAACTGCGAGCATTTGACAGTTAGCAATAAAAATTTCGTCCAAGCAAGAGCTCTCGTACGCCGTTGTTAAATATTTATTCAAACGCTCAAACACTATCAGAAAAAATCTTCTCGAGACCGTTACAAAACAAAATCTCACCATTTTTAGGCCAAATTTCACAAAGTTATATTTAACAATTCCAAAATGCAAGCTCATTAAACTGGAACGAACTCTATATCATTCTCTTTCGAACGATAATAAATATTTATAACTTCACCTGTGCGAATACATTTTTTCAAAGTCCCTACTTTGTTGAGAACTTCAAACCGTCATTTTTAATGAACCCTCTTCTCCTTTGAGACGAATCTGAATCTGAATTTTAGATTAAATTGAAGGCTGTCGCATTTAATGTATATTTTGTAATTAGTAATCACGAGCAACAGATGGGCAAGTGCTGTAAAAAATATGTTATCAGACCCTCATCCTTTACTCTTTTAACGGTTGAAACAGTTTCACCCAATCGCTACGCCAAATATGCCCAATTTCCACCTATGCAAAATATCGCTATTGATTTTCTTCGGCGAGGTATAAAAGTGGTCACGTTCCAATACAACGTGCATAAAAATGACACTCACGACGCTCAGATAATTATACAGGCAAAAGAAAAGCCAATTTTCGTGTCCAGACGTATTCGAAGTTATAAGAAATATCGACAGATCTAAAATGGGCTTATTTCTCAAATAAACACAGTATATTCCGTCTTGGCAGGTGCAATTTTATTAGCTGTCAAGACCACAAACAGCTACCTCACGTCTCACCAACGAGATTAATTAAATTTTTCCGGGGATTTATGAAAAGCACTAAATTCTCTAAATTGACTCGTTGACGTTTAATTGCCTGGGAAAAACCAAACTGAAGCCGAGTCAAATATTGCAAAAATGTGCGCTTCCGCTCCGCAAACCAATCCATCCAGACTTCAAATTACTATAAATGTCAATTGTACATGATCATTACACGCAAGTTAACTAGAACATACACCGTCATTAAACTGACACAGATATAATAAATTTTTTTTTAATGGTTAGTCCTAGCTTGCGTCTCCTGATATAACCAGGACGCGTTCATCCAAGGATCACAGTTTGTCTACATGTCTCAGTGTAACAACATGAAGGTTTGCGTGATGATGATGATTTTGGTGGGTGCCATGGCGGAAGATCTATTCGAAGAAAAGGTTTACAAAGATGCGGTATGGTTCGTTAAGGAGTGCGGAGCCAAGAGTTTGACATTGTGCCTGAAGGTCAGTATTTACCAAAAAAATCGAAATTTTAAATTTAAAGCTTCTAGTGATTGTTAGCACGATTTTAATTATTTTATAAGAAATTTGATAGTTATACGGCCAAAGCTAATCATTTTATGTTTCTATATATATTTTTTTTTTAATTAAATACTCGAATGTATACAAATTTTGATGGATTTTTCTATAAGGGACTATTTAATTGACATCATTAACAAAAACCAACAGAAACCAGAAGGGAGATATGACAAAAATGTTTGTGTTTGTTAAGAAGTTCCAAAATGTGTTTCTATTTAGAACAAAAGGCAATTATGTTTTTTTAATATTTTGAGATATCTGTAATTTGGTAATTAACAATTAATGAAATTTGAAATGAAAATTTGTCCTATTATATTTGTTATTTTTCCTCTACAGATTGTGTTAGATTTTATAAAAAATTCATTGTTAAAGTTGTTCTACAAAAATTAACTTATTGGTTTCTAAATTTGAAGAATATTTAAAGCAACAAAAGTTTCGCTACGAGATGCTACATGAAATGATCTGTTTAAGAAATACGCATCTAATGAACTGGTTTACACTTCAGAGTAAAAACAACTAACTTTCTTATTTCTTGTGGACATCGTATCTGTAGCTAGTTTTTAGTAGATCTTATTTTCAAAAAGAGAAATCAATTATGAATTTTTATCACAATGTAAAGTGGGCTGACAGGTATCTCAGTGGGACAGGACGTCAGTACCAATTATCACGTTTATAGTTAGAAAAAATTTTCTAATTTAACCAAATCCCTATCTGTTGTCGTTTTTTAGATCTCAGTAGTTGTACTTGAGTAGATTTAAAGATTTTAACTCGTAAACCTCCAATTAATTGTCCTTGTACTTAAATTTCGTTTAAAATTGTGCTTGTCATTTTCTACGAAAATTTTACGTTTCATCTACAAGGACTGTTGTAATTCACGGATTTAGAAACATAACTACGAAATTAAGTTTCTGTTACTTAAAAAATACATCTGACCAAAGACATAGTTCATAGACTTTCTTACATTTATTTGCAAAATAACCAAAGCGGTGAACTGAAATGGGTTAATCTTTTTATAATTTTTAGAATTTCTTCTGCCTGTTTGTGCACGTTCAGTTAATATTTAACTGAGACCTCAAACACCGCTCACAATTTAAACAAATAATTTTGAATGATCAAATGTTGTAATATAATGTACATACCCCGGGCGGTACAATATTATTACAACATTTGCGGTGAGGAGTGGAAATTGCTTTGCAAGATTTTGTTCTACAACAATAGCGACCGACACAAAATAATATTTTGCATAATACATTAGTAAAGCAAAATATCTAAAGCTGCTATCGTAAAAAAGAAATAAATAGGGGAGAGCTTTCGGATGATAAACGTTAAAAATAGCACTTCGTTAAATAACGGTTGTCGCCCTTTTTATACTGCATTATTCATAAGATAATATTCACTGTAATGGATGTTTTCCGAAAAACTTTCTCTTACTAGATGTAGCGGAAAAGCAATCACATTTTAATAAGAAAAGTGAGCACATCTTAAAATATCTGCTGTAATGCGTTTTCTTCTTCCAAGAAAATATCTAATTTATTTCGATTGAATCCTCCAATTCTTTCAAGGTACCTGCTACTTGTATATAAGAAATAAATTACGCAATGGCGAATCAACAAGATAAGGTTTGTTAAGGGAAAATAAAAATAACTGTAGTGCTTCCACTTTCTTCAGAAATGAGGACAACTTTTATTTTTTTAATATGTAATTAACTTGTCTCCTATGGAAAAAATATTTTTGTTTCAGGTGAAACCGAAAGTGCTGCGATCAGTTTGATAATATCTCTAAAACTACTTTCTTTGTGAATTTTTGTCGCATAATTTATTTACTACCAACAAATAACAAGTGAACTGATCTGACAATGAAACGTGGTACACAATTATAATTTTTTTAAACAAAATTCGACTTTTAACTCAAAAATACGTATAATTAATGATTTATTACTATCAAAATAAACAGTACAAAATTTTACAATGTGGCACTTTGTGTGGTCAACGTTCTCAAACAAAAACGTCTGTCGTCAAGTACAGACAGGATAAGGAAATCGATTCATCCACTTAACCATCGTTGCGGTCACTACCATTCTTATCTAACCCATTATTATAAATAAATTTAGAAACTCATCTTCAATAAAGTGGGACAAAAAGTAGATGATAATAAGAAATCCACAGACGGCTGTCATGGTAAAGTGCCCAAAGAAAACGAAACATTTTTTACTCAATATTACATATCATTAAACCGTGACCCACATGTGCCCCTGGGTGCTTTAATAAGTGTCATTTGTAATAAAATGTAATAAAAGAAGTACGTGGAAAATTTACGTGTTTGACTAGAATTTCTAGGTAAATATTAGTCTTTGTTGGTCGACAGCTTAAAATTAACGTTCCCAGATATTTGGGAATTTTTTTAATGGATTAGAGCAATTTTGTGATTACAGTGTCGGTTTGAATAACAAACATTATTTACAATTTTTGGGAACAACCATCACGCAACCATCTAAATCCATCCACTTTTTTCTTCTTACGGTACACTACTGTAACAACAATATCGTGTCTTTTCCACTCCCGTTACAATTTTTTCCGCAATTAAATTAACAGTGCCCCGTCCAGCGGCTATCACTATAAGTAACTGTTATCAAAGTTAACTACTTAACGCTGTTCTATGACTGATTTAACTGTATTACATAATAGACGAACACCGTTTCGGCCATCTGTTATCGAATAAGATCACACCTCATAACCTCCCAGGCTCTGCACAAATCATATTTTTAAGACTTTGTTTTCGTTGCAGGAAAAAGCTCTAAAATTCATAGAGCGACTTCCGAACAATATCGACATAGGAAATGGAATACGAATCAAACAAAGTGATTCGGACAGAGTTTCAAGAGAATACAGTTCAGTAAGGCTTCCAGATGAGACAAAAGAACGCGAAGCGGTAATCGACAGGGTGTTAGTGGAACGGATTTTTGATTATTTAAGATCGCACACTCTGGAGTTGAAAATACCGATGATTATACAAGCCGTGAACGAGGAGTCCGAGAATTCACTAGTAGAAGGTAACGCAAGTTTATGTATCTCCTACAAATCAAAATGTTTTTATGGATTTCTGAGTCTATATCCCGAATAGGTGAACTGACTCTATGACGTCACCTCACTCTTTTAACACTCTAATAAATAAACGTTTTTTTGCAGCGGCTCGTAAGGAGGGCGGAGGCGGCCTCGGAGGCTACGGCGGCGGAGGCGGCAAGAAGGGCAAAGGCGGCAAAAAAGGCGGCATGGGTGCCATGATGATGATGTTCTACATGAAATCTGCCATGATGTATGCCATAGGTCTCAAAGCTATCGGTGCTATAGCTTTTAAAGCACTGATTGTAGCTAAAGTAGCGCTCACGATTGCTACGATTGTTGCTCTCAAAAAGATCGTCGATTCGAAGGGTTCCACGTCGACGTACGAAGTCATAGCCCACTCTGCCCATGATCATGACCACGGCCACGACAGGGTGTACACTCCGGCAGATTTAGTTTATAGAGGTTACAGAAACGGTGTTTAAAGGTTACGACCTTGACGAATTGTCAAAACATGTGTAACGGTGCTTAGTGAAGTAGTTGTCCGCGTTTATGTAGTTTTTAGATCACCTCGACTAGTACCTGGATTGTTAGTGAGTTTGTTACAGTTTTATATTTTTATAATTGGTTATTTATTTGTTATTTATTTAAAAAATAAAGAAAATGTGGAGTAGATAATTAAGTTGAAAAAATATATTGTTTTGTAATTTTGTATGTATATATGGGTTTTTACAGACAAACACTTCAACAACTAAATAACTATTTTTCCACCAAACGTTATTTTTTATTATTTGTTTGGATTTGTGGAGTCGAGGTTTGCAAGGATTCAAGGCACAAAAATAAAGGACACTCGATAAATAAAAAAATCCACTCAAATGGTAAACCAAATTGTAAGCATTTTTAAAGCAGAAAAGAGATGGAGATGAAACAATGGGAATTTGTGGCTTCTGCGGATGACACTAGATGTAAAGTTTCTATAACAATAATGCCAATATCAGATTCGAAAAAATGGTACTAGCCATTTATTCCACATTACCGACAAAACCGACAAGTTATTAACAGTGATTAGAATGGAATAATTAATCACTAAATAAGTTTTTTCATGTCAAACACAAGCCGACTCTATATAATAATGAAACACACTAATTATTTCCAGCTTAAAAAATACTTCTCTCTAGTCTAATTTTATTAATTCAATTCACACACAAACCCAGGACACACTTTCCGTGCCTGTCCATCACTGACCGCTATCAACATGACATCCACCCATAACTCGAAAAAAATTACACGAAATTGTCTTCGTCAAACACACAACAAGACAATTATGCAAAACCGTCACGAATATCCAATTACAGTTACTCTAGTTACGTTCAACATCCGAAAACAAAGATCGACCCAGAATTGTGCAAATACCCAAAGGCCCCAATCATACCAACAATAGTCTTCATTACCCATTGTCGTCCGTATGTAACGTCTTCCACATCTCCCATACGTGTTTCATCCTACGGCAAACTAATTAACATTTTGAGGAAAGCTGTGATGAGATGCACTTCATTAAAAGGCAATGTTTACTTGTGTGTCATATCGGCAGAAAGCGTGCTCTTAATCAAAACGGGAACGGAAAATTGATAGTGAAGCGTAGCGGAGGCGTATGTCATTGTTTGGGGGCAAAAATCGGCTCGATCCTTTTTGCTGAGGAAGTCTAGTGTGGAGGAAACACGGTTCAGACGTCAGAGAAAGTAATTGTAAAGATTCTATCTTGACACGTTCAGTTTAAACAAGTGGGGTATTTGAGATGGGAGGGGTGGTAAATTTAATTAAAAGGGGAGCAATTACAAAAAAAAAATCAAGTAGAATGGGGAAAGAGAATTTTTACTTTAGAAGGTGTTGTTTGTTGTGTTTTAGTTTAAATAAGTCTTTGAGAGGTGTCTGGTCGTTTACATGAGTTTCACAACAAGACCATTTTAAGGTATTTGATAAGAGAGAAGATGGCAACAATGAGACTGGTTGTTTCTTTTTACTTACTTACTTGCAATAATTAAGGAAAGTGCTGTAACAGCGCTATTTTGACGGATAAGTAGTTTCAGATTTTCTCGACGCTTCTGAGTACTGGTTTCTGGTTTCGTTTATCTGTCTGCAGTCTAATCCACATCCGAATCGATATAAACCTTAAAATGTCCATTCAACCCCTCCACAAAATTGGTGACGCCATCTCCTAAATTATGACATTGATATTATTTTCGATACTCTTTAATAACTTTTCTAAATTTTGTAAAAAGTATATTCGAGTAAAATTCTTGAACTGGCTCATTTCTCTGTTTCTCATAATAGCAAGGAAAAATATAATAACATTGTATTAAAAAGTCGCAGTCTTTCCTTAACGAAACTACTTTTAGCAATAAGGGAAAAAGTGACATTTCATAATGATCCCGTCTGGAAACTTTTTCCAATAGCAATAAATTTCTTGTAGTATTTTTCCAGTGCTGCAATATTCCTGCATCAATTACAGGGCATTAAACAAATTCCTCGTAATTATACTTCTCGTTAAAAGTTGAAACTTCAATGCCTGATTCAGTCATCCCTTTTTCCACCAAAAAACACAATCCCTAAACTCACAACAGCCATTAATGCAACGTTATAAGCCCCATTAAGACAACATTTTATTCCTACTGAAACACACATAAAGTCAAACATAAAACCCAGATTTAGTAGTTCCATCAGATTTATTTCAGCTGTTTACCCTGCGCTTTTCACCGGCTGACTCTATTTACATAATTTCGGTCTTGGAAAAGTTACATTTTACTAGCCGAACTCAAACACGCCATCAACGAGCTTGCGTAGCTCGCTTAATTCAAGAATAAATTTTTCTGTTTGTTTTATCTAGCGGACTCACTAGACGGAATTAATTCCTGGAGTTCATCGGATGGCCTTTTGATGAAAAATCATTGGTGGCTCATTTAAAACGTCTAAAGCAAAGTGATGAGGGGTTGCAAGATAAAACGATGCGTTATTAAAAGCTGGCGGTTTCATCGCAAAGAATGGTATACGAGGGAAAGCTAAATAATGTGGAAAAATGGGAAAGCTTTGCACTTACAGTGTTTTCCCGGGACAACAACACCCGTACTTTCAAATAAAGTGTGTGGTTTAGCACTTTTGGTAATGAAAATGTAAGCTCAGCCGACGTATACTGTCACTTGTGTTTTGAACATCATAATTCAGTTTCAAAAATAAAACAAGTAAAAAATAGTTTTCGAAAACGAAATAGATTTTTACAGGGTATTGACCCCGAAGGAAAGCTTCTTGGAGCAATTTTTTAAAGCAACCAACCGACTTTAAATACATTATTAGCAATATTAATTTGTTAAAGATGTGAGCGACAATAAAACGTCAACGGAGCCTTACAACAAGTAATTTTCCCACATTAGCGTAAATACAGAACGAGCAGGACCCATCTCTCCATGTGAACCACTTTAGACAAAGGATGTCTATCTCTGAAAAAAATACGGTAATTTCCTGCACTTTCACTGAAAGTCAAATTCACTCAGACATGACTATTGTCTACTATATAAAATCTCAGCAGAAAATTCGCTCTTATTTGCAAAAATGCCTGCAGCAGCGCACAAGTCGTCCCTCGTTCTACCCTTGCTACTCATATCAGTGACGTGTAACAGTGTAAACCACCCCTCAGTGGAAGAATCCTTCCGTCAGTGCCTTTTAACGCAACCCTCTGTCACTCTGGGATATTGTTTTGGCGTTGGCGCTATTAGCAAATTGCGAAGTTTAGACAGCGACCCGGAATTTGATCTAATTGACGGCGTTACTTTGAGCAGGAGTCAGCAGGAATATAGAGAAGCGTACAATTTCGACGAGAGGGATCCTGCAGACTTCAGGTGAGTATCGATTGCCGAGAACGGATGCAGAACCGATGAGTCTTTGAAAACTTGGGTGGCCAGAGGAAAGGCGCAGTCTTGTAGAACCGTTTCTGTCTTTGAAACGTCAAAAAGAATTTTAGTGAAAGTGGAATTGGGGGTGGACGGCCACAAAGGAAAGCAATGAATTGAAAATGTGCGACGTGAGAGTATAAATGGGGATTTTTTACAGACGTTTGACCAGGGTAGGTGTTTTACAAGCATTTTTTTCATTTCGCCAGGCGCTGTGTGTATGCCGTTGCAAATTATTTTATTTTTTACCTGTACCTACCTGAAATATTAGAATATTTTTTTCCGCTCAATATTTACATTTTTATACGATACATACAAAATCTGGAATAAATTCACGAGCAACATCAAATTTCTCTACCTTATTCCGTCAGAGTTATGGTATTATCAAATTTTTCAATGGAAAGCCAGTTTTTTAAAAATGGGAAAACTTTCTAGAGCTTTCTGAATCGTTCAGGACGACAATAATTGTGGTGAAAAAAAAAATGAAGCCAAAATGAATAGGAAATAAAACTGTCTCGGAGTTAAATACCCCCTGGAACGAATATTTGAAGAATAATATTACTCTTTTTTGAGAACACTCTTACTGAAGCGATGCGTAAGAATTAGCAAGTTCGCACCAGCCGTTTAAACAATATTTGCCATGTAAATTGGATCGGCAATAGTGGTCCCATTCACGTAACGTTCTTAAATTAATTCCTGTGGGGACACATAAAATATTTTGTGTTTTTAAACCGTTACGGAATTTGGAGGATCTGGAAACAGAATTAAAAACGTTTGTGCGTGTTGATGCGTAATACTTTATTAACCGTAACAAATCGTGAACTGACGCAAAGATACAGGTTTAGGTGTAACGTAAATGCAAATGTGCGAACGGTTTTTTTCAACTAAAAAAAAAAATTCGCTGTAATCAGAACTCGATGTTTGTAAAAAATTCGTTATAAAAAATCGTAGGGGGTAACATAAAGAAATATAATTCTGCGTCGCGACGCCCAGGCAATGCGTCGAATGTACTGTGTACCAAATTAATCTCGCCCTTTCAAACTCAAACAACGCCCTTGGCAGAATCTTAATATTTGAATCCGCTCGTGAAATATATGAGAGTTTTTATGTGAGATATTCTCTATACAATTACATAAGTAGAACCTTATTTTTGCTTTATTAAGTTTTGTAGCTAGCACCTCAATATTTCCATTAGTAAAGTACCGCTTATACACTTGCCAAGTAAGCTTGAAAAATAATAATCAGATGTAATAGTAATAAGATTACAAAATGCCGTAAAATAATAATCTCATTACTATTGTAAAACGGACATTTATAACAAGTGGAAACGCTGTGATTTAATTTATTATCTGGCACGTTCGACAGCTGTGCAATTGTGTCTTAAGAGAGAGGTTATCAATTACACAAAATCTAACGCACTGTCGCCCCTCTCTTACTATTTTACAAACATGCAAAAAATTATATGTCTGTAAAATTTCAACTTAGAAATCACAATTATGAGAAGTTATAATTCTTGGAAAACTGTGACAACGTAAATTAAAATGAACTAGAACTGAATACGGACTTTTAAAAAAAATTGATAAATGTGTTATTAAATTTTGCGATCTAATTTTATATCTTCCGAAAAAGTACAACACCCGTGCAGTACGAAAAAAACTTTCATCTGTGGCATATATACGCCACCACAATATACGTACACACATAAATGCACACACATATAAGCCACAAATCATTTCCGCCCTCGCCCATTTTGCCAAATCCCCAAAAAACAATACATCTCCACTCCAACGCCACGAATATAAAAAGCCTTTAAAAAACTTTCGTGTATCAAATTTCCATCGAAAACTGTAGACAGCGCCTCACAACCCCAATAAATAAATCACTGCCAAAATCAAATAAAACCAAATCGCAAACTGCACCCCTGCCTTCAACACAATTCGACTTTGAGTGAGCTTTATCGAATGTTCCGCCAATTCTAACCACCGCGAACTTCTAAGATTAAAGTGAAATACTCTGCTTGCAACTTTTATATTGTTTCGTCTCCTTTTTTAAGGACTTTGGTCGACTCTTTAAGCCATGTTTTCTCGCACCGGAGTCTCCAGTGGGACATGGGTTTCATATATCCCGGACTCTCGATGCGCGTCGCGCCATCTTCGAGTCCGGGCGGTCAACTGGAGTTTGCTCTCGACCCACACAGAGAGGTCCTCACGAAGCACTCGCTGAAGGAAATAGGAACTGGTGAGTGCGGTTTGTGTCAGTGCTAGTAGAATAGACAACTGTAGTTTCGTAAATACGTGGGTTAGAAGTTCTGGGTTTCGACAAAGCCTTCGCTAGTGGTCAAGTTCAAGAGTTAAACTTGACTTTTGTTTTTTAGGACGGATACTGGCGCGGCAGTTCTTGGTGCCGTTTCTTCTGGGGTTCAAGTTCAATGTTGCCACCCTTATCCCGATTCTGTTTGGGTTGTTGGCACTACTGGCGAAGAAGGCGATTATTATTAGCAAAGTTGCATTGATTATTAGCAGTGCATATGGACTGGGAACTTTATTACTCGGGAATGGTAACAGAGTTCAACAAAATTACCATTCTAGTGCTTCGCAACCGTTTAATCCTGGATTTGGAGGAAATACTCAGTTCCATCATAACAGGTTTATCATTGATACTTTTTTTAATTTACTATAATCAGCAGGTTTTTTATTATAATAACCATAAATAATAAAGTTATAAAAACTTACGTTACAAAAATGAATAAACATTTTAGGTACTGAAACCTACCATTTCTAGGTATAGAAAAACTAATTTTTTAAATGAATATTTCTAAGTTAATTTTATGAATTTGAAAGCTAAATACCTTATGACACCACTGTAAAGAAAATGAGGCTACAACACCGATAACTGGACTGAGATATTTTTCAAGCTTCCCTTAACAACTCTGGTCGTTAAGTTTGTAGAAAACGTAATAATGTAAAGGATTTAATAATACAGTTCTACCAAAGTATGTCATGAGAGGCGATACAATTCAAACAGTAACTATAGTTCTAAAATCTATACACAGTGGTTTACATTTCCACCAAGAGTTCTAATTATATGAACGTCGCTATCGGTCGTGATGATAAATGAATTGGGGTTTGCTCTCTCACTACTGGCATGTCTTCTTTGACTTTATCTATACTGTTATTATTATCGAACAACCAGGTACGAGGGGAGTTCAAAAAATACAAAGATCCGGTTTACAGAAGCTCAATTAAATATTTAACTGCGATTAAATTTTTAAAACGGCGTTAAAGTACCACGTGGCCAACCCTAGGCCCAATCAGTCGTCACTAAACGCCTCGCTAAATACGTAATTATTAATTAACTTAATCTCAGTTAAAATACTGTATAAACTGGCCCTAAGACTGGTATCGTTGTGGTGATATGTGTTGTCTCATGAACAGTTCTTTTAATTTCTACAAAATTCTATAATATATTGGCATTACTTTATTGAAAATACGTATTGCATATTTCTTGCGGTATTGGTTGACTACGAGGTGAAGAATCATGTTTTAAACTTCGCAACCTGAATAACTGCATAAACTTTAACTAATTTATCATTAACTTTAACCTGGAATGGAAAATATTTGCGGCCTATGCCATGTTGTACCGAATTGTAATTTATGATAACATTTTTTTTATATATAACATATATTCAAAGATTATGATTTTTCACTAGTGTAATTTTTCATGCATTCAGATGAATGCATGAGGGAAGAGTCCCTCTATTCTGATATCTCACCTACAATAAATTAATCTGAGATAGAGAAAACCGGGACATTTAAAAAATATTTTAATTAAACGACTTCGTTTCAGATTTCCCGAGGACGAATACTCCGACATCCACTACAGAGGCATCTCCGAAAACAACGTCGACCAGTTCCAACTCCACGGCAAACTCCAGAAGATCCACGAAGAGAAACCCACCCAAGGGCGAAACTTCGCCTGGAGCGACGACGAAAAAACCATAAAATCCACCTGACAACCCAGAAGCCCACACATCGTCTCATCATATCACCGTCACAAACATTGTTAAGTTTATTCCAATAATAAAAACCCACAACAAATCAGTCATCATCCTTCCATAGCCCACCCAATTAGCATACCTCACGTATCTCATCTTCGTGAGCAGATGCGACCTGAATTCTCCGGCCCCGAGCTACCTTCAGCCCAGTTTCTTTAACTTTCTATGTACAGGTCTGCGAGAATTTCATTAAGACATATCTCACCCAAAAAACTGTTTGTCTTCCTTCCGAAAGCGGCGGCTGGACAGCGACCGATTCGCCTCCGATCCGGGCCGTTACGTCAGCGCCCGGAGCCATAAGAGCGACTCCGGAATGCTGTTTTTTTCGATTCGCGTGCGATTATTAAAAGTAAAATGCGTGTGATAGCAAAATTTTGAGCTTAGATCCGGCCGATTGGGTGAGTAATGCAAGAAAGTTTAAACACGGATGCAGAAAAGCGGAGAAATTACGTCTAACAGTTCTTACGCACCTGTTGAATCGGTTGTGCCGCATGGGTTGGAATTCGTGGGAGAAAAATGCGATTTGCTGATGATCACTGAAGGTTATTTAGAGCGAATTTTATGAGCGAAATTTAAACGAAACTGAAGCTGCATGAATTCGTTTTCGCGTTAAAATGCAGAAAATGCAAATATTCGAAACAAACTTTTTTAGACGTCATGTGAAAACTAAGTGAAACCAATAAATGTGTTTATTGTTTCTCTAGACCTCGAAGCCGCAAAATTTAACATTTTTTTCTGAAAGTTTCACCTTGTGGCAGGCGCGGATACAGGATTTCGTTCAGGGGGGGGCAATTTTTGTGTGATTTTACCTATCTATCAGAAATTCGTTCTAAACAAAAAAAAATTATAAAATTTTAGCTAGTATACTCTTTTTCACATAACATGGATGACATTTGGTTCTTTTCATTACACGTATAGTGTACAGTAGAACCTCGATAATCCTCATTCCTAATTGGGAAAAAGGTGTGTTCGGATTAACGATTTGTTCGGATAAGCAATTTTCCCAAAAATCTGAAAGGGAATTGAATAACAACTTCATACACAACTGAAAACAAACTTCAAGAAATAAACCTAAATTTTATTAAACAAAAATTAAAGAATTCTTAAGCAACAATGAATAATAGATACATTCTAAAAAAATATTACTCAGTGACCATAAACACGCTATCTTTTTGGAATAAACACCCCGGAATCTATACCCTGAAATTTTTCAGAATTTTTAGATGAATTTTTCAAAAATGAAATTTTCCATTATGTATTCGTATTACCTCCATTATGCAAATTTCGACCCATTTTCGACGATTTTCGAAATTTAACTAAATATATTTTCTTGTAGATTTTGGACCTCAGAAGTCACTTCTGGCTTCATTTCTTCGATAACTGAAACCATTTTTCCAGAATCGTCCAGTTGAAATATCGCAATTTTTAAAAATTTCTAAAAATTCGAATTTCACAGCGAATTTCCCGAAAATATTGCTCCGTTACCATAAACATGGTATATTTTTGGAATCAGCACGTCTGGATATGTATCCCTGAATTTTTTCAGAATTTTTAGGAAAATTTTTCAAAAATGAAATTTTTCTCATGCAAATTCCCACCCATTTTCGACGATTTTCGAAATTTAACCAAATACTTTCTCTTGCAGATTTTGGGTCTCCGATAACATCATCCGTTTCTCCAGAATTAGTTAATTAATTCAGTGCTTTGAAATATCGCAATTTTTAAAAATTTCAAAATATTCCATACAACATATGCAGAAAGATCTTGCGTCATTTTTGGAAGTAGATGCATGTTTTCAAGTTCAGTTCGGATTGCAGAGTTTTTGTTCGGATTAAAGAGGCATCGACTTCAAATAGCCTGTGTTCGGATTTCTGGATGTTGAGTCAATCGTGAGTTCGGATTATAGAGGTTGTACTTGTCAAAATAAAGTACCTCGGTCGTGTGTCAGGGGGGGGCAATTGCACCCATTGCCCCCCCCCTGGATCCGCGCCTGTGTGGCAGGTGGTGATGTTTTCCAGATAATTAGGTCGTGGAGCGACAGAAAAAATTCGAAAAAGAAAATGTGAAAAGGAGAACATATGTTCTTATAGACATAAGGAATAAATATAAAAATAAACTAATTTGCTTACTAAAACTAACAAAAGTTTCTATCGAGGTGGGTAGTCTTATCGATTCTTTTTATGTTTGAAAGAAATAATACCGCTTTTTACACAGCTGAGAGTGGCAAACGTTTCTAAGTAAACGGGTTTGGCCTTAAAACTAGATCTTCAAGTAAGTGACCGTTAAAGACGATAAGAAAAGTAACTAGATTGTAATGTTTTATTAAATAAAACGTTGTGAATGCTGAGGGACTAAATACATATGGGTTAAAATCAAAGCTAATTAATTGATTCGAATTTTGAGGCAAGTTGCTTTTTTTTTAGAAACAACCCATTGACAAAGGATTGCTGGTATTCTATATATTTTGTAAATACTTAAATAAAAATCTAATATTGTACCATTATTAATATGTAAGCATATTTTCAAACTAAAAATAACCAAGTATACACATCTATTTTTTTTCGGGTTCCACGTCTCACATCCCGAATAGATCGCCTGTCGCTATGACGTCACGCAATTTCCCGCTCTACATTTTCTAAGGAAATACCTAACTTAACGTCAAAACTAACTGTTCCAGAAAAATACACAACCAGTGTATTATTTTAAAATTAAAACAAAATTAATTCAGCTACACATTTACTTTCAAAATTACAAGCAATAATTAACTGTAATTTTGAATACAACAAAATGAAACTATATGGAAACGTTCTAAACAATTCTCTCTCCAATAAAATCTTATTTTAATTGAAACATCAATGACACTTTTGCTTTTTGTCCCAAAGTTTATCTCTATTTAACATAGCCGATATCTAAGTTTACATTGTTGCGTTAGCGTTAGTTGAATCTCGATTGTACGAATTAAAAACCACCTCATTTCCGAAATTACAGTAATTACACATATTTAATTACAAATCTACGTTTGTACCTAATTGTAGCAAAACCGCTACAAAACCAAACTCGGAACAAGTAAAATTCAGGCCAAAGAAACTAATTGCGTGTGCGTTAATAAGAATCCCGCATGTAAAAAGTGTTATCTCCTCATGTAAATTCACGTAAATAATTATTTTCCATTTTTAAATTCCGCGTTCTAAATTTCCAACCACTATAACCGTTTCGATTTCATCCGATCGATTAATTATATATAATCGAACCTAAACCGAGCGAAACAAAACGACAAACTAGACCAGAACTTCTCCGAAAACTAGAATTCCCTTTTGCTCGCCATTCACTAACAACACAAGTAAAACAATAATAGGTTTTTAATTACAAGTAGATTACTTAACGCACTTGTATCTTCGAGATCATACGTGTAATACAAACATCGGAACCGAAACGAAAGAGACCGTAAAAACTTACATTAACTCGTAAAAAGCGAAGCAACACCAAAACGGCACATCACCTAATTTTTTTCTTAAATATGTATGCACCGAATTCGTGAGTTTGTTCCTGTGGAACATTCGCCACGCTTTGTAATTCGCGGATTTATATAAAGTTTTAAATTCTCTCGTCCATATCAGTACATTTTAAGCACCACCATGGCCACCACTAAATTGTTCTCAGTGTTGTTCGTCCTGTTTTTCCAAAATTGTGTCGCCCACATCGACAGAGACACCGTCCGAAGTATAGTTCCTTTCCGGGAGTGCTTAGGGCATAAGTTTCCGGGGGTGTGCTTGAAGGAGAGGGCTTTGGACGCGCTAAATGCCACCATCATGAGTGACAAGCCCTTGGTGTTTTTGGACATGGTGGAGATCGGCAGGAATCCGGACTATCTGTACAACCTGTCCGAGGAGCATCTCCCTGACGAGGTGTCGGCCAGGAGCTCGAAACTCAGTGACTTGCTGTACAGCAAGATCGAGGAGTTCTTCAAGTCCAGGGTCGTCAAGTTTAGTATGGCGCCGGCCTTTGACGAAGGTAACGGTTTGGAGCAGAGTGCATGACGTTTTGCACTAATTCGTAAATTGTCGCGCGGTGAAGTTTTTACGCATTTAATGGCCCCAAATTGCTTAAGATAATGACGCAAAATACGAAAAAAGCAAAAGTACAGTTATTGTGTACAATTAATTAAAACATGTAAGAATGAAGCAAGTGTCAAAAATCCAATCAATGTAGAGTATAAACTATAAGTTAAAAATGTTCTTTCAGAATTTTAGATAAGAATTAATTATTATTTATCGACTTTTCAAAATTCAAAGTTTTCAAATGAAATAAATTAAACACAAAGAAAAATATTGCAGAACTACAAAATTTATCACCTTCTTACCGACAAGAACAATTCTAATTTTGAATTTTTTTGAGATGACATCATCAAATCTTCTGTGAAATAAGCTCTGTAACTTACGTCATCAAATTTCTGGAAGAGACAACTAAATCAATTTTATAATATGTATTAATTTTTTTGAAAATTTTTCTCTATGGACGAAGACACAAATTTTGGTTGGTGTGTCCTATTTACCTTAAAATATTTGCAATTTCGCAAACTTTGCAACGTCAACCAAACTTTTTGGTTAATACAATATATATAAAATCCAAGCGCTAACCAAGTTTTTTTTTCAGCAAGAGGCAAGAAAGACAAAGGCAAAGGCGGCATGATGATCATGGTAATGGGCGGCATGGCAGCCATGATGGCCCAGTTGTTCATGGGCAAAATCGCATTCATGGCAGGAACGGCCCTAGTTTTGGCAAAGGTGGCTTTATTCATGTCAGCCATCGTCGGACTGAAAAAATTAGTGAGCGGTGGCGGCGGAGGCGGCGAGTCCCACGTAGTGTACGCCAGCGAAGGACACAGTCACGGTGGCGGCGGCGGCTGGCATCGAAGTCTAACCAATGATCCGCACACCCTCGCGTACAAAGCTCATGTAACTGAGGCCACCGGCTATTAGAATAAGAATTTTTTTGAACTTGCCGCCAAAATTGTGTCAAAATGGAGAAATGTTGTTACTTAGGTCACTAAATTAGTTGCTTTAAGTGGCAGCAGTTTCGTGTATTTGGCGGGAAGTTCAGTCCCTCTCTGTGTACGATATTTTAATTTATTTATTTATTTTGTAATTTTAGCTAATGTTTTAAGTACAATATTGTTAGCGAATGACCAGCGAGGAAGTAAAGGATGCTTGCTTATACGGAACAAATAACATAAATTGAAGATTCAATATTATCTTGTTGTACGGTTGCTGTTTGCCAAACAATGCCAAGTAGATAAGTCTGCGAACATTTTTTACTTTTAAAGACCTACTAATGTAATTAAGTCCGTGATGATCTACATAATTAAACAATTTAGGTCTCTATTGTTTCCCTTTAAAATTAAACCGCAGAATTACATTTTATGACTTTAATAATGCATTAAGAAAGTGTCCCACTTTTTCGAAAAACTGCGTACATTTCAAGGTCCAGAAATTCGTTTTTAATTACAATAAATTCACCATGCGTTATAATCCCCGCACGTAAACCGAGAATGCGTAGAGATTTACATAAGTACAGTAATATTATTTATGTAAGCACCGATAAGCTTTTAACCGCTCTCATTACTTCATGCACGACTAGCCACTCACTCACTAGGTGCTGAATCTGGGCGATCCGGTGCACAGATACTTCCCCACGTTTAGACGAAATCCTCAAAAATATAGATAATGCACACACTTCTAAACAAAGAACAAACAAAAAAATTTCCCACAATGAGCTCCGTGAGTGTACCATATAGAGTGAAAGTTATGAAGTTGTGAGAAATTGGTCGGTCGACCTAGTGAGCAACGTCGGTCAAGATCAGCCTTATTTTTCAAGTTAAGGTGCAAAGATTCTCTTGTGTCGAGTATGCGAATAATGCGAGGTCGCAGGTCAGGCGAGTAATTAGCGAGATCTCGTTGACACGAATTCGGAGTTTCATTCTTGGCTGCGCCGAAGACGTTATGAATTAATGAGGAAATGCAGGTGCTGCTAAAGTGACCGAGATTTTGGTCGGAAATGTTGCGTAATGGAAGTGTGGATTTATGGATGGGTGGAGCGTGAATGGTATGAACTTGGTCGTGAACTAACTGGATTTAAGATGAGTGTTACGTAAACGCCTTTCCGGAGGAAACTATTAAATATATAAAAAAAGAACAACTAGAGGAGGCCTAAAGCATTTTATTCACAACACTTTTTGAAAAAGTAGCACTTTCACGGACCTTGGCTTTCCTAACTTATCATGAAAATGATAAAAACAATAGCGAAAGTACCAATAAACTCGAAGAAACTTATCCATACAGCAATTATCTCTATTTAGCACAATTCTTCAGTCGCGTGCTAATGCATCAAGGATGCGCAAATTTACTCATTTAGCACAACTTGACATCACTTTTACTCAACATATGCTCGATCATCGAACAAACCCATAAACCTGATTTTTTCTCATAAATCGTACACCTTTTATATTTTATTACCACTAAATTACCACTTAATTACACGCAGACAAACACCTACTACTAATTTTAAGCAATCCGCCGCCCAAAAACATCAAACGATCGACGATAATGATGATCATCGTCGTCGTACGACGTCGAATGGGTATGACTTTCCGAATACTTCGGTACTTTTACAATTTCAAAAGTAGTTCTTTCGTGTCCACTGCTCACTAGTTTCTTTAAACCCAAAATCGCACTCAAAATGAGAGCCATTTTGCCCACGATGATAGCAGTACCGGACATCACGGCGATACCTTGGTACGCCATAGCGAGAAAACTACCCTTAATAGCTAAAGCGACCATCAACGCAGCCCATCCACCTTTTTTGCTACCACCTCGCTTTCTTCCTTCTTCGACAAGTTTAGATATGTTCACTGCAATTCTGTGACTATCCAGAAACCTGGCAGTTGTATCCTCGAGTTTCATGTCGACTTCTTCGGATGAAAGCTTCTCCACGGTAGTACCATTCAAAGGCTCCACTAAGTCTCGACTTTGCCTATCGCCGACGAGACTCACTCCCTCGATAATGTTTATGTTTTTTGCGTGCAGAGCTCGATCCATCACCTTCAAACTTTGTATCTTCAAACATTTTAAAAGTACCGTTTTGTCCGAACACTGGTTGTAGAATTTTGACAACACTTTAAATGCGGAATCATGGGCACTGCCGATGGTTAAAAAACTCAAAAGGATGAACGATGGATGCATGATGGTTAGCACTACAACTGAGGATGTAGCAGTTTCCAGGTTCAATTTATTAGTTGCTTTTCATGTTTTAGGGCAATTTTTACACTTGCTTCATTTATAGATCCGCACGCGAATTGTCTTAAGTGATTGATGCTCTATAGGTAAATGGGTGAGAGCTTGGTCAGGCGTGATTCTTTGGTCTAAATAATCAGTCTAGACGATGTATAATAGTCTTTATGATATTTAAAGTGGTTTGGTTAGTTTGATCTGAGTAGGATGGTGATAAAATTTACTAACAAGTTGAAGGTTTTACGACAATGCGTAGATGAAACATGAAGAGAAGTGTTCATGCGGATCTTCGGAATGATAGTTTTTGGTCACATTGAGCAGATGGTGGGAAAGAGAAATTTTAAATTAAATTAAATGCTGAGAAAAGAAGAAACGGTAATAACAATAAAAATCATAAGACAATAATTTTAACAAGGAGCTTGTAAAAATATAATTAAATTTATATTTTAAATATCTGCTATTTAAATTCTTATAGTTAATTATATTTTCTTGTAAGTTTCATTAATAACTTGAAATTATGGGTCCATATAAAACAAAACATTTGTATAATAAAATTAAAAAACACTTACTAAGCAAAACGGGAGTTTTAGATATAGTAATAAATACTTTCAAGATATTTTTTGTTTTAAATTTAAATATTAAAATTGGAAAAAGCACACTAGTAAATTGAATGTTTTCTCTTAAATTATATTTAATTACTAATACCAGAGTTAATTACTCGCTGGGTTCCCATGTAACACATTAAAACAATAACGAATAAAAAATAAAAAAAATCGTAATATTACGACCTCATAGTTAAAAAAAGACCATTTAGAATTTTCTTGGCTTGGCTTGTAAATGTTTTTAATAAGTGCGTCATTCTTTAAAAATGTGAAAATCAGAATCAAATTATATAAACTTTCTAAAAATACGTAGGTGCACTTGCATATTTAAATACCGGAAAACTGTTCTTACAATTATTCATACTTAAAAAATAAAGCACTACTTAACTAACAAGATAACAATTAATTAACACCAATAAAATATTTTTTTCTTACGCCTTGACCTCTCTACCATTAGTTATATATAACAGAAGCAAATTAAACCAGTACAAAGAAACGCATCTATTAAAAAAAAATTACAGCCATCGACTAATAATCGCCCATAAAAATCCTTAATTACTCTCTTCAGAACCATCTTCCACCTTCGTTGCTCATTAAAGCCGGCAATCATCCTAATGAGCACGTACGGCCTGAAGTAGGCCGTACGCATTATTGTTAAATGAAAACACAAAGAACAATATATTACAAAACAAGATTATAGCGTTCCGGTACTCCACATTACTGTCACTCTTATCCAGCAGCTTCTGTTCTTCGTAGCCAAAGATTGCTCATGATTGAACTTGAGAATTGGGTTGAGCTTGCAATACTCTTGTGCACTAATGCACTCTTTCTGTAACATGTATTCTCCTAATGGATCCGCAATTGGCCTCGATGTAAATGCGAAAACTTTTAGAACCACGAATGTCATAAAACGGAACGATCTGCGGATGTTCGGCCCTAAATTGAGCGCTAATCAGTGGTAGAAATCTTTTGACACACTTTTGGGGAGGAAAATTGGAAACTGTTCCGCACGTGTAGTTTTATGTTTGGAAAAGATCGCTGTTTTATTTTCGAATTATTTTTTTAATGACGAACGTGGTTCGTAGAAGTTAGTTTGAAAATTTTTAATGTTGTTTAAGCATAAGGTAGTGTAAATAAAAATCGTCACGGTTAGCTTTCGAAACATTTTCTCTCTTGAGAGTTTTTGGATCATCTTCAGTGTCAACTGACTATAACTGTGTTATTAAAAAGTGGGTTGTGAACTAATGAATGAAAATTTTTAGTTTTTAAGAAATAATGAGCAAATTAAAATTAATTTCGGAGCTATGTCGGTCGGGTACAATGGACGTGATTCTATAATTAGGGAGATAAATGTGGTGTTACAGAGTTAATTAAACAAAAATAAAAAAAAAATCTAGGGGGTCTAAAAATACAAGGACCTGGGAAATGATCATTTGTGTGAAGCTACATTAATACAAAACACCTAAGTTTTACACTTTTTTGTTAAATTCCTAGCTAAGGATTTTGGTAAATCCAAATTTAGCTTCTGAAACTTTTGAGAGTTGTGTTTATAACAATTATCACATTATTCCAATTGTTTCATTATTTAATACAGTTTTGAAATGTTAATATGTATTTATGAGTTTCCACTCAAGACAACTAAAAAATTTTTAGTTTTGTCATAATAATAATGAAGAGGAAATATTTTGTATGTTACATTACGATAAACAGTCAAAACATATACATAGTCATCCGAAAAGTAAAAGAATGTCGTCACATAATAACGGTGTATTTTCCATCAAATATAAATTTATTTAAAAATGAAATTATGCTATGAACGATGATTTTTGTGACATTACTTTCGCTAAACCAGAGACAGTAGTTATACAACTTACTCATCAGAGATAATACCACCAATTGCAGTAGTAACGTTATTTTTATTAAAATCTTTAAAAATTCCCATCGCCAAACTGTTGCTTTAGAAACCAGATATTACAAACATCCAGCAAAATTTTTGTACCTTCTTCATGCTATAGAATCACTTTTATTTTAATTTATTTTACTTTTTTTTAATAACCTTTTTTAACAATAAATATTTTGTAAATAGTAAATTTGAAACAACTTTTAAAATTTCCAAATTTTAATTTTCCTGCAACGTTTCTGATTTTCCTTATCCGAAAACACCTTGTGGTAGGACCTGTCCAAAAGTGCACCTGCTTTCGCAGCGTAAGAACCACATAATACCGCATTAATGCACCTGCTGAGTCATATCTCTCTGTGCCCATAAAAATTCCAGACCATCGTAAAACAATACCCCTCGCTTCCACCCACGAACCTTTTTCCCTTTCATCGCCCTAAGCCTCCGCGAAAAAACCCATCACTTGCGTTTTCGTCTCCGCCGAACGAATCCACAAAATAAACCAAAACATTTTTAGTTTCCTTTTCAAGCATCACTTTTCTAATAAACCAGATTCACTTACCTCTCAATCCGCACGAATTACTCGCGCGTAAAGGAGGGATCGTAGTACCACCGACCAATCGTACCGCAGCGTCACTTTTCTGGGTCACCATCCGGCCAATGGCGCTTGTAGGGTAGTCGGCAAATGTGTCAACGAAACCGGGTGTGGGCGCAAAGATGGGAACTCTTACGAGGTCAGCAGAAAAGGTCAAAGTCAGTGTCAAAGCTATTGTATATAAGTGACCCAATGGTACTGCAACTATCAGTCGCTGTCGGTCCTTGAAGTGATGAAGACGTTTGTGCTAGTGTTGGCCTTCGCCGTCGTGGCCTTAGGGCAAGAGTCCTTCGAGAGCACCGGGATACGGTTAGCTTTGAAGATCTACGACGACTGTAGTAAAAGTGACGGTTTTTCGCAATGTTTAAAGAAAAAAGCGATCACTTTCTTGGACCGACTCGGACGAATGGATCATTTCGCCCTCGCCGAAGGCGTGGTGGTGTCGCGAGCGAACGAAGTTACCCCTGAAACGACCCTCAGTGAAGAACAGCTGGAAAAAACTCTACCGAGAGCCTCAGACGCCAAGGACGACGCTCTTACTAACATACTCTTAGAAAAAGTGTCCAAATTCGTCGGCTCGAGGACCATCGAAATAACAATTCCGAAAATGGGACTAGAAGAAGGTACCTCGAAAACAAAAATCGTAGACCCACCTTCAAACTAATTTTTTTGCAGGTCGTGGCAAGAAAATGAAGAATATGATGGGCGGCATGATGATGGGTATGGCTGCCAAAATGGCAGCGATGATTCCCATGGCAATCGCCGGTCTCTTCTTGCTGGCAGGAAAAGCTTTAATCACAGCGAAAATCGCTCTACTTCTTTCCGGTATCATCGCGATTAAGAAACTCTTCGCTTCCAAACACGGTGGCGGTGGCGGCGGCGGCGGCCACGGATGGCAATCTGGCGGCGGCGGCGGCGGCGGCTGGCAGTCCGGTGGGGGTGGCTGGGACAAAAGGTCGTTCGACGACCCTCAGAAATTAGCGTATAAGGCGTACAGTCCGAAATGATTAGTCTAGTTCCAGTGTACAAATATTGACCGATTTTTTGGTCACTTCTTTCTCTACAGGCCATTGTTGATAATTTATTTATGTTATTTATTTTTTGTAGTTGTACCCAACAGTATTTCCTCTTCTTCTAATAAAAGAATTTATTTTACTTTTTATTTTTTTGCGATTTCATGGATGTGTAATTGGTATCCATCGTGTGCAGTTGTGCACTCTTTGTAACGTGTTGCTGATGGAAATGGTAATTAGTATGTCGAATTCTTGCTAGCACATTGTGCTAAATTAGCATAGATTGTCGTGCCATATGGAATTTCACGCAACCTGCTTCCTTAATTGATGATATGGGAAGATTAATCGCTTCATCTCTATGCGTGTGAAGGTATCTTTATTCTAATCGGACGGAATTTCTATTTTACCGTTACACCATAAAGTTGTTGGGAAGAATAATGCTGATGCATTCATGATTTTTTTTGGTTTGAAACGTACGACGTTATCGTTATTATTTAAATTTTTACATCAGAAATTTAATCCGATATGTGACGATTTCACACTTTCTCGTCGTTTTTAATCTTAACAGCCCATAAACAAAAGTTATGATCTTGTACATCGTTAACCCAAACCAGTTGATTTAAAATTTTAAAGAAATACCGCAGGAAAGAGTGAACTGCGAAGACAGCGTCATCTGTAGAACAGCAGCAAAAACATAAAATATTATCGAACATTGTTTCTGTAAAAGTTTAAACAATTTCTGGTTACAGCGCCACCATTTTTACTAAATCGAATGATCTTATTTGTTAATCAGGATAAAAAAAACTGTATTATTGGGTGTGATATTATTTTCTGCTATTTTTGTTAATTTTCTTAAAATTTTCATTCGTTACGTTGGAAAAACTAAAAAAAATGTAACATGATTCGAATTTTCGAAAAAATGAAACCCTAAAGAACTTCTCGAAGTAAAAATCAAAACCCATGATATAAGGCGACTTCTTGTACCATGTCAAAACCAACAAAATAATCACTTTAAATGAATTTCAAAGTGGCTGCGAAAATATCAAAAAATTCATTAACATTGTATTGAAAAATTGAATTTTTGGCAAAATTGTTTAAAAAACCACAAAAATTCTGGAAAGTAGATTTCGACGAGTTGAATCGAAAAACAGTGTGTTGGTGGTCTCAGACCAAGATGCCAAGTAAACTTCGAAAATTTCGGAACAATAGTAACATTTTTATTAAAGATATATTTAGCGTATTTCCGGAAAAACCAAATGATTAAAAATTATGAAAAAAATCATATTTGCTCAGAAAAAACTAGTCTACCGGAAAAAATAATCCCAGGTCCATACAACCACTAGTTTTCGAAATATTTAGCTTCAAAATCTAATTTTTAAAAATCTCAAAATTTACCATAATAGGGTTTCATTTTGGCGACTTTGAAAAAATGTTAGACATTTTAAAAGAAATGAAGCCATAAAGAACTTCTGGAAGTCAAATCCAACAAAGGAATAACTTCAGATAAATTTTGAATAGGGTAAAAAAACCTTAGGTAAAGGAAGAGTGTTCAAAAATTGAGCTAAAAATCCATAAAAAAATATGAAACATAGGTCTCAACGTGCTGATTCGATAAATGTAGCATATTTGTAGTATCGCGGCAATAATTTCGAAATATTCGGTTTGAAAGTTAAATAAAAAAAACTAAATATGTACTGCCATATTTCATTAACCAATTCTGGAAAAGTGGTAGGAGTTTTCGAAGAAATGGAGCTGAAAATAATTTCTGGAAATCGAAATTAAAAAAAAAGTCTTTCGGTAATTTTCGAAAGTGGTCGAAAAAGGTCAAAATTTTCCCAATTCAAAAAATCTCACCCTATACAGCACACTCAACTACGTTAGTCTCGCTTCAAAAATTGCTTTTGAGACGAAAATGACCACTAATTACCCGAACTCTGATGCGTAATTGACCGAATTCTAAAAGCCGCAATTAAATCGCCACATCTTGCTCCATCAATCTCCGGTTATAAATTAATGAATGAAGTGGGCGTGAAATTAGCCAAACAACTACCGGAATTGACGGTTTTTATGAACAAATAAAAACTTGCCTCCAATTATTTTAATAATCAATCATTGTTTTATCTCCGCAAATCTAAACAAGTATTATTTGCATCAAATTTTACAAATGGATGAGCTCAATTACACAAAAAGCCCCATGCTAGAATAAAGCTGGCAACTAAAAATGACCGTCTTTGTTAAACCATCGTTATTAACAGAGAGAACAGTGTCGAATTTGATCATGCGTTGAAAGTACAGTTGGGTGCGATATATTTTTTTTTTTGTATGTGGTCAGAGGTGTAACTGTTAGAAAAATGGTAACACGTTTAGTAAAAAAAATCGTACGAATCACAACCCAAAAACCGTATACAAAATGATGTAATTTTTCATCGTACGCATCTGAAAAAAAAACGAACACTTGAATTTCATTGTTGTCGATTCAGTCTAGATATTTTATTATTAATTGTTTTTTCGTTCTTATTTTCAATAGGTTTCTCCCTAAAATTGTTAGTTTTGAGGCACAGATAACACCCCCGCAGCCTTTGCGTCGTACGAACAATGTAGAATATATTTAAAGCACATAACTACCGTGATAAAATGTCCTTCAGCACCAGGTTACAGCAATCTGAAACTCAAATGTTTATTTATGTGTATACATCGAAAGAATGTCACGTAGAAATTAGTTTGATTTGAATGAGTTTCTCACACACACACACAGGACTAAAATTATTAATTAAACCACAATCGAACAAAATGTTCTGAATAGTATAATTCTCATTTTATCATTATTATTATTGTAAAGAGGTGTTTTTCACATTTTCGAGAAAATGGGGTGACTCGTTGTTAATTTGACCAATAAAAAATTTGTAATGGCGTCATCAACATGGATAGTACTAGTCACAGCACAAACAAAAAGAAGTCGCAGGCTATTACCAATGCAAGAAAAAATAACTAAACTGTCAAGTTCGGCATTGAACCCACTACCGCATGTCGCACGGTTTCGCCGCAGGTCTCCTTGTTCCCGACTTAGCCATTGAGTCACGGGGACTTCTGTCCAGTGTTCGTAATATAACGTTATTATACCTTGCAAATGTTTTTACCAAAATTTGAACATTAAGCGAAAAAACTGTAAGCGGATTCGTATACTACAAGTATAGGAGTGGCACTTTGTCCGATGGACTCGATTACTATACTTTAGGGATGTACCGACTAGTGGCCGACCGGTCGGATAAGCCGACTATTCGGCCGTTTTTCATCGTCGGCTGGCAGTCGGCGACTGGTCGGCTAAACAGCCGATCGGTCGGCTTTTTTTATTAAAATTAAAATAGTATATAAAACAATTAATTAAACCCGGTTTATAGAACCTCAATTAAACATTTAATTGCGATTTAATTTTTAACCCCACGTTAAAGTACCATGTGACCGACTCTACGCTAATCAGACGTCGCTAATGGCGTTAAATGCGCAAACAACTTAATCTCAGTTAAAATATTGTATAAATTGGCCCTTTAAATTGTGTTCTTATTAATATTATTTATTTTTGTATTTAGTTACAAAAAAAATTAAATGTTAAAATAATCCAAACAAATTTATCACATTTTTTGGAAAACAAAGGAATTTTAGTTATTCCTTTTATTAGAATAAAACAAATTTTTAAGATAGTCAGAGAAATAGAAAAAAAACACACCGTCTGTCGCATTTATAAACCGGTTTTAGCAAAGCCGAACAGTCGGCCGACTAGTCGGTTTTTACTGGCCGAACAATCGGCTAGTCGGTTAGTCGGCCAGACCTACAGTCGGTACATCTCTACTCTACTTCCTTAGCTTACGCTCGGGAAGTAAATTTTTTTTTTTTTTTAATATAATCAAAATCTAGGTATGTTCACTAGAAACATAATTAGAAAAAATTTATCGCCAAGCTAAAACCCACAAAAATACTTCCATTGTTATCCCGAAGCCTACCTGACACAAAACCTCTGCATTTATCCGCCAAATTAAAGTCCGCACCTACCCGAAATAAACGCTCTTCTCCCTACGCACGAAGCTACCCAAAACGGTACCCACGGTAACATTTTCTCCGCACGCAATCACTACGGTCCCGCCGCCAAAACGCATCTCGATCCGGACCCGCCAATAAATCGGCAACCAGACTGTGACCAAAATTTTCGCAGATACTTTATCATTAGGACTTTTTGTACCACCGCAAATTGTACGCTTCGTGTCGCCGACAACGAATTCATGCGGAAACGTAGATAATATTTAACATTAGAGTAAGAATCATTACACGGCTCTGTAGCACGAGGAAATGGTTGAGTCTATAAGCAACGGTTGTGGTGGCAGCACGGATGACGCACTAGACCAAACTAAAAACGCGTTCATTTCGAAAATGATTCCTTGACGTTTGGGTGTCGCGACCAGCAAGATGAACTTGAAACTTACCATTTTTTTTATGGTTTGTGTGGGTGTTGGCAGTGGCGAGGAGTGCTGTGACGAGGGTAACGAGCTGGAGGTGCGGGAGGACTCATGGGGGATTTTCCCGAAGCAGTGGTCTTTGCAGAACAGGATACCGATGACGACAGGTACTCAGCCCCGAAAATTTACCCCAGTCCTGTTTGCGCTTTAATAGATAACGAGAAAACTTATCCCACTTCTGATGATAAAAAAAAAATTGAAAATATGATAACGGTAGTCGCCTACCTTAACTAATTGATAATACGTCAAAATTTTAATACTTTTATAATAACAATATGGCATCTGGTTTTTCGAGCCAGTAAACAGCCGATCTGTAATTACACTTCGACATGGTACTAGTTTGACAAAATACGTGTATTTATTGAAGTAGGTTTACGGGAAACGTCATGAAAAATGTGATCAAGTGGTGCAAATCAAAAGATGACGGACGTGCAAGAAACTCGTGTTAAAGTAGGTCTTTTCAGACGCGAAGGACTCGTTAGATTTGGTTTACTTGGAAACGATTTGGGAAGCAGCTGCCGAAAAATTTTATGGGTGGGTAATTTGGTGGCCCGAATTAAACTAACTTCACGACTTGACAAAATTACATAAACATGCTTCTTGTTATTGTGAAGGTCAAAAGTAATATGATGAAACTGATAATCTAATCTGATAGGTTTAATTGATAGTAAATAAAATTCTCAAGATCAAAAAAAATACTGAGTTAAAAAACCAAAATAGTACACACAGTACTTAAGTCATTCATAAATAATCGCTAGTCTTACCATAAAAACCACAGACGCTTTTAAGCGTAACTACAAGAAAAAATTGGGGTCGGGCTAAAAGACGTTTAACTTGGATTTAATAAGGTGCTACCTAGTGCATTACTAAATGCAGTTGTTTTCATATACAGGGTGTAAACTTATCTTTCGAATTTAGGACTACCTGCGCCGAAAATAAATTTGGCGGAGGGAATCTATAAAAACAGAATAACTTTTGTTGCCAAACGAAAGTGGTCTGCACTTCTAGCGAAACCGTTTTCTGCCAAATTTATTTGCTAGAAGTTTTGCAAATTATTTGAGATGAAACGCTTTTTTAAATATTCTTTTTTTCAGATTTTGACGTAGCTAGGACGAGGGACTCTCGAGGCAAATTCAAAGTTAAGAAAAAAATCAAACGTTTCCTGTTGCCTCTACTATTGGCCTACAAACTCAAATTTTTCACTCTTATCCCAGTTCTGATTGGTGGACTTATTCTATTAACGGGAGCGACAGGATTGGCAGGATTTTTCTTTGCCTTGTTCGCTGCCGTAATGGGGCTCAAAGCCGGAAACAGTCATTAGTGCAACGTAAAACATTTATTTATTTAATTTATTTATTTATTTATGTACAATCTTATCTTAACTGTAGTTTTAAGGACCTTAGTGTTGAATCAAAAGGCAAGTTTTGTATGGACATGATCGGCTGCCGTTTTTCCTGCGATTAAATTTAAATAACAGAAAGTAGATTTTGTAGAAACTTTTACAAATACACTACTCAGTCAATCCCAAAAATGTTAGATGAAAAGACCTAGAGATAAAATAAAATTTCATTGGAAAGAATTGTCGTCTTTTCTTTTGTATCTCCTGAACAAACAACATTTTTAAAAATCTGTAACTATATTTTCCACATCATAACGCTACGATAAAATAAATCACCCAATCTATTTTTTTACATTGTCTGTAAGGGATTCTCAACAAAAAATGATAAGATTACGGAATATAAACTTCATTTCGTAGTCAATTAATATTGCTAAAGCACAAGCAATATCGCATTCCCGAGCTTATTTTCCGATACACTTTTTTACGACGAAATTAATTTTTTGTTACTAAATATGTTGTAAAATCAAATCAATCTGGGCTAATCTCGCACCTAATCTTATATTTATCTACATCCGAGCCAATTTAGCTGCAAATAATCCCTTACAACTGTGATTTATGGAAGATAATAATCAAGTGTCTGCATACTTCGCTTAATCCGTCTCCAATTTATCATAATAATCCGACATAAGATCTAATTACGTTTTGGTAATTGCTGACAAAATTATATCACTGTAGAACAAATCTGAAATTAATCTCGTTCCTTACAAACAAAACAGACTCGCAATTTCAATAATTACTCAAACGGTTTTGCAATAACAGTTTCCGTGATTTCCGGTGGAAGCCATCCATTTTCAATTAATACTCGGCTAGGTTACAAGGATAAAAAAATACCAAGTCGTAATACAAAATTTTACTACCTACATCTAATTATCACAACTTTTTCTACACTGTCTCCACGATGCATCCATTTTCACGGGCGAATTCCGACCTCTTTCCGCGATTACAATTTCCATGGGAAAGACGATGAATAAATAAACCGAAAATCGATTAGTTTCGTCATATACAGCGTGGTCACTTATATTCGCACAAGTGTCTGCAACCCGTGGGACACATTTTATTAATAGCGAACCACTGTCGCATGTGTGCCAGATGCCCTCCATGCGAACACCCTTGACACCACGCGTACAACCCTTTCACGACTTGGTGACAAACACTACACAGGGCGTATTGTGACGAATGACATCTGTCACACAACCAACCAATACGCTGCAAAGCTTTGCTGCATTTACTACAGTTCGTGTTAAATCGAGTTGACTGTTGGTTTAATTGTTCCACTGACGGTATCCACGATAACTTGATAATTTGAGTAGCTATATTCCAGAGTTGATACCTGCTCAACAATTCGATGTAGCCTAAAAGCCAGTGTTCTTGAGTACTCTCGTCTAATTCGTTCAAAGTTTTTCGTTGATCTCCAAGAACTATCAAAACGCACGCCGCCGTTTGTACATCTCCTAATATAGCATGATGTTTAAGTGCGTCTAAAACAATGGACGATGAGTCGTACAGCGGCATTTTTGGCAAGCACGAAACAGTTAAGAGAGTTTGGGGTTGTTCCTCTAGGGGTATCGTTTGAGAATCGTCATTCATAACGGGAAAATTGCTATTCGGGAATTTATCTGGAGGAGGAGTTCTATTCCTGATTTCGTGTCTCAAATGGAAAGCTTCGTTCGGAAGCACGAAATCTTGCTGCGGGGTCACATAATTCCGGTACCCACTCTGAAAATCAGTAATCATCGTATCAAACTCCATATCGATTTCATTCTCCCCGAAAGAAAAATCCCCTTTTGGTAACCCCGTTCTAAAATTTAAATACGTCGGAAACCCGTTACTATAAATCGCGATGTGATCCACTTGATCCTCGTTTTCGGTTTCGTCGCTAAACTGCGCCACTGGCGTGTCTCCGCCCCTCGATCTCTGATCGTTCTCATTGGTGTGCTCAATCCCGCCCATTATGTTATTCAACGGAAGATTATTATGCGAAACCACATCCTCTCGATTGGTACTCGTCGAATTCTGCAGATACTCCTCCCCGTACATCGTTTTGATTATTTTCCAAACCACAGCGACTTGATCCTTCCCGTACTGTTTCGCTACGGCCGAGTTGTGTTCGCACATTTCCGATAAACTCCGCCCACTGAGGACGTAGTTATTGGCTAGACCTAGAAAAATTTCCGATTCGGATTGTTCTCCGCGAGGTGATTCGGTAAACTGGTGCATAAGACTAGAGGCGAGATGAAATTGGTCGGGCGATTGGGTTGTTGACGTTTTTCTGTAATTTGGGGTTTTATTTTTTGTGTGGTGGGGTGGCTGTGTACCTGATTATTCCGACGGCTGCTTTTACTATAGCGTTGTTAACGTTGACTTTGTGGGCGTATAGGACTTCGCCTTTGTTGTTTAAGGACACGCCCTGGGGGTTGGCCTTACTGGCGGGGCGGCTGGCGAAGTTAAATGAGTGTTGGTAGAGAGTGCAGTCCTGAGTCAAAAAATTGTTTTTTAGAACAAAAAATGGGGGTCGAATGGGGTTAGTTTTAGAAGTCCTAATATAATTTCCAACATTAATAAGAAAAATATGAGCGCAACTTTATAGAATTTGGGTTAAATTAACACAACATTGTCGGAAAAAAATCACGTTACTGCGATGATGCTGTGTTGTGTTGCTATTATTTCTATGTAGATTTGTTAAAGAAATAAATAATCGTTATAATGTTAAGTAGAAACCATTACGATTCCTAGACATAAAGCCGCTATTTTCATATAATTCACCGGACACTGTTTTCGGCGGGCATTGACTGACGTACTAGACGAAATTGCAGTAGTTATTCCTTCTAATGAAGAAATTTAAAACGCAAAACCTTCACTTTTTTTATTTTTTTATTTCAGTACTTACTCGCCCGCTACTGAGAAAAGTATGGGGGTCTTCCTTCCACGCCACGCCACTAGGAATGTCTTTATGTTCATTAAAAGCTGCAAAGGGAATGTAAGGGCGCCTCACATCCCAGATATTAATACTACAATCGACAACTAGAGCGCACGACGCTATATGATAGCGCCTTTGCGGACGCCATTTTATATGTCCTATAGAAGCAATAGTGTGAATAGTATACTCCAACGTAAGCTTACTTGTCAAATCCCAAACCTGAAAAACCACATTAACCACCACCATTTTCAAACACTCAAACTACCAACTTTAATTGTCTTATCCCTACTGGCTGTAGCCAACCACGTGCTCTCTGGGTGCCAATCACAGGCAAAAATGGGTCCACTGTGCGCCGCAAACTGTTGCTGGTATCGATCAGGCCTTCTCACATCCCATAACTGCACACTTCCATTTTCAGACACGGCGGCAAAAGTGTATGGGTTGTGAGGGCTGAATTGAACATCCCGAACACTTTCAGTGTTGCTGTAAAAAATGGCAACGGCATTTTTGGCGCGGATGTCAAAATAACGCATGGTTCCATCTTGGGATCCCGAGATTAATCTATTGGGTTCACTAGCATGAAAATTGACTTTATTGACCGTACGTTTGTGCTCTTGGTAGTCTTGCTCCTGCATGGCTTTACCCATTTTGGTGAGATTCCAGACACACACGTGGCCATTTGTGGCGGCTGTGGCCAGGTAATGGTCTGAAATTTAACATGAGCATGTGGTTGTTGTGGTTATGTTTAGTACCATCTGTCCAACTCCACGAAACGTCATTGCAAGAAAAACTCAAATTCAGGTGTTTGGAAGCTCGTAAGTTGCAGACTTCGCGGAATTTGTCTTCTTCGATGGTGTACACTTTGAAGACTGAAATTTTTTGAGGGGGTTTTATTGTTGTTTTTTTTTTTGTTAGTAATTTGTTACCATTTCTGCCTCCAATTGCCACCTGGGTGTTATCACGGTTTAATGCTAACGCATTTACGGGCCCTTCTTGTACAACGTGAAAAGTAGCCATTGTTTACATTTGGTTGAAAATGTAAATAAAGTCTTTGTTGGCACGATTTCGACGCATAGTTTGTTACAAGGGATAAAGTCCAGTCGGATGATTTGTCTCAATGGGATGACTTATTCACGAGAGCTAATTATCATATATAAATATTTTTATAAACACACGGTGAAAGTTAGGTTAGGAGCAGTAACCTTCGAACGTCAATATTGTGATGCATGGCTGGGTTTGTCAAAATGTTAGAGCTGGGATTCTCAACAAGTTATTTAAAAGTTAAAAAAATCCGTCTGAAACGTGTAGATATATTTCCTAGATGTGTCAGAACGTGTTCAGAAACAGAACACAAATTTTACGACTTCAGTGACGTTTAATTTACCACAGAGTCCTTTTTAAAAAAATTCTACAGACGTGACATGCGCCCTCGAAAAAACGTCCGCTTAAATCTAGTACTCTGTGATATTTGCTTGAAATCTCCGATCTCCGATAAATTAATTTTCATCATGTTTATTTGGTTGCGTGAAATTTGCAACAAACGCCAATCAAATGGAAGATTCTTACGCGCTAAATTGAAATATAACACTATTTCGTCCTTAAATCAGCAAATTTTTAAATATTTGTACGATAAAACGTGCGGTAACAAGGCGAATGAAATGAGTAATTTTTTTTTACCTGGATCGTGCATCTGTTGAAGTTCTTGATGAGAACACACAAAAACAGTTCACAAGTGATCACAAAACACAAAAAGCAACAAAATAAGGCAAAAACAATGATAAATTCACAAAATTAGTAACACCAAAAGCACTCCACTGAACAACAAACAAGCAAGAAAAATTGAATCTAGGACCCCGCAACATCAAATTAGCAAAAATTAGTGAAAATTATTAACAACGCGGTTTTAAAGAATAAAATACACCTGGGGTGTTTTAAAAATAACAACACCTGCTTCAACACCTATTTAGTGTGATTTTCTGCTGGAAAAGCCACGATTTTTAAAAATAATTGTAACAAGATGTGCACTGGGCCCTAGATTATAAAAATGATGGCGGATAAGGTGTAATCCAAAGCACTCTTGTACATTACGGCAATCATAATGGACCCAATAAAAATAAAAATAATTGTTTTTTTATGTAACCAGGATTTGGATCATAAACACATTGGAGGGATTCAAAGAGGCCACCCTCATAAATATAGGTACTGCTAAGCCCTTGGCAGTACCTCTATATAGCCTTTTTTGGCGACCCAGAACTGCTGAGGAACGAATTAAGGAAATATAGTACGACATGCCACCAGATTATCTAAACAACACAAAAACTTTTACCACCAGGTCAGATCAGGTCAGGTTGTGTCAGGTTTGGTCAGGTTTGGTCAGGTCAGGTCAGGTCAGGTCAAATCAATCTGCCTGGGTATGGTAGATCACACCTCGGGATTTCTGAAGCACTATTCCAGAATGCAGCAGATATTCTATTCATTACATAATTTAGTACAAAACATGAATTGGTACATTTTACAGCTGATGTTCTATCAAAAATTTCTATTCAGCTGTGATAGAAGGCCTTGTACTCTTTTTAAATACATTTTTTAGTGATTTTTTTGTTTTATTCAGTTAAAAACACTTTTTGTTTGCAGAGATGTTTAGTTTCAAATTTTATATTTCAAAAGGTAACTCAACCATGATTGGAGAAATCAGAATTGGTAAATACTACTGATATACAGTTTTGTTAGCATAAGTTTACTTATTGTTTGAAAAAAACTGTAATGCGCAGACAAACAGATTTTTAGAAGACACTAAACTACCTTAAACTCTAAACATTAAAATCAGAGAATCACCATTATTTAAACTGTCCACCTTTGCCTAAAACAGCTCACCACGTGCCATCCACCCTATGACCCTACACTTCCCCTAAAATATCGACAAAACGTCACCATGACAAGCTATGAAATTTCACGTTAGTTTTCATTTTCGTCAAACCCGGGAAAATGTCTGAGTTCGACATAATTTTAGACAGTTCCCAGCAAAATTTAAAAGAAGTACCCTCAAGAATCCTCGAAATGAAACACCTCAAAATGCTCTACCTCCAACAAAACTTCATCAAAGCGCTGCCGGAAAACTTCTTCGAAAAGCTGCCAGTTCTGTCTTGGTTGGACTTGAGGGAGAATCACCTAACGACCATCCCGACCAGCATAGCCTATCACGAATGTCTCGAAAACCTTTTGGTGTCCGACAACAAAATCGAAGTGTTACCCAACGAAGTAGGTTTGGCGCCAAAATTAAAAGTCTTACAAATTGCGAACAACCCGTTGAAGTACCCCGAAGGCAGAATTGTGGCCGAGGGCACGAAAGCGACAGTGGATTATTTAAGGCACCAGTATGAGAAAATGAAACCGGAGCCGGTGGAGTTCATAGAAGAGAAAACAGACACGGAAGAAGAGGAAGACGCGGACGAAGAGAAAGAGTTGCACATGGAGAAGGAAATGGTGGTGGCAGACTATCTCGAGTACGTTCCACGGCAAGAGTCTGTGGAGTCGGGTCTGGTGGTTAGAGGTCTGTCGCAAGTGAAGAAAGACGACAGTGGAATAATCCACAAAATAACCAACCCCACGTCAAACAAAATCCTGTTAAAATCGTACTACGACGACGAGAAAGTAGCCAGAGCGTCCACTCAGACAGACGATTCGTTTACTTGTATGCCAATGTATAAACAGACCTGGATGGAGAAACTTAAAGAACTTCTCGACCAACAGGAGAAGATTTTGCAACAAGAACGGTTAGACAAGATAGATGTATTACAAACACTTAAATTTCGTCTTTGTAGGAATCTACAAGCTTTGACCACTTGGAGGAGCAAGAAAAAAGATGAACCGCCACATCCCGCTGAGCGCAATATATACACGAAAGCACCACCGTACGCAACTGACCCTCAATATCAAACGATTCTGTCGAGAGAGGACCTGAACAAGGAAATTGATAAAATGGTTCAACACAACAAGACGCCACCCAAGAAGCCGGATATAGAGAAATTAATTAGCGATTTAGTGAGTCAGTTGAAAGATATGGAGGCCACGTATGGCGCTTTGGAGTCACCGAGAAGCGAAATTGAGTCCGCGGGGGCGCAAATCACAAAGGTGGAAGATAGTAAAGACCTTGTACTACCTACTACTTCAATTTGTTTCAGATCATGGAAATGCATAAAAAGATCATGGAACTACAACAAGCAAATAACTTACTGTTACAATAAACTGTTCAAATTTATTTATATCTTAATATTTATACACTACATCCTTATACACAGTTAAATACGTAATTACAATATTTAGCTTCAAATAAACATATAAGAATTAATTATAGTACAAAATCACAAAGATAGTTAATTTTTATTATGAAGATCTATCAAAATTCTTGTAACAAATTATATCATTAGAATCAGTCAAGTGTTAATTTTATAATACAGTTGTGCATTTTTAAAAAGTACGACCCATCACTATTTTGCCCTTAATCGCTTCGTGGGTATTTTCTACGAATCCTAATTTACCATAGAACGCATGCGTATAACTGTCTGTCGAGTTCATGACCACGTGAACACCGAACGAACCTAAAACACAAAACACGCTTTTAGCGTCACCACGTGACCCTGTTCGTACTCACCATTGGCCCGCAACGCCGCTAGGAGACACGTGACCAATCTTTTGCTCACTGATTGGTCGAGGACTGATGGAAGAATACTACAGATCATACTAGAAGGGTGCGTCGGACTGGATACATAAATCTCGTCTTTGAACCCATGAAAATGTGATATGGTGTCCTACCAACAAACATTTAACCCAACCCTTCAAACCACTTAAACCAAACAAACCTGAGCGAACTTCGACAAGTCTTTATCGTTCTTGAGTGATAATGGGTATTTCTCGCACATTTCCGGAACCCACGCCAGTTCCATCTTCACTCTGAACTTCTTATAATCCGGAGACGCGCACGCAAACCCCACGATTCCCGCGTCGTCCTCCACCACGAAGCAGAACTCCGGATGGAGCGTCAAATACGCTCCCACGATCCTATCAGACTGCAAATTCTTCAATTCCTCTGGATACGGATGCGGGTCTTCTAGCCCATCTTTACACGTCCTGCTGCACACATTGTAGACCATTTGTTCGTCCTCGGGTAAGTACGGTCTCACCGTGTACACCCTACACGTGGGTACATCGGGGACTTTGTAGACGAACAGGTCATTCCCGGAATCCACAGGGATCAATCTCTACAAACGAAAAGCAATGAAACGGGTGGTCTTTTTGCGTTTGTGTTCGCCCTAAATGCTCGCTCGACCCTAGAAGTACACGAGTGTGGACTTTTAGGGTCTGAAAAGAAGGTCCACGGGTGTTAAAAAATCTGGAAATGAATGGGATTACCTGCAGGTCTGCGGTGAGCCCTCCGCGGAACACCCACGGCTCTTGTTCGCCGCTCATGAACGTCTCCTTCCACCCTTTCGAAAACCCTATCAGAAAATGGTATCAGAGATGTCGTTAAATTGGGAAACGCACTGCAATCGCTTGCTGCGGGTTGATTACGCGCAAGGTGCTCTGACGCCATAGAAACGCCTCGGGTTTACTTACCCCGGTACAGGAATCTAGGTTTTGGACGGAAGGTCCCACGAGATTACTTCGCGAAAAAATTAACAGCTGCCTCGTGCAATGTTAATGCAGAAAAATGACTAGTTTAAGTAGGAAATCGACTTGTAGTTGGATGTTGATCCCGTCTTCTGAGGAATCTGGAATTGAGCTTGCCCGGGAAAGGTCGAGATCTGCACCCATGGCAAAGCTGCTTTTCACAATCTGGGGCCTTTTAGGAGCATTTGAGAGTGTGGTGAACACAATACCAAAATTTGAGAAGAAAACTAATTTATAGCATGAATTTGGTAGATTTTTGGGATAAATCTGATCGTTTCCTTGGCGTCTTTGCGCCCTTAAGATTTTTGAATTGTTAGAAACAGATCAGGAAATGATATAGGTACGATTTTCCAAGATTCTGAAGAGTTACCAACTTCGGAACATGAGAACTAACACAAATCGCCTTTTTTCCGAAACGGATACGTTTTGAGTACATCGATACAGAATTGGGAAAACTGGCAGCTGTAAAGTTGGACTATGGAAACTTGAAAAGAAGTGACTTAACAGCGTTTCGTTTCGTATGAAATTAAATCTTTGGGGGAGTATTTTCCAAAAATTAATACAACGAATATTATTCACGAAAACCAAAATTACAAAAATATTATGAACATGAGACGGTTCGTTCGATTTCTCCGACTTGTCGCTCGCAATCTAGGAAACTTAGTAATATTAGTTACTGATTAAATCAGAAAAATCACAATTGAAAGTATAGTATTATTTTTTGACTCTTACGGCAGAAGCAGGATGGCAGGGCGGTCCGCTGACGTGAAAAACGACAAAAAGACAACGACGTTCGTTCACTAGCTTCGGATTAAATCAACATTGCCAAGACAGCACAATGCACTTGGAAGTGTTTAAAATAGACGGACACCCACAAAAAACGAAAATGTCCATTCCACGTTGTTAAGTAGCATTTGAAGCGCCACAAAAATCCAAAAAACTTACATATCTGTCGCAGGACCTTCGTCCGTGTACGCAAACGCCCGAAATAAATTCTGACGCACAAAAAAAATTTACGCAAAATGCGTGGCAACATTATACTACGTTCTGGTCGATGCATACATGTATAGGTCCCCTGGGTGTATGATGGCATAGAAGCAGGAAACTGGCCGCCAGCTTAAGAAAATAAAGAGCTTATTAATAACGGGAAAATACTGGAAAATATCTGCAAAACACTCAAAGATTGGTCAGTGAAACGGCGCTAAATGAAAGCAGTAAAGTGCTCCCATTTCTCGCCTCGACTTGACACTATGAAAACAGAGAATAGTCGATTACTTTCCGAAAAGTACTGTTACGCCCTGTCTCAACAAATCCATGGACACCTAACTTCCTCTGCACAGCTGGAACACAAATTACGCTAAGCGACACAAACAACTGAAAGAAAGTACAGAAATTCGACCAACTAAACTCGCCACATTACGCCTTGCGCCTGACTGGAAAGTAATCGACCATCGAAAACCAAATTGGACCCAACAGAAAGCCAAATTCGGCTTAACGGTAGGTGCAATTTTAAACCCAGAGCGTCCCCTGTGACTTACCCAACCACTTCACATAAGAATTGAGCAAAGAAATAACACCTCTGATATCCCAAAGGTATGAATACAAGTCGTACAAAATTTCTCTGTTATTACAACTCGATAAGTGTTGGAACAACCGATTCACGGCTTGGGTCATCTCGTTCATTTTTTCGGCACGCGTGAACCACTCTTGCACCTACGAAACAAATTATAAAAAGCGCCAACCAATCGCAATCGACACTCACATCCGCCTTCAACGGATCTTTCTTCTGATTGGCGGCCATCACTATATGCGCGTTCGATTTCAACCAATTGAACTCCTGCAACAACTGCAAACCTTGGCCGCCGTGTTCGAACGGCAGGTAAAACAAATCGCACAAAAGCGCCAAGTCCTCGAACGTCAACTCGTTCTCTTTCCTGTGTTGAGACAAAAATTACAAAAACGGGACTCGTCAAACTTGAAACTAACCTTTCAGGCTCGATGTCGTTCTCGGGTGGGTTTTCCACCACCATTTGGTTGGCACCGTCATTTGTTTCGACCTGCATGCTACCGCTAGGAGTCTTAAACAAAAAATGCAAAATTTAACACGCGCGTGTTAAATTTTGAACACATTTAACTTACCGAATTTTCGCTCATGGCCACGTCCTCGCTGGAATTTTCCACCGTTCCTTTTATATGCGCCGGAGATATGTTAGGAGTGCTGTTACAGTCCATGGGTTCAGACGGACTTAAACTCGACTCGTTACTTAAATCCGTGCTCGTGTCGGTGTTCATGCAGGTCTCTTCCTTCGCGCCTTCTTTACACTCATCAGCCTTATCACCATTCACCACAACTTTATTTTTGTCTTTGTCTGGTTTGATGTGTGTTCCGCTTAAAACTGTGATGCTTTTCACCTCCGCGTCCGATACGGGAATAGGAATAGGAACGGGAGCTATAGGATTCGGAATAGAGTCATTACACACTACTTTAGTATCGGAAACGAGAGAATTCATAACAGGGCCAGGTACTGGATTTACTAAACTATCAGCGACTGCGACCTGGAAAGAGAAAACCGTCACACTCTACCAACACATTAAAAACAATAAAAGCAACACAAAATTCGGTTTTTACGACGCTTTGACTTACGCTACTACACACTTCAGCTAAAGCTTGTAATTGTGTTGGGTTGACTACCGCTTGAGAATTGCTCCCAGTCGTCGTCGTCGTGGTTGATGTCAGTGTCATGCAAGTGTTGATGGATGGGATGATCGGGACAGGAATAACCGCGACAGCAGGCTGCGGTTTCACGATGGGTCCCCACGCCGACTTGTGTTTGGAAAATTCAGGCAACCACTCGTTGATGGCGTTCCGAAGGGCTTGTCGAGGATGGTACATATTCGGGGAAAGGGAAACCGGAACGTCTTCCCCTAAACCATCCTCTGTTTCAGTCTCTAGTTTAATATCAGCAGATACCGTGTCATCTGCAACAAGAGTCGTTTACCCACACTGCTTGAAACTGAGTCGAACCGACGCGGACTTACTTAAAGTGAGATCCCTCTGTCCGTCCAGGTTACATCGCGACCATTGCGCAAGCGTATGAATAGCGACAAAATTGGCACCATATTCGCAATTAGGGTTCGTTAGGACCCCTCTCAGTTTGGGGATTAAGTCAGGCGATCGACCTGAATAGGGCCCCAAAAATACCCTTTTTTGGTCGTAGTCGTTAGCGTGTAAGTTGTCCCAAATCACAGGCGGCCTTCGCAGGGCGTCTGTGATTTCTTGAATATTTTCCTTTGTTAAGAGTCTTGATATGACTTTTTGACCTGAATGAGGACAAGGTTAAGGCAAGTCCCACCCACGTATCGATAAATCACTGGTTTTTTGTAACTTATTAAAAAAAATGTCCAGTACGAGGTATCAAGTGTTTGAATACAGCATCACCCGGAAACCTTTCATTCACATTTATACGACATAATGTTACTTGCAACGAACTTCCCTCACTTCTAACGCACAACCAGTTTCGCCTGTCACATTGATTTATTTAAAGCTTCTTCAAGATGACGTCATCAAATTTTTCATTGATTTATTTAAAGCTTCTTCAAGATGACGTCATCAAATTTTTCATGGGTATACACATATTGTTTTCCAAGTGATTTCTATTCAAATGATGGACATTTTTTTCACTAAATTACAAAAAACGGGTAATCCACCGCACTCTGTATAACTCAGTCCCAGTTCATAATTACACACTGGACTGCAATTATTAATATTATTTGAAACAATCAACTTACCTGTCCACATTATATCAATTTCCTGGGCTAATTTTGACCCTAAAGTGTTTAGATATTCTGAATTTGTCACGTTGGGCACAGCCCTTGTACTACAATATTGTGTAGGGCACACCAAAAACCTTGGCTGCCCTAAATGCTGATAAATATCGTTGGTCACAGACACTTGAGCCTGTGCAAACGATTGGAAAACCTCCTTATCAGCTTCAGACATTTCAGGTTCGATATCATCGAACAATAGTGCAAATGCTGTACACCCAAACTGTGACACTTGTTCCAGTTTTCGTTTCAAAGCGGTAATTTCCTTAGTGCTACTATATGTGATGTCAAGTCCTGGAGATAAAGCGTAATAAAATGTGATATTTTGGTCTTTGGCAGCTTGAATAAGCCCTGTTAAATGTTCAGCTTCTTCAACTGTGTACAATTCCCTCCAATAAGCTCTGTGTTTGTAGTCATCTTTTGGGGCGTAGACGTACGAGTCCATGCCCCATTTTTTCATCCTAAAATTTACATTGTAATTCAGGTCAAACTGCGAAGGGACTTACTTTTGGAAAAGGTCTTTGCGCTGTTCGGTGGTCCATGGTCGGCCATAAAAGCCTGGAAAATTACTTGGGGTAATTACAGCTCGTTAAACACCCATTTGGGTTTATTTGTGTATTTATTATTGGAGGCAATTTCCATTATCCCCACTACCATATTTGTAAATATGGGGAAGCGGAGGATACAGGGGGCGAATTTGGGGGTTCCTAAGGATGCAAACATGCTTTTTTGGTTCAAAACTCACCCTCGACCACTCCACAGATGAAATTTCCATTTTTTGTGTTCAAATTTTCTGAATTTGGTAGGTTAGAATCCTCCGCCATTTTTCAGTCCGCAACGTCAACGAGACTGACACAAACTAAAATGTTTGGGCAGATTTAGGCAACCAGCAATACTCTCAGGGTATGCAACCTAATAAACACTATTATCTCAAAATGGAACTCTACAGTTTTGTTACCGACACACAGTATTCTTATCTCTTTCGTAGTAAACAAGAAATTGTATTTAAAAAACACCCCATTATATAGAAAAGACGTTTATTTTCGCACGTAGTTCATATAAACCTAGATAAGGTACTAAATACATAAATAACAATAAAAGCTCCTCCCACTCATCGAAGTCACGGTTTATTCGCATCAGTTCTCGCTTTTCTCTTCGGCCTCGTCCGCCGACAACACAAGAAAGCCAAGCACGCAACAACGAAGAAAATCAAATAAAAAACGGCTAAAGCTACCGGAGTATTTCCATAGTTGTGGAATTGCAAGTGTGACGTCACGTATCCGTAGTTCGCCAAAACTTGGGTACCATTTCCTGTCGGACACGGTAACTGCACTATAATGTCTTGATGTTGCACTTGTTTGTTTCTACAGTACATTAAAGCGGAACTACTGGAGATAGCCTCTGGAGATAGTTCGCGACTTAGCAGATATGGCATGGTCCAAGTGGTGGGACTGAGGTACTCCAACCATTTCAGGTAATTAGGTAGATCCCGGAAATGGATTAAGTAACCGGAAGAGACAAAGAAGGCGGTCAGGAAAATGGAGGAAATGGTAGCCGCGGTATCGCGAAGCGGGATCAAGTAGGTGAAGGCTAGGAGGAATTGCTGGAGGGAGATTAGGTAGAGGAGCATGATGCCGATGTAGATGTAGAAGCCTTGGTAGTCGTTGAGACTTTGCATGTAGAGACCCGACATGGAGTAGCTTGGCACTAGATAAATTAACCAGATGAAGAGAGAAGGAGGGAGATTGATGATGCTCTGGAAAAAAATTGTGATTAGGTGGTACTGCTTCTAGCGATAGATTACTTTTAATGTAATGTAAGTCAGTCTGGTGTACAGGCCATCTTTGATGTCTCTATCCACCGTGTTTTTGTTTCTTTGCACTTCCGAAAGTGTTAGAAGGAGAAGGAGTGGCCAAGACATGACGCACATCACACTATAGTGGTACCCGATTCGATCATTTAGGTTGAGTTGAGGGTCGCTGTTGGGGACATCCCAGAATATTGCACCTATGATGAGAGAAAGACTGGCTGCGATGACTATAAGGGTCAACCAAGTGATAAAAGTAGCTGGTTGGGTGTAGATCATAGATTTTCTACAATAGTCGTAATAAAACGAGAATCAAACACGTTTGGTAGTACTTACGTAAACAATACAAACCCTTGCACGAAACAATTCGACGTTCTAACAGTCATCGGAAGGGTTGACGGTGGTCCTGGATCACTCATCGGTTCTTGCTTCTGTCTAAACACTTCAGCCAGTTGTTCTATCCTTTGTGACGATTCAAGCATAGCTTCCGCCGACAGATCATCAAGTGTTACCAAATCAACTACAAAATTACAAATAAACCTATTTCTTCGTCTTTCGTGCTAATCTTCACACTTACGATAATAATCTGACGGGTTTTTGAACGAAGGGCACGGATAATCCACCAAAGCAAAATATGGCAACATATCCCGCCTCCTTCCACTAAACATGGTCCTTCCGGCCGAAATAAGCAAAATCCTTGACAACATCGTAAAAATTTCGTACGTCGGAGGATGCAGCGTCAAGATCACAATCCTACCCAACGCATTCCCCGCACCCCCATTCGCCCACTGCCTCAAATACTCAACCAGAAAGAACGTATCGAAGATATCCATCCCTCTAGTGGGTTGATCCAGCACCACCATATCCGTATCGAGCAGTAAATGACAAGCCACATTCAGTCTTCGTCGTTCTGAAATCGTCATCGCCGCCACTTTCGTGTTCCTCACTTGCTCTAAACCCAAATCCTCGATTAACACATTAATCTACAAAAAAAGAAACAGTGTGTTGTGGTACCGGTGTGAAAGCTCGTACCCTATCCATGGCATCGATTTTCAAGTATCCTAACTTATCGGTGGGTTTCTTGAGATCATAGTGGAACCGCAAGGTTTGTATCACTGTCATGTCTTTACACAAATGAGGGTCACTTTGCACGTACGCCACACGAGAACGCAAAGCGTTCGATTTCACGTTTTGTCCGTTTAGAATGATGTCACCGACGACGGGGGAGGCGGTTCCGGCCACCAAGTCGAGCAGAGCTGTGCCTTCTTCTTCGGACGTTGCCATAATGGCCATGATTTCGCCGCCGCGGATCTCGAACGAGACGTCGTTGAGGAGGAGGTGTTGTTTGGAGGAGAAGCAGGAGGAGGATTTGGGCCAAACGCCAACGCCGCCAACCTGGGGATAACAATATGACGATTTCGTACTATAGCTGTGTACGAAGTACCTGTAGGTGCGGGTAGATGAATGAAGTACCCGGGTCTTCGTCTTGACTTAAATAGTCAGTTCTGATTACCGAAGGACCCCTTCTGGAAGTCGGTACTGATAAATGGCTTTCAGCTTTGGAAACGGGTCGTACCATGTGGCTAAAATTAAATTTAAAGACTTTGAAAGTGGTAATGGACGGCAAACCTGTGGTCCATCAAGTCGTGGTGGTGGCCGAACTCCGCCACGCTGTTTCGTCTCGGGTCTCTCATGTGGGGGTGCGTCGGTATGTGGTACCCCCTTGCGTATTCCGTCGCCAGTAAATTAGCCTCTGATATGCTTTTATTTCGGTTCCATTGTTGGGTGGACGAGCGGATTCCACCTTGTTGCATCGCTGCCAGTGGAATTCCTGGTGGACTTCCCTATGAATCAAAAATATTTTCATCTAGATTATATTTATTTCAACACCTGCCACAATAAATTAGGGTTAATGGTGTGGTTAAGTTAATGTGGCTACACAATGGGTTAAATGAGACGCGTAAACGCCCATTAAGAGCCCGTGGGAAAGAGTTTCAATGGCCCTACCCCTTGGTACGACGGATGGGCATTCTGCATCCGGAAGTCTGGATCCGAACGGTACTTCCTGTTTTGCTTATATTGGTTTGTTGTTTCGTTGTCCGAACTGTCGTAGCCGGAACTGCCGTCTCTGGGGCCGCGGCTTCCGCTTTTAATACCTCTAAACAAATAAAAATTAAAATTGGAAGCTGATCTTTGATTCAACAAAATACCTTGTATGCGGTCTTGTGGAAGCGTTTCTGTGGAAATGTTGAGGGGTTCCTGACCGATTGGAGCCGTTATGGTTTGGAGGGAAAACGCGAGGAAGTCCGAATTTCAAATAAGTGTACATGTTGGAGCCAAGAGCTGATCTAAAATGCCTTCTGGTTAGAACAGAGTTTCAAAAAGAGAACAGAAAAATAGGTTGAGGTCGTATTAGAAATATTGGAGAAATTCCGCGAAATCTTGTTTCTTAAAGACGTCACGGATTAAACAGATTTGGAGGAAATTTCTAATAACGCTTAGAACAAAAAGTGTGATAATTAGCGAAAAAATTAACGGTCCATAAAATTGAATGGGTCTCAACAGTAGTCTAAACTCGTACATACTTTGGTCCATATCTGGGATGGGTCAAAATCGACTGCACAGTTGTATCCCTTAGTTGAAAATTTCCGTACGGTAAAGGACTCTTGTCGGTTGAACCCAAAGCGCTGTCAGTGAAGTCGGAGTTCAGATTTTGCCTGTATATGGACCAAGCGTGGAGATCCTCACTGGTGGTACCGGAAAACACCCTCGAATCTGGATTGGAAGGCACTGAATACTTCCGTTCCATTTCGAAACCTTGCGAGCCACCCCCCTGGGAAGGGGTGCGACTTCGCACCATCGTGGTTCAAATTCCCGTCAGTCTGCAAAAAACCATAAAGGTCATAAACCGGTACTAACCAAGACAACACATTTCAGAGAAATTTACGATCCATGAGATAACAACAAATGACTTCACCTTTACTTTCCCAAGAATTTCCACATCACAGTACTTCGTAAATGTCATACCTTGAGGGAAATGTATCATAAAGTTAATCGTGTGTGATATATGCTTAAATCATTTTGACATTTCTCATGTTCCCTTTAAACGACTTAGTCTTAAGTCTTTAGTTATCTAAGCCCCCTTGACCTTCGCGCAAACAACTACTTCTTATGCACAGCGCCATGTACGGCACGCCCACACAAAGCCCCTGATTGCAATCGCAAAATAATTATTCTGATTAACACAACCGTTGACATAACATCCAAGGTATTCTCTTCCTCACGTAGGAGCACCACCTTCTAGCAGGCCTCCAAGCTCTAAAACAATCAAACCACACTCATCCATGCATGACCATGACTCAAGCCGCTATCACACATGTCCCTTCATTTTCATACAAGCGACAAAAAATGGTCCGGAAAGAGACCGGGACTCCACCTTTCGCATTCTTGCGAAGACCTTGGTCGAGGATGTTGTCTCTTTAGAGTCCGTAACGCATTCGATTACACGGTGCTGCTCCTTAAGTGTGAAGGTCGCATATCCGAGTAAAGTTCAGATGTCCGAGTGGGCGTTACACGTTTTTTGACGTTACTTGCTTATCTGAGCACCCTGTATCATTTTGTTTATGTTTGACTTCAAAAGTATTCGACCGGAGGCTAGCGGCGGTCACTTGAAAGTGGGTTAGACGTTTAGCAAGAATACAAATTGCTCCATGTGTCCGAGCTTCGAAATTTAATCGCATTGTCTCAGAAGCGAGGAATTTGGTCATTTTTAAGCGGTTTGGTATGGTTGGGTGGACCGGGATGAGCAGATGCTGGTGTAATCGATCTGTAATTGGTCGGGGACAAGTAGGACGTGGATTTAACGAGAGAAATTACAAAAGAAATCGAAGTGTGATGGACAATATGAGGAAAGAGCAAAATATTTTAATGAAGCTCGAAGTGAAATTTTTGTTAGAGGCGAGTAATTGGGAAAACGTGATTTTTGGAAAGTTACAAGAATGAGGCTAATCTGTGGAAGAGATTTGCTGCCGCAAAACGACAATGTCGTCAAAAAAAAAAACAACCACACACACTTGAGATCGGTACTTCAATAGTACCTGAGTCAACTACTCTGTAAATCAATTATTTTTTCAGATGTGGACAGACGGAATTCTTTCGGTACTCTTACTCAACCAACAGAACATAAACCTATGGTGCATAACCATACACAGTGCATTTTTTCCACGTATGGTACTCCTCTATTGTTAAGGCGCACATTTTGGATCCTCCTCACGTTTTGTCCCTGAACATCTTATCAACACGTTTTGGTGTCTACTTAGCAAACAGTCGCCGCTTTGCCAACGCACAGTCCATTTTTATCGCCCATTAAGGCCTATCTCCATCGCCGTGTCGTACCCAATTTGCATAAAAATCAGCCCACAAAATAAAAACCATTCATGGAATGCAGTTAACACAAAAACACACATTTACAATGCAAAACAATAAAATGCCACAAAAAACAGTGGCGTGCGTCGGCTCACTAAACCGACTAAACAACAAATATCGTGCAGAGATTATGCAAATAATGCAGGAAGTGTTGCACGCACCGTGTGAATGATTTTTCTCGGATAACTATATTAAGTCAGGTGCGTTAACCCGGAGTCACTTTCGTCGGTTTGAGGGTTTGAGGAGTTATGGTTGGTATCATTGTGTGAGGAGTCAGTGGCCCGTCAGTAACCTCTTCAAGGTTAAGAGTCTGCATTATTAATAGCGAGTGCACAGTAGTACCACACGAAAATTGGGTCGTGTCATATGGCGAACTGCATTTACTGTTGCTAGTGTAATTGCGAAATGGGGAAAAGCTGAACATCCTTCAATGGTGTGATTCATGGTATTGTTATTCCGTATCGGCCTACAGTTAATTATTGTTATTATTAAAGTGATGCTAATGAAGTGGTCATACGCTGACCGGAGGCTGGGTGACGTCACAACAAATTGCCAACCACTTATGAATTATCGATGACAGTTGGCAGCCTTGGTAGCTGATAGGAAATTGCGGAATGGAAACTATTTATCCTTTACTAATTTAATTTGATTTGTGTTTACAGTAATTTACAGTTTGGAACAATGACATGTGTTAAGCTGGAAACGTATTGTAAGAAGTGATATTTTAGAAGGTGTAATTGGAAGCAGATGGTCCACTGTGATGGCTACAATCACTTGATGCTCCCATTTATCATACAAATAAAACACTATTCGCTACAGATGCAGTTCTTGTCCGAAACGTCCTACTTGCTTTTGTAACTTATTTTGCACATCACAACTTACTAAACAATAAAGACTTGTGCAGTTACTCAGTGCTTACAGTATTTCTCACGTAATAGTTTTCTTGTACTGTTGAAAATTCGACTTCTTCGGGTAGTGTCTGGTGTCACTAACACGCTATCGGCGTTCCGCTGTGTTAATCATCGTCATACATTTAATCACTGACAGTTTATGCAGCAAGTAGACAGAACAGAGTCACCAACTGCAAATCACAGCCAACGCCAGTCCAGTTGTTTTTTAACCACACAATGTCCAAACGCCGACTTTAAAAACATCAATCCGCTTGTGTAAAATCACGTTTTGCACGCAGCCGCATCTTTTCGTATTTTATTATTATTATTTTCTTATTTTCCAATAAAGTCGCAGGAGTCCCTGCAGGATCCCGCCGCTGACATTTATGTATTAATCCGGTTACAAAATTTCGCCCGGTACAGTGAACATCTTTGTATAAATCTCCATTAAATCCACTTTATATGATGTGCACAAAGTAATAAAAACGCAACGGTTGGTATCACTGACCGCTGAAGAACTTACTCAGTGAGTCTGCAGATTTAAGAATGTGATTTACCGATAAAGCCGAAGGAACAGTAAGAAGACAGATACAAAAGTAATGACAACCGCTGACACTAAAGCGCCTTTGTTGATTGACAGAAAGAGTAGATAGAGGCGCTCAAGAAACAATAACCTTCAAAGACGTCGGAAGCTCTTTGAAGTAGCGGTACTTTATCGATTTGATACGCGAACCTAGTGAAAAAGTTATTGGATTCTTTAGCTTTCGAAATTATCGACGTTGCGACGTCGAAGTGTGTTAGAAGTACGCATTTTCACATGATTACATTCCTGCTGGTTTAACCTCATTCCTGCTGATAAATATGGAAGAACAAGCGTCTGCTTTACGTTTCTCTGCGTTGTTGAAGATTAGCTTTATCATGGCGTTTTGTCCGGTTTTTGCCTCGGAATGACTTGAAATTCCTGCAGTTTTTAGCAATTTTTAAGTGCGAATTCTCGCAGGGAACGACGTTAAAAATTTCGCAGAACCCACGCTCGTAATTAGCATGACTGAAAAAGACGTTGAACTAACGAGACAGCAGGAAATTCATCGCTAACAGTTTTTTACAGAATTCGTGCACAATTGAATGGTAATTTATTGCAGCACTTAATGTAGATTACCTTTTAATTTCTTGAAATTCCTGCTGATCGCACTATTATGTGCTAAGTAAAAGTAAAAAACTTGTTGCGTTACTTAACACTGGCGATTTACATTTTATATTAGCATTTCCTATTTTGTTCAAGAGAAGAAAGCAGGAAAATTGTTCGGGAACATTTACGGCGGCAAATGTAGCAGGAACGTGCTTGTCGTAACGTAACAATTAAACAAATTACAACTTTACACAATACGACATAAATAAATGTGAAGAATTTAGAAATTTAGTCTAATGAAAAGTCATTGAAGCAAATTTTTGGGTTGGCAATTCTGAATTATTGTCTAACAAATGTACTGAGAAGATGGCAGCTACTGTTGCCAATCTGACAAAAAAATCACAAACTTAGTAGTCGCTTTAGGCTCATAAAAACTAAAAACCGTTTGTTTGTTGATTATGTTAGTTTTGTAGTAGCAAGCGTACTTTCCATTGTATTCATAATCACTTCATTGTAGCATCATAAAACATTACATTAGATATTAGATAGGTATTTGCTCTAACATCAAACTTATCTGACAAGGTAAAGAAACAATAATAAACATGGTATAAAGATGATTATATGATACACCATAAAATGTTAAATATAGAAAAAGAAGATTAAGCAGGAGATTGAGTGAAAGAGCGATAGGTGGAGAAAAAGACCTAAAGAAGAAAAATAAATGGTATTGTGAAAGACGAAGAAAATTCTTAACCAAGAATGACACAGAAGAAAAATGTTATTGCAATATCTAATGGTATGCGACACCTACGAAGATAAATCATGACAAGGATTATACACCTGTTGCGGTGACTCAAAGAAAGTTCGGTTTTAACAATCTGAAAAATTCCCCAAAAAAATACTTACTTGTTGAAAAAATCTGCCTTTATTTATACTCTTTTGCGAATAAATATTTTCGAAATGACCCCTTTCTTCGCATAACTGCTCCTCCGACAAAGTGTAACAGGAAACCCATTGACAACATTTCAAAACATGTTGATTAGAACGTTGCAATAATTAACATAAACCTAATAGTTATTAGTGGCCTTAAGGAAAATCCGTTGTTTGAATTTTAAGTAAAGAAGACCCGTTAACCTGCAAATTTTTTGCCAGTTTGACAAAAATTCGAACAAACAACTTCAGAAAAAGTGTTTTGGGAGTGTCAATGTCCTGAATACCTGAAATTCCTGCTCCTTTATTATATAACTTTGTTTAATTAAATTATTTTTAACTATGTGAGAAAATCGCCCGTTTGTAAAAATTTTCGTGAATAATGAAGATATCAAAGTTAATAAAGTCTCACGCTACTCGTTATCTAATCAACATTTAAATAAGAATTACGAGCTTAATTACGCGTTTAATAAGTTTTAGTGACGATTTTACGCTTCTCGAGTAGTAAATCTTCAATAAAGGTTACGAAATTGAGCGAAAGTCGTCGTAGTAAAAGACATTCCATCAAACTAGATCGATTTATGTAAGGTTTATACTTATTAATTAATTTTGCACACCTAGATTTCATAACATGAATGTAAATGAGAGCGTAATAGTAACCACATCCCACTTTCGAGTTGTGTTTTTGGTTTTTAATCCGGGATGTTGTAGAGGTTACTGCCTTGACGTTACGTTGAAGTCTTATCTCCGAAGCTGTAAGTCCCAACCTTGCAATTACCACGGTTCGTTAATCAAAACAAATTTCACCTTTTTGAAGCAATTATCAGATTTTTTTCTATGGTAAACAAAGAGAAGACACTTAAGCGTAACTGTATCTAATTGCTCAACACCTCGCACTCACCGGTCATAATTTTGGCGGTTTTCGACAAAGCCTTCGTCCTAAACCCCCAAATTGTCTCATCCTCTGCCTCACACTAGCACCTGCATGTCCAAATAACCCCGACTCGAAAATACGCACTGTCCCAGCGAAACCACTGAAGCGGTACTACCGAATGCCGATGTACTCAACAAACTAGGTTTTCTGACGTAAGGAACGTTGCCAACACAACGGAATTTAACCCACCACGTTGTGTCCTCTTCTTCAAAAACCCGAATCAAAATCAACCACAAACCGCCTCTCGCCCGAACCCAAACAACATTAGCACCAATCCACAATTCGACGGCTTTTTGGAGGGGTACCCACACCATCAAACCTTCCTTCCACCTTTCCACCGCAGCCGACACTCAGTCGTTTGCTGGAAGAGATGAGTGCGCCATGATTTCGAGCGACTACGTGTTGGAACTGTCAAATGTTTTCTACTCGGGGCAGGTAGTACCGATTTTTGCGAAAGTACCTTTTCTAGGACGATTGCCGCAGGTGGAGCCGGGCTCCTGCATGCAGAGGCTCATGGGCAGCATCAAGACGGGGGTCATCCTGAAGGATGTGTCGATGACGGTCCACACGGGGGAGGTGATGGCAGTACTGGGTTCGAAAGGGAGCGGCAAAAAGGCGCTGCTCGATGTTATCTCGCGGAGAGTCCAAGGACCCACGAGAGGTCAAATTCTGCTCAACAACCATCCGATGAACCTGAGTTTATTCCAGCAGAGGTGTGGGTACGTCACGCATAAGTGTGACCTTATTCCCGGACTGACGGTGGAGCAGACCCTGTTCTACACCCCCACGAAAGTGAGTGGTTGCGAAAAAGTTAATAATTAGGGACGAAAAGGCGACGAATGTTATTGAGTTGTTTGAAGTCTTAAAGGACACTTACACATGTCTGGTTTTTGCTAGTACTAGCAGCCGAGATTCATTATTTAAAAGACAAATCTGACATATTTAAAGAGTACTTTTTCATCGATTCTTTAAACAAAAACGTACATTAGTTAGTAGGGGAACGTCTGGTCCACTTTTTGGCGGGAAAATTTGAATTCGTACGAAAACGCGGGTTACGGCCCACTTGATTCTGCCTACTCCTGCGCACGAATTCAAATTATCCTGCCAAAAAATGATCTAGAAGCTCCACTACGTAACTATTTAGATTCTGACTGGTTAATATATCGATGTGGCCACTAGCACTCGTAATCATCTACTGAAAAAGTTAAAAACTAAAGACACAGTTATACAGCTGCTCATAGTCAAGTCGAGTAGCTAAAAATTCATTTTTTATTCTCAAGCGTATCTTTTCAATTGTGGTAGTCTGATGTATTTGCTTGACAAACTCGCAAATGTGTAATTATCATTTAACCGCACGATGATTATCAAATTTCCTGTTTGTGCGACATAAAAATAGCTTTAATAAATGTCAATACGTATATTCTTTTTACGAGCCGAAAGTACCGCAAATTTAAAGGTTCAGGGAAGTCTCAAACAAAAATTAGATTGCTTGATATAACTGGTTTTGTCTGTCTCTACGCCCCTGACAGTTATCATAACCTTCGGTTCCTTCATACTTGTTAAATACATAATAAGGTACCACATGGTACTGCATACACCTTAACGGTTCCTTCTTTCAGTTCACCGGCTACTTGAAAAAATCCAAAGTCAAACAAGTCATGGCCGACTTGGCCCTGTCTCAAGTGGCCAACCGCTGCACCGAGAACCTAACTCAAAGCGAGTACCGCCGCCTCATGATCGGCATCCAGCTGATCAAAGACCCGGTTATCCTACTCCTGGACGAGCCCACTTGGGATTTAGACCCCTTAAACACCTACCTGGTCGTGTCTATACTCTCCAACGCGTCGAAAAAATACGGTACGGCCATAATCCTCACAATGGAAAAACCTCGTTCGGATGTCTTTCCATTTTTGGAAAGAGTTCTTTACTTATGTCTCGGCGACGTCGTTTATACCGGAGGGACAAGGCAAATGTTGGAATATTTCAACGCTATCGGATTTCCTTGTCCGCAGCTCGAGAACCCGCTCATGTATTACTGTGAGTTGTGTGACAATAGGTACTTTATTTGCATCACACCGAGTACTAAACTTGCTCTTGCAGTATGTCTGAGTACCGTTGATAGAAGATCGAGAGAACGATTCGTGGAAAGCAACCATCAAATAGCCGCATTGGTGGAAAAGTTTAAAATTGAGGGGAGTGCGTATAGGAAGGGGTCGATTAGTGGACCCAATCATGCGATGGAGGGGACTTTGGGGGGAAAAGTACCCTTGCTGGTGAGTCGGCCGGGGGCGTGGCAAGTGGGGTGGACGCTGTACAGGTGAGCGTGATTGGACTATAAGTTACCCGATTTTACTTTTTTGGGTTTCAGTCGGCTGCTAGTAGGTACTGTCAGTATACAGAAGTATGGACTTTTAAGAATGTTCCTGAGGCTGCTTCTTCTACCTTTGTTTTTCTTTCTGCTGTGGATTTTCTACCGGGATATGAAAATGTATCAACACACTTTCGTCACTCGAAGTGGATTCATACTGAATTGTCTGTGTGGGGCGTACTTTTTTGGAATACTGAACTCGATTTTCTTATGTGAGTTTGACTAAGTTTGGAAAAGCTTGATTTTGGTTTTAGATCCGGCTTTCAGGACGAGGTACTTTCAAGAGTCGCAAGAGGGACTGTATGGTGGTACCTTGTTTCTTATAACTTATAACCTAGTGTCCATACCTTTTTCGTTTGTGTCTATGGTGGCAGCAAGTTCTATTGTTTATCCGTAAGTACTAAAGTGTGTTAATAAATATTAATAGTAGTAGTACTTTTGCAGATTAGTCGGAAGTTTTGACGAACCTTTGCAGTACCTTTATTTCGCTTTAGTACTATGGGCTTGCTACATTTTCGCCGAACAACAAACAATGGCCATCTTAATGGTGGTGAAAAGTCGGCTTTCGGCAGCCATATTTAGCATCTACATCACGTGCATCTGCATTACTTTGGGTAGCGGAATTTTAAGGTACCACCGAAAAAAAATTAGAAAGTACGAAAAACTCAATTGTGGTGGTTTTAGATCCATCAAAGGTCTCCAACAATGGCTCTACTACCTCACCTACGCCACTCAAACCCGCTACGCCTCCGCCTTTCTCACTCGCCAAATCTTCTCAATCCCAGAACTCCTAGGGACTCTCCCTTACGACTCCAAACACAACTGCACCAACATGAACCTTATCGAAACCTCAATAACTAACAACCACCTCGGGTACTGCCGCTACTCCAGCGGCCAAGAATTCCTCATCGAGCGGTACTCCAGAGACAAGACTGAAGTCATCTTCAGCGACGGCATCCTCGACTCCGACATGAACATAGGGATTACTTTTGCCTTCGCACTAGGAATGGTAATCTTCAACCTCTTTCTGTACCTAATCCCCCTCCCCGCATTCGTTAAGGCTAAATTTAGAGAATAATGTACAAATATTTAATAAAATGTATTTAAATTTGAGGCATTGTTTTCAAGTTTGGGCACACTTGGAATTTCGCAGCGGTGGATTTTTGCACGTCTTCCACAGTTTGGCCTTCTGCGATTTCCACAAGAGTGAGACCTTGGGAGCGGTCTATGTTGAAGACGCCTTTTTCGGTGATGATCATGTCGACGCATTGTTTACCGGTGAGGGGGAGGTTGCACTTTTCAAGGATTTTGGGGCTGCCGTTTTTGGCTGTGTGTTCCATGCAGACGACGACTTTGGTTCCTGGGGCTGCTACCAAATCCATGGCGCCGCCCATGCCTTTGACAAGTTTTTTCTGGAATAAAGGGTTCGTTAATAGGAAAAGTGTGAAGAACAACACGTACCGGGATCATCCAGTTTGCTAAGTCACCAAACTGGGAGACCTCCATGGCGCCCAACATAGTTAGATCGATGTGGCCCCTACAAACTCTATTAGTACTAAAATTGAAGAGTTGAGGTAACTTTACCCTCTGATCATTGCAAAACTATCATCACTACCAAAGTAGGAAGCTCCGGGTACCACCGTCACCGTTTCTTTACCAGCGTTGATAAGATCAGGGTCTACGTTTTTAGGTGTGGGGAATGGCCCCAGTCCCAGAATACCGTTTTCGGATTGCAGGAGCACCTCCATATCGTTTGGTATGTAATTGGAGGCCAACATAGGCATACCAATACCAAGGTTCGCTGAAACCTCCACATGAATTGAATTCAGCACTCGGGTACTACTTACCATACATCCCATCTTTAAATTCTAAGGCGGCCCTTCTGATTATTTTTTCTCTAACTAGAGCAGCCGCTGATTTCTTCACTGGTTCCTTATCACCCTCTTCCTTGCTAACGCAAAGTCGTTCTATCCTCTTTAAGTACTTTTCCCCCTTCACAATCCTGTCTACGAAAATCCCTGGAAGGTGCACCTCGTCGGGCTTTATATCCCCAACTTCCACAATCTCCTCGACTTCCGCGATGGTAATTTTTGCCGCTTTGGCCATCGCGGGGTTAAAATTCCGCGCAGACTTACTAAAAATCTAAATTTACTCTATCCAGACACTAGTTAAACAACTAACTTAAAAATCAAGTTTCCGTAAGGATCGGCCTTCCAAGCCTTCACCAAAGCAAAATCCCCCGTTATTGCCTCCTCCATGATGTAGTCAATCCCGTTGAACTTCCTGGCCTCCCTTGCTGGACTCGGTATTTTCACTTTCCCATCCCCTCCGTACGCAATCGGGGCTCCTCCTTCATGCACCAAAGTACCGAAGGCCGTGGGAGTGAAAAAGGCAGGGACCCCGGCACCTCCAGCTCTTATGCGTTCCGCCAGAGTCCCTTGAGGGGTTAACTCCAATTCGAGTTCACCGGATAAGTACTGACGTTCGAACTCCGCGTTTTCCCCCACGTAGGACGATATCATTCTTTTGATTTTCCGTTTTTGGAGGAGGAGGCCTAACCCGAAATCGTCCACTCCAGCGTTGTTGGAGACCACTGTCAAGTTTTTGGCGGGGTGTTGGATAAGGGCGGTGATGAGGTTCTCGGGGATGCCGCAGAGGCCGAAACCCCCAACCAGGAGTTTGGAACCATCTTGGATGTCCTTGATGGTTTCGTTGACGTCTTGGTAGATTTTAGAGCGGCGGGATTTTGTGGAAAATTGGCAGGTTATGACCTGGAAGATGGATTTGTGTCACCTAATTTTGAACATTAATATGAAAGTCAGGGTGTCGCTAATCAGAGCATGCTAATCAGAGTCATCTGTGAATCAAAATGTTTTCAGTCTCTTGGTTGCGCGAAAACAAAATCTGCCAAAAATATCTTATTTAAAAATAAATATTTCAAGAACTAAGCTTGGGTTGTGTGATATTATTTATTACAATTGTGACGTTTTTGATAAAATAATCTCCACATTTAGGAATGATTTAACTGATATAAGTAAAACCTTGCGAATTAATTAAATCGTAAGATTAACATTTACTGCGAAAATAAGGTTGTTTGTAAACAATATTATGCAAGGAATAGGCGATCTATTAATACCTGCCCGTATTTACATTAGAAAATGCTTCATCACTGTGTTATTTTTGTTACTTTCGTTTTTCGTTCAAAATTATATTTTATGGAAAATTAGTAAATATGGATGTCCGATAATCAAAAATTTGTCATCTCTTTAGATATGAGGCAATCCTGTCGTCAGATAACATTGTATAATTGTAGCCATTTTAATTGATACGGATTGCGCCACAGATAAGACCCATCACATTAAGCATAACAATTCCGAAAATTCTAAGGTTAAGCGTTTAGTGCGTAGAAGTACCTGACGATTGTATGAAAATGAACTTTCTAACTTTATTAGAAATTCGTTTCGCTCACAATCCTAACCTTTAACGTAGCAGGAAATTATTCTTCTTACCTTGCACAATTTTTTCGGAGATAAATCGCCCGTTTCTTTACATAACACACTCCCTCCACGTCGACCCAGCGTAAAATAAACCACGTTCAACATTTCGTCGACTTTCAAACGGTACGCCGCGCACTGCCGACACACATCTGTTTGAAATGTTATAGCGCGATTCCATTATTATTCGTTCCACAAGGTTATCATGTTTTTCTGTTTTCTTTTATTATCGTGTTATCGCAGAACGTATTAATAGAATCCTCAGGGGGTTAGTTGCTAGACACACCCGTACATACCTCCGAAATAAAGAACATCTACATAATTGTTTTTATTTTAAAAATTACATTAATAACACAAATAATTTCATTGTCTAATCGATGCACCCGGTGAAGATGCAAGAAATGCGAAATTGTTTATAAATAAATGAAAGTGGCACTGCTTCATCAAATTCTTCCGTCTCGAGCGTCTGTGATTGCTCCCCATAACTCAATTACCAAGTCGTCCGTGAAACCCAGTTCTTCTAAATCGGAATTGTCCACAGCGTCGGCGAAGTCCATCGAGTTGGTTTTTCCCATGGCGGTTTCCCAGATTCGGGTCGCGAGCTCTTCGTCGTTGATCCCGAGGAAGCTCTCCAGGATCGAGTTGATTTTCTCCACGCCGACGTCCATCACGTCATCCTGAAAACCAACAGAAAAATGAGACATTCCAAGAAAAACGAAACGTTTGTGTTCGTCGTTTGGCGACTGTCAAGCTATAATCTACGTTGTTATTAAATAAGTTACCCATCGACGAAGTTATCAAATTCTGACACTAACAACGTGGGAGATTAGGTCGAGTCATTAACAATAAACACCCACTTTAATTGGGTTTAGTGCTTTAACGTTGGTACATTCAATGGGTATCACATGAACAAAGACAATGTCATTTTCTTTAATTGAATACTGAGTCTGACCATTTTTGGAAACACTGTATGTAATACATATAAAATTCTGTCGTCTTCAAGTGTGTATACGGCGTGCCGTTATATATGCACACGTAAGTAGCCCCTCAATCAATGCCAAACCTTCTCGAATCGATAAAAACTCAAAACCATTAATCATTTTACCTTCTCCTCTATCTCCGCGTTCCCTCCCGCCTTAAACCTGAGCGTCTCTCGTCCAGTACCGTAATTAGATTTTTTGCTACCCCCCCTCGAGTTGCTCTTCGGCGCTATGCTGTTGAAACCGCTCTTCATCGGCTCGATCAACCGAATCGTGAAAGTCTCTCCTTTGGGAATTTCCTTTAAGATTTTTGCGACTTCGAAGTGTCTTTTGCCGACCATCACTTCCCCGTTGAGCTTCTCTATGTGGTCTCCTACTTGAATGTGGGGTATGTTGTGTATGACGGAGCCTTCCTTGATGCGTTTGATGAAAGCGAAGCCGGCGCCATTGTCCGTGATTGTTAGCCCGAGTGCATCTTCGGATTTTACCAGTTCGACTTCTTTGGGTCGGCCTGAAACAGGGGTCAACGGATGAAGACTTATAAGAAATGTGGTTGTAAGGCGGAGGGGGCTCGGGTTTCGGAGTGAGGAGGTAGATTAGTATGTAGGGTATCGGAGAAAATGTGGATTGTGATGGAAAAGGAGATTAGGTGTGGAATTTAAAAAACGTTATATAAGATTTGTTTTTAAGGATTGATAACCTAAATATGTTTTAAAAAAATTGTAGATGATTTCGGTTTCGCAATATACTTGATATATGAGTTTTTTTATGTCGCATGCTTGCCACGCGAGGATCAACGGAATTACACCTGAAGACGTTTACTCAACGTCTCCACCTGGCGTAAAATAACTCTTCTCCTATAAAGGAGTCTATTTTAGCAAATTATATGTGGTTTGAAAAACATACTACATCTTTTTTACAGCACAACTACTATAATTTTCGATTATGCCGTGCATTCATGACATGTAACAATTAAATGTCATCCATTTAACAAGTTTCTATGTTTATTGTGTTTCTGGGTGACTTTTTCACATTACCTCAAGCTTTATTTCTGTGAGTCAATTTCCATACGTACTGTTGAAGCTAAAACGATAAGCAAAATATATGTTAAGGTTAAACTGAAATATAGGTGCCAACAGATAAAAAAACGGATATGCACAAAACTCAATAACATCACGAAATTACGACTTCCGTTGGGTATTAACACAGTAATCATCAGAAAAAAGGTTAAGTACCTTAACACAGAAATACCATCATGAATAAAATTTATTTTCTTTGAAAATACAGTATATTTAATAAATTTAATCAAATTCCACGGCGTATTTAAATTTGACGATTCAAAATCGTTAATCAATACCGTGTTTGCCTCTAAGCCACATTAAAACCCAATCAATGTTCGTTATACAAGAAAAACATTCGATTTAATTGTTTTAATACCATTGAAAAACTCACCACGCCGCCGCCCCCCAACCACAATGTACTTTCGACATTGCATGACCGTACCATACTCCACCAACCGCTCCCTGATGACACTAAACACCAGCGACCATTAAACGTACTATTTATACCAAAAATTTGCGCAAAGCACCATCTGGTCCGGCTTAAATAAAAACCCCGTTTATCAAAGTCCATCAGCTACTGTGGACGTAAAAATTAATTAAATAAAGTCAGCACCGGACTAGCTTTATTTTAGTTTTATTTGTTCCCCAATACCGCCGACAACCCGACAGTTATCCGCATTGTCGGCGTGCGTTTTCAGCTCACATGCCACAGTACCGTAATGAAAGTAATTCAGATTGTCGTCACCTGTGAGGCCAACGGGATTTGCATCTATTCAGCTTACCTTTTCTGTGTGCAAAAATGAAGTCCTCTAAGCCGATTTGGCCTCCTAACAGCTTCTTCATATCCGCCTTGTATGTGTTCAAGGTGCAGAATAATATCTGGGGACAAGAAATTAGTGTAATTATCGAAGACAATGAAATAACATTGACAAAAGCTATTGATTTAAATCCGTCATGGAGGCCGGATATATGCTGGATGGGTGGCAGGATGTTCCGATACACTTTATTAGATTGGGTGGATGGAAGTGGACGCGAATGCGGGCGAATATTATATTAGGTGCTTGTATATTGTACACTTTGAAAAATAAATTTGAATCTGCGGCAAAATGGCTCATTATTGCACGATTTTGTTGCTATGCAATCTACGCAGAATCTGATGTGCAACTCGTCATTAAAAATAAACAAGATATTTATCTCAAAGTTCACTGAATTATTTTTGATCAGAGAATGATGTCCCCATTGGTGATAAAACCTAAGATTTAGTCCCTCGATACATTTAATAATTTGATCAATCCTGAAATCAAAATTTTGCTAAATTGCATTTTGCACTTTTCGACTTTGTTTCTGAACGCTGTCTGGTAAATTCCCTGATTAATTCTAATCTGTAAGTACTTTTATCACTTAGATTTATCTTTATAGATCGCAGATAATTCTGAGAAACGAAAATGCAGAACAACTTAATTCATTTTTGACTCTGAAATACAGAAATAGTACACCGGTGTACAGTAGTATTTCTCACGGGAAGTGAAAGTTTGTGGCATGAGCCGAACACAAATGCTGCAATTTATACACTGAGAAATAATTCAGGTGGGACCCTACACTGTTTTAGTGGCAAGAGAAATCTCACGAATTTTGAAAACAAACTTATTCAAATTTTATTTGACAAGTTTGAGTTTCAATGAAAAAAAAAAAAACAGGGGCGGAGAAGAAAATTTTACTTCATTTAAAAGTTATAAAATTTGGATTTTCGTACTCTGAAGTACGAGTAACGAGTAACGAGTAAGAAGTTTGAAAGAATTTTGAAGACCTCTTTCGGTTTGTTTTTGAAGTAGTTTGAAAGAATCTTGGGATCCCTTGTGTGGTTTTTGAACTAATTTGAAAGAATCTCGAGGACCAATTTTGTTTCGTTTTTGAAGTTGGACAGAATTTCGGAAACCAGCTTTGAAGTAGTTTAAAAGAATCTGGGGGACTCCTTGTGCCTGGTTTTTGAAGTAGTTCTTTTAGAATTTAAAAAGAAGAAGAATCTCGAGGACTTCTGTGGATCCTGTTTTTGAAGTAATTTGAAAAAAAATTCGGGGACTCACTGTTTTTTTTTTGGAGGAGTTTGAAATAACCTCGAAGACACACTATGTCTGGTTTTTGAAGTACTTTGAAAGGATCTCGGGAATGCTTTATTGTATGTTTTTGAAGTAGTTTGAAAGGATCTCAGGAACTCTTTGTTTTATTTTTGAAGTAGTAGTAGAGATATTTCAATTCATTGTTTTTAGAACAATTTTAAAGGATCTCCAAAACTCTTTGTGTCTAGTTTTTGAAGTAGTTTGAAAGAACCTCGGGGATCTTTTGTGTCTGGTTTTTGAAGTATTTAAAAGAATCTCGGGAACGTTTTGTGTTTGTTCTTGAAGTAGTTTGAAAGAATCTCGGGGATCCCCTGTGGGTCTTGTTTTTAAAGTAATTTGAAAGAACCTCGGAGACCCCTTGCGTTTTGTTTTTGAAGTGGTTTGAAAGAATCTCGGTGAACCCTTTTGTTTTTGAAGTGAAAGAATCTGGGGGACCACTTGTACTCGGTTTCTGAAGTAATTTTTATAATTTCGGGGACCCCTTTTGTTTTGTTTTTGAAGTAATTTGAAAGAATCTCGAGGACCAATTTTGTTTCGTTTTTTTTGTTTTTAAAGTGGTTTGAAAGAATCTGAGGGACCCTTTGTGCCTAGTTTTTAAAGTAGTTTTTTAGAATCTGGGGGACCTCCTTTGTTTTGTTTTTGAAGTGGTTTAAAAAAATCTCGGGGATTTTTTGTGTCTGGTTTTTGAAATAGTTTTTTAGAGTGTCGGGGACCACCTTTGTTTTGTTTTTGAAGTGGTTAAAACGAATCTCGCGGACTTTTTGTGTCTGGTTTTTGAAGTAGTTTTTTAGAATCTCGGGGACCACTGTTGTTTTGTTTTTGAGGTGGTTTTAAAGAATCTCGGAAACCCCTTATGTTTTGTTTTTGAAGTAATTTGAAGAATCCCGGAGAGTCCCTTTGTTTTGTTTTTGAAGTGGTTTGAAAGAATCTAGGGGATCCTTTGTGCCTAGTTTTTAAAGTAGTTTTTTAGAATCTCGGGGCTCGTTTTGTTTTGTTTTGTTTTTGAAGTGGTTTAAAAGAATCTCGCGGACTTTTTGCGTCTGGTTTTTGAAGTAGTTTTTTAGAATCTTGGGGACCACTTTTGTTTTGTTTTTGAAGTAATTTGAAAAATCCCGGAGAGCCCCTTTGTTTTGTTTTTGAAGTGGTTTGAAAGAATCTGGGAAACCCTTTGTGCCTAGTTTTTAAAGTAGTTTTTTAGAATCTTGGGGACCCGTTTTGTTTTGTTTTTGAAGTGGTTTAAAAGAATCTCGGGGATCCCTTGTGTCTGGTTTTTGAAGTAGTTTTTTAGAGTCTCGGGAACCACTTTTGTTTTATTTTTGAAGTGGTTTGACAGAATCTCGGTGACTCCTTTTGTTTTATTTTTGAAGTAATTTGCAATTAAGCTCCACCCTCGATCTTCCAACAAATCAAAAATTCGTTACAATTGAGAAAGGGGCGGGTGGGTGGGGCTTAATTAATCATTGGTTTATTTTTCTTAATGTGTAGTTTTTCTTCAAAAACACGATATTTAAAATATAATTCTAACCCGAGATTCACTATTTGATAATTTAAGTATTTTATTGTTGAATGAAGATTATGTACATATATTAGGCAAACGAAGTCAAAGAATAAGCCCCACCCACCCGCCCCACGTAAATTGTCATTAATTTTTTTATTGAACGTGAGGCGGGGGCGGAGCTTAAATGAAAAGTTCATAATTATGTGTCATGATCATTTAAAATTGACACACATGGTCCTCGAGACTGGGTCAAAATCATTTAAAATAGACACTTGTAGCCCGAGATTCCTGCAAAATCTTCTGAAAAAAGACACCCGGTACCCCCTTCTTAAAGAATTAAACCAATAAGAATTTTGCAAATAAGCTCCGCCCTCAATCTTCCAACAAATGAAAAATTCGTTACAATTGCGAAAGGGGTGGGTGGGTGGGGCTTAATTAATCATTGGTTTATTTTTCTTAATGTGTAGTTTTCCTTCAAAAACACGATATTTAAAATATAGTTCTAACCCGAAATTCACCATTTGATAATTTAAGTATTTTATTGTTGAACAAAGATTATGTACATATTACGAAAACAAAGTCAAATAATAGGCCCCACCCACCCGCCCCACCTAAATTGTGATTAATTTTCTATTCGACGTGAGACGGGGGTGGAGCCTAAATGAAAAGTTCATGTGTGTCATGATCATTTAAAATTGACACACGTGGCCCTCAAGATTGTGTCAAAATCTTTAAAATAGACACTTGTGCAGTTAAGCTCCGCCCTCGATCTTCCAACAAATTAAAAATTCATTACAATTGACAAAGGGGCGGGTGGGTGGGGCTTAATTAATCAGTGGTTGGAAAGTCAAAGGATAAGCCCCACCCACCCGCCTCATCTAAATTGTAATTCATTTTTTTATTCGACGTGAGACGGGGGCGGAGCTTAAATGAAAAGTTCATAAAATTATGTCATGATCATTTACAATTGACACACGTGGTTCTCGAGGTTGAGTCAAAATCATCTAAAATAGCCAATGTGGCCCGAGATTCCTTCATAATCTTCTGAAAATAGACACTCGGAACCCCTGAGACTCTTTAATAATCTTTTTAAAGAATGAAACCGATATGAATTTTGCAATTACGCTCCGCCTCCCGATCTTACGACTAATGAAAAGTTCGTTACGATTGAGAAAGGGGCGGGTGGGTGGGGTTTAATTAATCATTGGTTTCTACTTCTTAATATAATATAGTTGTCCTTCAACACGCGATATTTAAAACATAAATCTAGCCTCACAGTCACCGTTTGATATAAGACTATGTATATTAGGAAAAGAAAGTCAAAGGATAATAATTGTGTCTGGTTTTTGAAGTAGTTTGAAAGAATCTTGGGATCCCTTCTCATAATAAAAATATAAAATTGCACAAATTTCAATGTGTAATCAACAATTCTCTAAAATGACGTTAGATTATGAAGTTATAAAAACGTCGCAATCTTATCACTTCACAAACTGTCACTGACAAGAATTTTTAGACATTCATTGACGCCGATTGATGTGCATTTTATAGTCAGGGTCATGTATTTACGCCAACAGAAGAAAACTGAATTCACCAACCTTCCAATGTTACCACATGAAGAAACCTATATACAAGCCTAAAAAAAATGACCGTAAAACTGACTGGATTTACAACTGTAGTCTTTATCTAAGATCCAAATCAAAACTGTGGATTGTGTCCATCTGTGTTCTCAATTCGTTGCGACCGTGTTACAGCGTGTTTTTTTTTTGTTGAAAATATATTCTTTTTTTCATTTTTAAACAAGATGTGGAGTGACCGGTAATGATAATTTTCATTTCTTACTTAATCTTAACTTGGACATGGAAAAATTACAAAGTCAATTAAAACGGAGAAAAGTAGTGCTGTTTCATGACGCTTCATGACAACTTTTTTGTACAAGGAACATAGAAAAACATAAATGTGACATGAAAAAGAAAATCAAGTTCTAGTAAGTGTACATTTACAAAGTAATAACTATTTCAAAAATTAAAACTTAAAAATTGTATCTTATGTACAACTGTCGGTTTTGTTGAATTGAAAAAATTTGCTTGTTTTATTGAAGAAAAAAAGAATTACATAATAATTATGTCCTTGATATATTTTATTTTAACCTACACTTTCAGAAACATTTACTATTCATAGAAAAAAATTCTTATTAGCATTTTCGTTTCAGTAAGTGTTTAAAATCTTGACGTTATCTTTCACACCAATAAATACAAATCATAAATTAGGAATTGAAAATATTTGAAATGTCAAATTTTTGAGCATTCGTATCACTCACTAATCATTGTCTCTAGTGAAGACCAGATAACATTTTTTCCTAATTTATCATCGAATAGTTCTTTACAATAGTAAAAACGGAACTTACAATAAAATCAGTAGTCTTTTGATAAACTATTTGCAATTTTTTTGTATATGAGTTATCGTATAACACAAAAAGATATTAAAACCACTTCCCATTGCATTTGGTATTGGGACAATTAAACTTATCAGCACATAGCACTTTATTGTGCTGCTAAAAATTAATCGGGCGTAGAAGTAACATTTTGATATCTCCACACACAAAAAAAGAATCAAAAGTGTGTCAAATCATTATATTCGCAATTAAAAAATAAACAATCAGAGAAAACAACATTTATAAATAGTAAATAATAGAAGTGCTCGTGCGAAACTCGTGCAAGAATACTCTCTCCCATGCTACAACATCATTACGGAGACTAATAGTACCACCGTTTGAAAAAATTAGAAATCCAAAATTTTATCTCTAATTAATAAACGTGCGGTCACGGTCGACAAATCACTATCTAATGTACAAAATATGTTTCTTTATCTCCAAATTGACTTATCTTATCGGTTCCAGCGCCCCAAGGTGGCTAAATATTTAGGAATAACACAAAGCAAATAAGTGGGAACCGAGATTTATCATATTTTGACATCGGCTTAACAGCGTACGAACTGTCATCCGTACACTGGAAAAACGCGACCTTGTTCCGATCACACACTCCGAAACTACTTTTGTTGCTAAATAATAAACTAAATAGTTGTAATAAATCGCACGTTCTTGCACAACCTTCATTGTGTCAACTATTCACACACACAGCGTTTTTTTTTTCAATTTTTTTTTGTTTTTTGGTTTTTCTTTACCTCTGACGCCGGGAAATCGAAGCACTCCGCGATCTTCTGGTACAGTTCCTTGACATTGGAAAACCCGGAGACGAAAACCGTGGGACTCCCGTGGGCGAGCTGGCAATGGAACTGCAAGGAGGCCTTGCTGATGGGCGAAACCGGCGAAGGGGGCACATTCTGTCTTTTCACCACATTGTTGTTCTCCACAGAGTCACTGTGCGCCAGGGCGGGCTTCGGTCGGTTTTTTTTAAACATTTTTTCGTCCAGCACACACAGAGTTAGCACGAAACTAGACCCCGATCGGGCGATTACACATAGTCGGGATAGCTTATCGAGATAAGAGCGTTATCACGATTACTTTTTTATATTCGGTACATATCTATAGCGCGTTTTGCAGTTGACTGAAGCAAGGTAGGAGCGGGTGATGACTGGAAAGTAGTTTTGTTTTATGTGCAGGTGCGATTAAGTGGAGGCTTCATGCGGATTCGGTGACGGGAAGCTATACTTGTTTCCGTCATTAAGTGGGGCAATGAGAATTTGATTTTTTCAGGAGATTGATGGTGCATCTCCTGGTGGCGGCGTTGGGGGTTGGGGAGCGGGGACGGGGGATTAATTGAAACGTCCGCTTTGTGCGGAATGGAATTGTGTGGGTTATTGCGACAATGGGTGTATTACTGGTTGCCTACACATTTTATGACGCCATTTGCGACATTCACTGAATACCATTCGCACGTAATAAATGCATGGTACTTCAGGTAATTGTGGTACTTACATGAGCGGGAAATCTAAATGTTATTTCATCATGTCAAAAAAAGTACAAAAATCGCGCCAAAATGGCTTTGTTTTAAATATTAATTCCGACTACATTATAAATAATTAAAGTTGTATAACATAAACTTGTAGTTTGCATTAGGGTTTTTTTGTTTTTATAACCACAAACTTTCGTATTACCTTGGGAAAAGCATTAAAATCAAGGTGCTAGAAAGAATTCCTAAAACTACTAATTAAAAAATTACCCACTACACGTGGTTGCTCTGAGGCACTTTTAATCAGTAAAAAGAATTGGAAAACATTCTAGATGGTTATGAAACCTGTGAAACTACTTTTTTGTATGTAAGTTTAAAAAAAAATCAAAATTTTATAATCAAAGTATAGTTTTTTTCAAAAACTTTATGGCGGTAGCTTAAAATTTTGTTAAATGAATCTTGTCTGAATTTTATAACATGGCTTGCTATTTTATCAAAAATTAAAATAATCATTCCTCTCTGGAAAGCTAATGACGTCATCGCAAAAATTTACTACGTAAATGTTTGTGAAAACATGTTTTTTGTAAATGTTTATTTTTTTAAGTTATGTAATAAAAATTTTGTAGAGTACTATTTGTAATAAAAATCAAAGCGGATTCGTAAACCTCAAATAAGGGAATATATTATTTTATAAAGTTTACATAACCTTTAGTACACGATATTCTTAAATTATTCTTAGCTTACGCTCGGGAAGTAAAAATATACAAAATAGTAAATGTAATATAATAAGTTTAATGGTGAAGTTTTGTGGGGAAATGTCGATTTTTCAATTAAGCTCTGCCCCTCGCTCTGACAACGAATAAAAAATTCATCACATTTGAGGTTGGGGTTGGGGGGGGTGTTTATTTTTTGACTTTTTTTTTCTTAACATATGTAGTTTTCTTTGAACAACATGATATGATACCTATAAACATGTTTCACATGGTAGATTCCTGTAGAGAGTATTTTGCAATTAAGCTCCGCCCCTCGGCTTACGACGAATAAAAAAAGTCATCACAATACAGAAAAGGGTGGGTGGGCGGGGCTTTCTCTTTGCTTTTTTTTTCTAAAATACGTGCGTAGTTTTGTTTTGATGACAAGAAACTAAAAATATGCTTAAAAATGGTAAATTTGTGGAAAAGTGTGGAGGATATAATTTACCATTTTAAACATGTTTTCAGTTTTTTGTTACCAAAAGAAGACTATGTGTATTAAGAAGAAAAGAAATGCAAAACATAAGCCCTACCCGCCCGCCCTATGTCAATTGTGACGATTTTTCCTTATTCGTTGTAAGTCAGGACGGGCGGGGCTTAAGTTTAACCTTTTTCTGAAGGTACGTAATCTTCTTTTCACAACATATTTAAGATATATCGCAAATGTGAAATTTTTGTGGGAAAATATTGATTTTACAATGAAGCTCCGCCCCTCGCTCTGACAACGAATGAAAAATTCATCACATTTGAGTGTGGGATTTATTTTTCAATTTTTTTTTTTCTTGACAGTCTTCTTTCAACAACATGATACATAAAAATATGTTTCACATGGTAGATTCTTGTAGAGAAATGAGTATTTTGCAATTAAGCTCCGCCCCTCGGCTTACGACGAATAAAAAAGTCATCACAATACAGAAAAGGGCGGGTGGGCGGGGTTTGCTCTTTGCTTTTTCTTCTAAAATATGTGCGTAGTTTGGTTTTCATGACCAGAAACTAAAAATATGCTTAAAAATGATAAATTTGTGGAAAACTATGTGGGATATAATTTACCATTTTAAACATGTTTTCAGTTTCTTGTTATGAACAGAAGACTATGTGTATTAAGAAAAAAAAAAATGCAAAATAGAAGCCCCACTCGTCCACCCTATCTCATTTGTGACGATTTTTCCTTATTCGTTGTGAGTCAGGACGGGCGGGGCTTAAGTTTAACCTTTTTCTGTAGGTACGTAATCTTCTTTTCACAACATATTTAAGGTAAATTGAAAATGTTAAATTTTTGTGGGAAAATATCGATTTTACAATGAAGCTCCGCCCCTCGCTCTGACAACGAATGAAAAATTCATCATATTTGAGTGTGGGATTTGTTTTTCGACTTTTTTTTTTTCTTGACATGGTTTTCTTTCAACAACATGATACATAAAAATATGTTTCACATGGTAGATTCTTGTAGAGAAATGAGTGTTTTCCAATTAAGCTCCGCCCCTCGGCTTACGACAAATAAAAAAAGTCATCACAATAGAGAAAAGGGCGGATGGGCGGCGTTTGCTCTTTGCTTTTTCATCTAAAATACGTGCTGAGTTTTGTTATCATAACAAGAAACTAAAAATATGCCTAAAATGGTACATTTGTGGAGAAGTGTGGAGGATATAATTTACCATTTTAAACATGTTTTCAGTTTTTTGTTACCAAAAGAAGACTATGTGTATTAAGAAGAAAAGAAATGCAAAACATAAGCCCTACCCGCCCGCCCTATGTCAATTGTGACGATTTTTCCTTATTCGTTGTAAGTCAGGACGGGCGGGGCTTAAGTTTAACCTTTTTCTCAAGGTACGTAATCTTCTTTTCACAACATATTTAAGATATATCGCAAATGTGAAATTTTTGTGGGAAAATATTGATTTTACAATGAAGCTCCGCCCCTCGCTCTGACAACGAATGAAAAATTCATCACATTTGAGTGTGGGATTTATTTTTCAATTTTTTTTTCTTGACATAGTCTTCTTTCAACAACATGATACATAAAAATATGTTTCACATGGTAGATTCTTGTAGAGAAATGAGTATTTTGCAATTAAGCTCCGCCCCTCGGCTTACGACTAATAAAAAAGTCATCACAATACAGAAAAGGGCGGGTGGGCGGGGTTTGCTCTTTGCTTTTTCTTCTAAAATATGTGCGTAGCTTGGTTTTCATGACCAGAAACTAAAAATATGCTTAAAAATGATAAATTTGTGGAAAACTATGTGGGATATAATTTACCATTTTAAACATGTTTTCAGTTTCTTGTTATGAACAGAAGACTATGTGTATTAAGAAAAAAAAAATGCAAAATAGAAGCCCCACTCGCCCACCCTATCTCAATTGTGACGATTTTTCCTTATTCGTTGTGAGTCAGGACGGGCGGGGCTTAAGTTTAACTTTTTTCTGTAGGTACGTAATCTTCTTTTCACAACATATTTAAGGTAAATTGAAAATGTTAAATTTTTGTGGGAAAATATCGATTTTACAATGAAGCTCCGCCCCTCGCTCTGACAACGAATGAAAAATTCATCATATTTGAGTGTGGGATTTATTTTTCGACTTTTTTTTCTCTTGACATAGTTTTCTTTCAACAACATGATACATAAAAATATGTTTCACATGGTAGATTCTTGTAGAGAAATGAGTGTTTTCCAATTAAGCTCCGCCCCTCGGCTTACGACAAATAAAAAAAGTCATCACAAAAGAGAAAAGGGCGGATGGGCGGCGTTTGCTCTTTGCTTTTTCATCTAAAATACGTGCTGAGTTTTGTTATCATAACAAGAAACTAAAAATATGCCTAAAATGGTACATTTGTGGAGAAGTGTGGAGGATATAATTTACCATTTTAAACATGTTTTCAGTGTCTTGTTATGAAAAGAAGACTATGTGTATTAGGAAGAAAAGAAATGCAAAACGTAAGCCCCACCCGCCCGCCCTATGTCAATTGTGGCGATTTTTCCTTATTCGTTGTAAGTCAGGACGGGCGGGGCTTAAGTTTAACCTTTTTCTGTAGGTACGTAATCTTCTTTTTACAACATATTTAAGACATATTGGAAATGTTAAATTTTTGTGGCAAAATATTGATTTTATGAAAAATAATAAATAATAACATATTTAAGGTATATTGAAAATGTTAAATTTTTTGGGAAAATATTGATTTTACAATGAAGCTCCGCTCCTCGCTCTGACAACGAATGAAAAATTCATCACATTTGAGCGTGGGATTTATTTTTCGACTTTTTTTTCTTGACATAGATAGTCTTCTTTCAACAACATGATATATAAAAATATGTTTCAAATGGTAGATATTTGTAGAGAAATGAATATTTTGCAATTAAGCTCCCCCCCTCGGCTTACGACGAATAAAAAAGTGCTCACAATAGAAAAAAGGGTGGGTGGGCGGGGTTTGCTCTATGCTTTTTCTTCTAAAATACGTGCATAGTTTTGTTTTCACGACCAGAAACTAAAAATATGCTTAAGAATGGAAATTTGTGGATAAGTGTGGAGGATATAATTTACCATTTTAAACATGTTTTCAGTTTCTTGTTATGAAAAGAAGACTATGTGTATTAGGAAGAAACGAAATGCAAAACATAAACCCCACCCGCCCGCCCTATGTCAATTTTGACGATTTTTCCTTATTCGTTGTAAGTCAGGACGGGTGAGGTTTAACTTTAACCTTTTCCTGTAGATACGTAATCTTCTTTTCACAACATATTTAAGGTATATTGAAAATGTTAAATTTTTGTGGGAAAATATTGATTTTACAATGAAGCTTCGCCCCTCGCTCTGATAACGAATGAAAAATTCATAACATTTGAGCGTGGGATTTATTTTTCGACTTTTTTTTTTCTTGACATAGATAGTCTTCTTTCAACAACATGATACATAAAAATATGTTTCAAATGGTAGATTTTTGTAGAGAAATGAGTATTTTGCAATTAAGCTCCCCCCCTCGGCTTACGACGAATAAAAAAGTGCTCACAATAGAAAAAAGGGTGGGTGGGCGGGGTTTGCTCTATGCTTTTTCTTCTAAAATACGTGCGTAGTTTTGTTTTCACGACCAGAAACTAAAAATATGCTTAAAAATGGTAAATTTGTAGAGAAGTGTGGAGGATATAATTTACCATTTTAAACATGTTTTCAGTTTCTTGTTATGAAAAGAAGACTATGTGTATTAAGAAGAAAAGAAATGCAAAACATAAGCCCCACCCGCCCGCTCTATGTCAATTGTGACGATTTTTCCTTATTCGTTGTGAGTCGGGACGGGTGGGGCTTAAGTTTAACCTTTTTCTGTAGGTACGTAATTATCTTGTTCACAACATATTTAAGATATTTTGACAACGTTAAATTTTTGTGGGAAAATATTGATTTTACAATGAAGCTCCGCCCCTCGCTCTGACAACGAATGAAAAATTCATCATATTTGAGTGTGAGATTTATTTTTCGATTTTTTTTTTCTTGACATAGTCTTCTTTCAACAACATGATACATAAAAATATGTTTCACATGGTAGATTCTTTTAGAGAAATGAGTATTTTGCATTTAAGCTCCGCCCCTCGGTTTACGACGAATAAAAAAAGTCATCACAATAGAGAAAAGGGTGGATGGGCGGGGCTTTCTCTTTGCAGTTTCTTCTAAAATACGTGCGTAGTTTTGTTTTCACGACCAGAAACTAAATATATGCTTAAAAATGGTAAATTTGTGGAGAAGTGTGGAGGATATAATTTACCAATTTAAACATGTTTTCAGTTTCTTGTTATGAAAAGAAGACTATGTGTGTTAAGAAGAAAACAAATGTAAAACATAAGCCCCACCCGCCCGCTCTATGTCAATTGTGACGATTTTTCCTTATTCGTTGTAAGTCGGGACGGGCGGGGCTTAAGTTTAACATTTTTTTGTAGGTACGTAATCTTCTTTTCACAACATATTGAAGATATATTGAAAATGTTAAATTTTTGTGGGAAAATATTGATTTTACAATGAAGCTCCGCCCCTCGCTCTGACAACGAATGAAAAATTCATCACATTTGCGGGTGGGACTTATTTATTGATTTTTTTTTTCTTGGCATAGATAGTTTTCTGCCAACAACATGATACTTAAAAATATGTTTCACATTGTGGAAAAATAAAAAGTCAGCGTAATTGAGATGAGGGCGGGTGGGCGTTATCTCTATTTTGCCTTTTTTTCTTAGTTTATGTACGTAGTTTTCTTTTCATGGCAAGAAACTAAAAATATGCTTAAAAATGGTAAATTTTTAGGGAAGTAGGGGGGATAAAATTTACCATCTTATACATATTTTCAGTTTCTTGTTGTGAAGAGAAGACTATGTGTATTAAGAAGAAGAAAAAAATCTAAACATTAAGAATACCATGTATATTAAAAAAAAAGGCAAATACAGAGAATTATTATTAAAAATTTTGATGTGACGTCACTAAATTGTGGCAAGATCTCTGTGCTATTAAGACATAATTCTCGTGTTACTTACACAGTATAAAAGGTTGTTATACAATTTGATTTTTTTTTGCAAAATCTAGGATGCCTATGGTAACAACTCAAAGAGGATTCATAAACCACAATTACAAGAGTATATTATTTTACAAGATTTAAATAGCGTTTATTACCAACAATAATAAATCTAATAAAAATCGACACAGTCGACAGACAACAGACAGGCGGAAACGAGAGGCCTATTTTTCCGTACTCTTGGGGTTAAGAAATCTGGAGAAAACATGAAAGTGGCCGTTCACCAGATAGAACCTCGAGGGGCTGATCACTACGAAATTCAGTACAAATTTGTGTAATTTTTATGTATTGTTCTGAAGGCGAATTATTAGATAGTAACAACTGTTTCGAAAAATTAGATTTAAAATTAGTAATTTTATTTATTTTTTAAAACCCCTATAAGTTAAACAAGTGAGCCATGAGGGTATCGAACCCTTGACCTTCCCGTTATTAACACTCTTTCTTTATGAACTGAACTAGTGAGTGTTTGCTTGTATACTATATTGTTATTATACAATTTTTATTTTCTTTGGGATGGGATGCCAAGGATAAAAAGTCACCACGGATTCATAAACCACAAATACAAAGGTATGTCATTTTATCAACTTTATATCACATGTTGTAAAGAAGTAAAACCAGAAGAGTGTGCAGATAATTATACAGCCGCCCCTGTTTCCTTTTACTTTGGGCGTACCCTTCCCCTTTTAGCGTCGCCGCCTCCCCAGAGTACGCAGCAACCCCTTACAGCGAGGCGTCGCCCCCAGGGAGGCTACGGGACTACGTTGAGTGAGCTTCATTTAACCGGAGTATTATTTCTGTCGTGGCTGCGCATGAGACCTGCTGGAGGAAATTGGCGTCCGAGAAACCGCCCCCGTAAAAGGCGCCAATCGAAACAGACGACAGTCAGATGGAAGACTTATTGTTTCATGCTCTAGGGGTTATGAAACGTCCAGAAAATGTGAAAATAGCCACAAAAATTTCTTTGAATTAGGTATATTGGATGTATTTTTTCAGAATTATCATAATATTAATAAGTATAAAAAATATGCAAAATAATTTGTTTTTAATATATCTAAGCAATGGATTTGTTTGATTGACGACGGAAGCTCATTCTAAATAAGTTTAAACCAGTTTTTCAGTACTGTGAACTGGAAAACTTTATTCTTTTTCTAGGTGATATTTTCTTGAAAATTATATGAAAAATTAGTAATTGGATAACGGATATTAAATAGGAAAGTAATATCTTGCTTTGAGCAGGTGGTGTTAAGGCACTTAAAAATTCAAAACGAAAGAAATTTTAAACGTAGTGTGATAACCCAAACATCCCGCCTTAAAGTGACATGTGACAAAAAAAAAGAAAAATCCGCGAAAAATTAACAAAACCTCGACTAGGAACCGCGCCCTCTGCTTCTGCCACATGTTTCTGTGTTATTTACCTCAATTCTATTTAAATGTTTAGTTTCAATGACTCTGATATTAAACTACAACCGAACAAGTGTTAAAGTTACAAAAAGAATAATAAACAACATTTAAATTCGCCATACACTTTGAAATTTTAAACAGCAAAGAATTCTTATCTGAGATTAAGATTGGACATCAGACAATTTATATGATGGAAACATTAATCAGCAAAATGTTTACGTGGTTGGTTATTTAAAACAATTAGCTTTGAGAGTTTATATCGTGGACTGTACCCAGCTTATGCTAAACAAAAGACATGATAAATAAACACAAAATGAATCCAGCGTTGCGAGGAAATATGCGTCTCGGTGATGTAATTTTCAACGTTGCGAGAAAATTGTCTTTATGATGTGATAATGAAAAATTTTTAATCCTCCCGTACCTCAGTGTACAATATTATGAATTCTATCGCACTTTCACGGTCCTTTTCCCAGAGTGGGACAACGTTAGGTTAATTTTAACTAGCGTAAATGAACTATTAACAATCTTGTGTGAGGAATTAAGAAGTGTTATAACGTAACACTTAAGTATAAGCATGGAGAAACCTTATTCACAATTTGATAAACAAAGATGAGTTCTGACTAAGTCAATTTCATGAAAGCTCCTAGCAAATGCATGATCTAAACAAACTCCTGACTGTTAAATGGTGTTAGAACCAGTTAACGATGAAAATCCTAACATGAATTGTGAATTTACAAACATTAAAACAAATTTATAGGTTAGTAATTAGACAATGGATATTTTAACACGAAGAGGTCTTGCTTTGAATAGGAGGGTTTTAAGGCATTTTAAAATTGAAAACGAAATAAATTAGAAACACGTACTTAAGCCCTTTTTGTTTATTTAACACCATGTATATTGTAAAACAAAAATTCCGCAGTATTTTTGTAGTATATCTTCACAGTATGAACAAAAATTCAAAAACGCGTTATATGTGCAACCCACAATACACATCAACTACACGTGCTGCATACTTTCAATGCTTACTTCGTCTCAAGGTTCAAATTTAAATTCTGTTAGTACTTTTTTCATAGAATAAAACACGCAGAAATCACCTTTATAGTTTTTATTAAAACATCCATAGAAATACATCCCTCACCGAGAGTACAAGCATGCAAAAAAAGCCTTAAACAAACAGTACGGAAAATAAAAAAATAATAATTATAAATGACTAGTAGCTAGTCATGCTGACACTTTCGCCTTCAAATTATCAGCCAACTTCTGCATAAACTCGAAAGTTTCCAAATAATCCTCCCTCTTCACATGATTCATCCCTTTAATACAAATCGCCAAATCCTTAGTCATGAATCCAGACTCAATAGTTTCAATGCACACTTTCTCCAAAGTTTCAGCAAACTTCTTCAACTCGTTATTATTATCCAGCTTCGCCCTATGCAACAACCCTCTTGTCCACGCAAAAATAGACGCTATAGGGTTAGTGGACGTCTCCTGCCCCTTCTGGTACAACCTATAGTGACGCGTCACAGTCCCATGCGCCGCCTCTGACTCCACAGTCTTACCATCAGGGCATATCAGCACTGAGGTCATCAAACCCAAAGAACCATACCCTTGCGCGACTGAATCTGATTGGACATCGCCGTCATAATTCTTGCAAGCCCAAACAAAGCCTCCTTCAGACTTCATAGCATAGGCAACCATGTCATCAATCAGGCGGTGCTCATACCAGATATTTTTCGCCTCAAACTGACTCTTGTACTCTTTGTCATAGATCTCTTGGAAGATATCCTTAAAGCGACCGTCATAGCGCTTCAAGATCGTGTTTTTGGTGCTTAAGTACAGAGGGTATTCGGCGTTGAGGGCATATTTGAAGGATGAGTGTGCAAAGTCCTTGATGGACTGGTCGGTGTTGAACATCCCCAAAGCCACTCCCGGACCTTTGTATTCGTTGACGGTGTACCGGATTGTGTCACCGGATGCTGGAGTAAAAACCATCTCCAGTTTACCAGCTCCAGGGACTACAAAGTCAGTCGCTTTGTACTGGTCAGCGTGCGCGTGACGCCCAATGATGATGGGTTTGTTCCAGCACGTTACCAACCGCGGGATGTTCTTGCAAATGATGGCTTCTCTGAACACGGTACCACCTAGGATGTTACGGATGGTACCATTGGGCGATTTCCACATTTGCTTCAAGTTGAATTCTTCAACGCGTTTTTCGTCTGGAGTGATAGTGGCACATTTAATTCCGACGTTGTACTTTTTAATGGCTTCGGCACAATCTATGGTGACTTGGTCGTTGGTTTTGTCCCTGTTTTCAATACCCAAGTCGTATGTATGTAGTTCAATGTCAAGGAATGGGAGAATCAGTTTTTCCTTGATTGAGTCCCAAATAATTCGGGTCATTTCGTCCCCCAGGATGTCGACGACGGGTCCGGCACTGATTTTACCCATTTTGGATGCTACAACACAAAAAATTAATTCGTTGTTATAAAAAAAAAGTAATGTTGATACCTTTCGCGGTGTTGCACCTACTTGTAATTTGGACTGATTGAAACGAAAAGTGGTTTTGACTCGAAATCGTGTTTAATTCCCGATATAACACGTCTTATTACTGTGAAATGACTTGCTGTACTGTTATAAAATATCCTTAATTTTATTTCAATGCCATGCCGGTATGACAGTTGACAGAATGGTGACGTTTGCAGGCAGTTGTTTACCATTGGCGTGGGGGCAAGGGTCAATTTGTGGACTTTCATAATCGTTTCAATTTTTTACGGTAGTTAACAAACGTTACGCTGATTAATAGTCAATCTGATTGTGAAAGATGGACGGGTGACTTTTACTCAGATATTGATCTTCAAATTGACTTTGAGCTCCCCGAACGCCAGTGGCGTGACATTAAATGAGGATCGGGGAGCGAGGATTCAACACGGATACATAAATTATTTTATTATTAGTTTTTAAACGAAGTCAACTGTCGAAATGGATATTGTAACATAGTGATAACAAGGGTTTATCAAATCATATGACTATATTGATTTGGTTATATTGCCACACATGAAACAAATAATAGAATTAGTTATAATCGTAATTTGTTTTTCAAAATGATAAATAAAACACGAGCACGAGAATTTTGTAGTATTACGACAAACAAAAAGTATTATCTCTTACATAATATCGGTTTTCATGTAAAAAAATATCTTTTTATATTCGAGTTGTGTTATAGTGTTCCGACCCCCAATTTATTAAAAGACGATATTTGTGGGTCATGTTGATCTAATATGGTAACGATCTTCACTCATAAAATTTTAGTACGTTAATAAAAATTCGGTAACTATAAACGAAACAAAAAAAAACCGCAATTACCAAATATTCTTAAACAACCAATTTTTCACAAGATTGTGATACGATGTTAATTAAGTTAATTATTATTATTGCCGTTATTGTAATTTATTATTACTATTGTGATAATATTGTTGTTTATTATTCTTTTTCAGCTTTCAATGCAGCCATCAGGGCCAAGACCAAGACCAGGATCAGGACGCAGTTCCAAGACCCATAAACAAGAAAAACACCCATAATTCAGGACAACATTGGGCAAAGAACCAAAAATCCTGTTATTGGAATATAGATTTCGACATGCTGATTCCAAAAATATATAGTGTTTATGGTCTGAAATTCAATTTTTTTAAATCCCAAAAATTGCCCTATTTCAATGGGAGATTTGGAAAAAACATGGTACGAGTTATTGAAGAAATGAAGCCGAATGTCAATTCTAGTGGAAGAAATTTACAATAAAATGCCTTTGGTTAAGTTTCGCTACGTGTTTCTGTGTTATTTAACCTCAATTCTATTTAAATGTTCAATCTCTATGGCTCTGATATTAACGACAACTGAACAAGTGTTAAAGTTTCAAATAGAGCAATAAACAACATTTAAATTCGCCATATAATCTTGTGAAATTTTAAACAATAAATAATTCTTATATAAGATTAAAATTGGACATCAGATAATTTATATGGTGGAAACATTCATTAACAAACAATTTACATGAAAGAATAACTAGCAAAGATTTATCAAACAAAAGATCTGGTGTGATGCAAAACCTGTGCATACAAAAAATTATGTGAGGTTAGAAACTGCAGAGCATGAAAATTTACGTTCAATTTAAATTATACAACAAAGAAAATTACTGAAGTGAAAATTGTGAGATAGAAAAAATTGTGTGAGGTGAAAATTTGCAAAGCTAACAAAATTACATGAGGTTAATATTTGCCACACATTATCAACGGTTCAAACAAAGAATTTACACTATGTTAAATTATGCCACATTTTATCAACGATTCAAACAAAGAATTTACATTAAGTTAATTGCGGTCTTGATCCAAGTGCTTGCTTACTTAAAACAATTAGCTCTGAGAGTTTATATCGTGAAATGGTTGTCCCAAACAAAACACATGATAAATAAACAACACAAAATATATCAGGCGTTGCGAGGAAAGCTCCTCCTCGGTGATGTAATTTTTAACGTTGCAATAAAAATTAAGAAGTGTTATAATGTAACACTTAAGTATAAGCATCCAGAAAAGTTATTCGTAATTGGACAAACAAAATCAAACGAGTTCTGACTAAGTGATTTTCATGAAAACTCCTATCAAGTATTTATTTAAATAAATCTGATGTCTGATAAATTGTGTTAGCACCAGTTAACGATTAAAATCCTAACATGATTAGAAAGCCGCAAGAATTAGCTCCGCGGGTTGGGGGAACTGTGGCGTCGTCGTCGTTACGATTAATTGTAGTTAAACAAAGGCTTCCTCCCTTTTATTAACTACCAAACCAACTAATTTAACCCTTCTAACTCTAACTCAGCACGTGGTTTTCGCTCACATCAAACAACACACACTGACACCTTTCACCTCCCTCTACAAAGTCGCTATCTTCTACCAAGCCGCCCTCGTCTAACAACCCTCTAACTAAAATTTCAAGCAGAACTACACACTACCCAAAAGCGCTAACGTGCACATGGTTGCCTATGTTTAACGATTTTTTTGATTGAATTTTTTTTCAAATTCAAATTATTCAAATGTGATTTCGCGCCGTTGTTAATTATTTTCAGCGTGAACTTATGATTCAAATTTAGTCACCACATTATATAGTGCGTTTATGGTCCCGGGTCATAATTTTCGAAAAATTCGGTTTGAAAGTCGATTTTTTAAATTCCAAAAATTGCCATATTTCAATGGGAGATTCTGAAAAAAATGGTAGGAGTTATCGAAGCCCAAAATGAATTCTGGAGGTGGAAATTTACAATAAAATGTCTTTAGTTAATTTTCGAAAGTGGTCAAAAGTTTCATTTTTGAAAAAGTTGATTCAAAAACTACATAAATTGCTGGAATATAGATTTTAACGTGCTGATTCCAAAAATATAAAGTGTGTTTATTGTCCCGGGTCTTGATTTTCGAAAAATCCAGTTGGAAATTCGATTTTTTAAATTCCAGAAATTGCCATATTTCAATGGAAGATTCTGAAAAAATGGCAGGAGTTATCAAAGAAATGAAGCCCAAAGTTAATTCTGTAGGTGTAAATTTACAACAAAATGTCATTAAGTAGTTAAGTTTCGAAAGTGGTGGAAATTTTCATTTTTGAAAAAAATTATTTTTGAAAAAGTTGAATCAAAAAGTACGAAAATTGCTGGAATATAGATTTCGACGTGCTGATTCCAAAAATATAAGGTGTGTTTATTGTCCCGGGTCATGATTTTCGAAAAATTCGGTTTGAAATTCGATTTTTTTAAATTCCAAAAATTGCCATACTTCAATGGAAGATTCTGAAAAAAAAAATGGTAGGAGTTATCTAAGAAATTAAGCCGAAAGTCAATTCTGGAGCTGGAAATTTATAATAAAATGTTTTTATTTAAGTGTCAAAAGTGGTCGAAGTTTTCATTTTTAAGAAAATCTATTTTTGAGAAAGTTGGTTCAAAAACTACAAGAATTGCTGGAAAATATATTTCGACGTGCTGATTCTAGAAATATATAGTGTATTTATGGTTCTGGGGCATGATTTTCGAAAAATTCTATTTGAAATTGAATTTTTTTAAATTCTCAAAATTGCTGTCTTTCAATTGAAGATTCTGAAAAAAATGGTAGGAGTTATCGAAGAAATGAGGCCGAAAGTCAATTCTGGAGCTGGAAATTTATAATGAAATGTTTTTAGTTAAGTTTCAAAAGTGGTCGAAATTTTCATTTTTAAGAAATTCAATTTTTGAGAAAATTGGTTCAAAAACTACAAAAATTGCTGGAAAATATATTTCGACGTGCTGATTCCAGAAATATATAGTGTGTTTATGGTCCCGGGTCACGATTTTCGAAAAAATTTGTTTTGAATTTCATTTTTTTTTAATTCTAAAAATTGTCAAATTTAAGTGGACGATTTTAGAAAAATCGTAGGAGTTATCGAAGAAATGAAACCCCAAGTTACTTCTGGAGATCGAAAACTACAAGAAAATATCTTTAGTTAAGTTTCAAAAATGGTGGAAAAATAGCCGAAATTTTCCAAGTGGAAAGTATTGAAAAATGTTGTTTTTGACAAAGTGACCTTAGAAGCTACAAACAATATTGAGTTATAGATTTCGACATGCTGGTTCCAAAAATATAGCGTGTTTATAATCCCGGGGCAAGATTTTCGAAAAATTCGGTCTGAAATTTTCTTTTTATCCCAAAAATTGCCATATTTCAATGGGCGATCCGAAACAAATGGTTGAAGTTATCGAAAAAATGAAGCCGAAATTAACTTTTGGATGTCGAAATCTACAAAAAATATCTTCAGTTAAGTTTCGAAGTCAAAAAATAGCCGAAATGTTTATGCCTTGTCAAAATTTTATCTTGCTGGATACCTACAACGTTCTCGTCCTTGTTATTTAAAAAAGTAACTAATCAGCAACTAACGTAGCAACTAGCACCTCACGTACCTATTCGTTAAAAATAGAAACAACATAAAATCAAAGTGTGAAGAAAAATATTTTCTCATTATTGGAATGATTATTGTTTTAAGTTCAAATTATTGTTTAAACTTCTGTTTCTCACTCTTGGGTTTGTCACTAACACCGCTAAAAATACATGTTATTCGTTAATTCACAATGCAAAATTGATGCAAGTTACAGGTCCGGACTTGTTAAAACTTAAGATTAAGGAATTGTGGTGAAAATTATTTTGTTGGAATTCAGACAAAAATGCCTCATTTCGAATTACAAAAAATATATAACAGTAGATGAATAGCACAAATTGGCTCCGTCTGGATGGTACCAGCACCTCAAGAATGTCCACGTAATTCCTGCGTAAACCACGCAAAACTGACCCTTGTCTTCACATGACGCACTTCCTACATTTAACATTTTTCAAAATAACACCCATCTATCTCTCCACGCATCAAATTTCCACCACTTTAATAAGATAATTACACAAATAATTAGCCTCAACCCAAAATAATTACAACCATTTAGACCACATCCTTACATATAAGCGACGCCTCGTTGACCCAAAACGTGTCGCGATAATTATTACAAGTATCACAAATTTCCCTCAAATGAGTTAATAATCCGAGATAAGATGCATTCTAATTACCCTTTACTTTCTCCGGCGGCACACGAATCTCCTGCAATTGGCAACCGAAGTAAAAAATTGCACTCTGAAGGAGATTCAACGAGAGGAGACAAGTTTATAGTGCGTATCAGTAGCGAAATGAGCCGTAATCAGACAATTATGTACGTCCGACTTGTTTTGATGATAGTGACAGCAGTTTTGTTATAGTGCAGCGATGCATCTGGTGAAGAAAATGCACGTGTAGAGCATAGCATAATTCAAACCGATTTTTTTTTATTGCTAGCTGTAAAATTTGAACACTGTAATTTACAAACCTGTAATTATTTATACATTGTATTAAAAGCCCTAGCACGTGAAAGGAAACGGAATAACAAAAATAAAGACATCATCCGACAAGTATAACCCAGTTAGAAAAATGGTCATTACGAAAGCAAACATTCTTTAATTCTGTCATCCTTTTTTTCGTTCGCCTAGTTCGATGTCGCATGACACGCATATGTTTAACCTAGCGTCCCAGACAATAGCTGCGTATTAACATTTTAATTATTTAACAAAAAGGCACAAAAAGCGATTGTGTTTGTCACCCATTAATCTCCTGTGTGCCAACCTATAAACCCTAATAGTTTTCTTATGGTAAATATGGTCCATTATTGACACAAAAGTACGGAATGTGTGTTAGTACTTCCAATTTTTTCAACTACGTTGTAATTTCTACGTCGCTGCTGACAGGACCTGGACGTCCCAAATGGACGTCCGAAATTGACGTCATATTACGCCAATTTGTATGTATAACTTGTGACATCTGCTGGTCCACTTTTCCGAACCATTAGAAATTCAGATCGCCGAAGTACCATTAGTTAGTAATAAACGGATGTTTTTCAAGATCAGCCGCTTTCAGTTACGAAATATTTATTAATGTGTTTGTTAACTAACTGATTACAAATTTCGAAACTGGAATCTTGACGATGAGGAACAGTACTGGTGGTACTCTGTGGTTCCCTGAGAAACGATTTTCTCAAAGGTGGTAATTGTGGTGCTGATTGTCTGCATTTACGATATTTATGGACAGTGGTGTGTAGCGGTGAGGGGAGATTATAAACAATTGTGTAAGGCACACAGGTTTATTGAAAATTGATTATTACATCAGAGCACCCGTGTGCTAGATGTTCCGGACAAAACTTAATAGCGACTGACTTAAAAACTAACTGTGTCGGTGTAACATAAGAAGTCGCCCCCGAATCGAAACCCAATGATTTTTTACGGGTCAACCGGGTCAAAGGGGTGGCTGCAGACCTGCAGCTGCAACATTTCTTTGACACACCGACGACATAGGCGTACTAAAGACATAGGCGTACCGACGACATTGTAGCACACGCAACATGCCGCCGCCCTTGAATGCCTCTAGGCATACAATTCACACTACAATTGTACATTTTAGACTAGCAATATAAAAATAAGAACACACACAGATTGATGATAAACCATACAAAACCTGTAGTGCATATCAGACAGTACCATATTTTAAATACACAAGAAATGACATTGATTGGAATGCGCTAAAGAAATTGAATTTGAGTACTAACAACACGTCAAATAATATACGTAAGAATAAGCATCCATTTGAATCCAACAACATATGTACAAATTAAGAGGCAAACATAAACTTGAACATAACATGAAGTGTACAAAATCCAGAAACGTAAATTTAAACACATAAAAATGCAAGTCTGAGTGAGTACGCACAGCACAAGAGCCACAAAGGTCGTTATCATACGCACTTCACTACACAATAGCACTTTGACATTTCGCGGGTACAGTATTTTTATTGGCCATCTATTGGCAGCGCACACACTTTGGACACACCGCGTTTGTAGACACCCTTTGAAGTTTTTACCGTCACTACGCGGACGACGCCGTCCTTTCCTGGGTGGACATCCTGGACCCGGCCAAGCGGCCAGTGAAGAGGTGGTGCGTCATCTTCCACAAGGAGGACTAAGATGCCCGGTTTCACGGAAGAGGGCCCCTTAACTCGCCACTTGGACCTCTGTTGTAGTTGCGACACGTATTCTCTCTGCCACCTTCGCCAAAAATGTTGCCGCATTTTTTCGACATGCTGCCACCGTGTTAGCCGGTTCAGCTTTGTAGACTCGAGATCTTCTTCTACGGGGGCAGTTAACGGAGCCCCAATCAAAAAGTGGCCAGGTGTTAGAGGATAAAGATCGTTTGGATCATTGGTCAAGGGGAGCAGTGGGCGCGAATTAAGACAAGCCTCAATTCTGACAAGTAGTGTGTGCATTTCCTCATAATTCAAAATTGTATCACCAATTGTCTTTTTTAAATGTAATTTTGCCGATTTGATATTGGCTTCCCAAATTCCTCCAAAGTTGGGCGTTTTGGGGGGGATAAAACACCATTTTACTTTCATGTTTGCCAAATTTGACTTTAAAGCTTCTTTGTTTAAAACATTTCTAAAGATTTGCTTTAGTTTTCGGTCGCTGCCTACGAAATTGGTAGCATTATCTGAATAAATTTCACTAACAGTACCACGTCGCGAAATAAATCGTCTTAGCGCATTTAAAAAACCTTCGGTTGAAAGATCAGAAATAAGTTCCAGGTGCACGGCTTTGGTGCTGAGGCAAACAAATAACGCTATGTACACTTTAACGTGTTTCGGTTTTCTACCACGGCCATCCTTTATGATGATCGGACCACAAAGGTCGACACCGCATTTTAAAAAAGGCCGGTACTGTTGCAGACGCACCGCCGGTAGATCGCCCATTTTTTCAGAATTAATTATGGGTTTTACTTTAAAACAATTAATACATTTTCTGAGGATGGATCTGACTGCATCCCGTCCAGCGATGGGCCAATAAATTTGTCTCAACGCGGTTAGTGTGGCCTGGGCCCCCGCATGTAAGTGAGCGATATGATATTGACGAATTAATAGCTCCGTGACGTAATGTTTCTTTGGCAAAATAATCTGATGCTTTCTGTCATAAGCAAGAACGGCATTACGTAATCTACCACCGACTCTTAAAATGTTATTAGAGTCTAAAAAAGGACTTAAGCAGAGTAACGAGTTGTTTGTTGGCAATTCTTTACCCGATTTTAAAATAACAATTTCTTTTTGAAAAGATTCACGTTGAACTAACGTTATAATTATGCGGTTGGCATCGTCCAATTCTTCTATGGTTAGTAAACCCGACTTTAATTCTTTGTTAAGTCTTTTGTTTCTACAGTTACTTACAAAACGCTTGATCCATGCAACAGTTCTTTTCAGCTTGGTAAAATCCGAAAATCTCATTAATAAATCCGATTTAAAGGTAGTACATGTGGAAGTAATTAATGTTTTTTGTCTTTCTGGAACTTCAGTTCCTAAGTCTATGATTGTCTGTGGCCAATCCGTAGGTGGTTTTGAGAGCCATTCGGGACCAAACCACCACAATTTGCAATTAATGAGTTGTTTAGGAAACAAACCTCTAGTAATCAGATCTGCAGGGTTATCGGTACCATTTATGTGGCGCCAATTATGACCGGATGTTAAAGTTTGAATTTCTGACACCCTATTCGCCACGAAAGTTTGCCAATTATGTGGTGAAGCCGCAATCCAGTTTAACACGATTGTTGAATCGGTCCACAAAAAACACTTATTAATTTTTAAATTTAGTTCAGGCAGTATTTTACTTATTAATCGCGCTAATAATAAAGCTGCTGAAAGCTCCAATCTAGGTAGCGATATAGTTTTAAGTGGGGCTACTCTACTTTTTGCACATAATAATTGAGTATGTGTTTCAGCACTTGATAAAATTGTTTTAATATAAATGGCGGCTCCAAAACCCTTAGTACTCGCATCTGCGAAGCCATGCAATTCAACGATATTCGGTGTGTCATTTCTAAAAATATGACGTGAGATTTCAATATTCTTGACATCAGGTAAATTAATTAGAAATTGGTTCCAATGATATTCTAGATCACTAGGAATTGGGTCATCCCAACCAATTTGCGCGGCCCATAAAGATTGCAGAAGTAATTTAGCCTTTAAAATTACTGGAGTGATAAGACCTACTGGATCGAAAATTGTAGCCACTGTGGCCAAAATAGTGCGTTTTGTAGTTTTGCTGGGTAGCCTGTTTAACGCTAAGTTATACTTCAGTTGATCTTTGTGGCAATTCCAAATTAAACCTAAAGTTTTTGTTTCAGTGTCGCTAGAAAAATTAACAGAAGCCTTTATGTCACTTTCTGGTAATAATGTTGGTTCATTTGAAGCCCATTTGTGTAATTTGAAATTACCTTGATTTAAGATCTGAATGATGTCGTCGCGAAGTGCAAGCGCTTCTTCCAATGTACTTGAACCACAAATTAAGTCATCCATATAAAAGTTATTTAAAATATTTGACGCGGCTACAGGTAATACATTCATATTTTCTAGTGCTAATTGTTTTAAGCACCGCATCGCAAGATATGGCGCTGACGCTGTCCCGTACGTCACTGTTTTTAATTGATAAATTTGGAGAGGGTCACTTACATTTTCACGCCAAAATATTCTTTGAAATTGTTGATGATTTTCAGTTAAGAAAATTTGACGATACATCTTTTCAATGTCCGCACTAATGACATACTTGTACGTTCTGAACTTTAATAATATTAAAAATAATTCCTGTTGCAAGTTAGGTCCGATTAATAGATTATCATTTAGACTGTGACCGTTAGAACTTGTCATGGATGCATCGAATACTACCCGAAGTTTATTCCCTTGTGTCGTATTTTTTATGACTGCATGATGAGGAATAAAATAGGAATTTTCTGAGCTAATGTCAGACACTAGTTGCATATGGCCTAATTGTTCATACTCTCTCATGAACTGGATGTACTGATGTCTCAGTTCCATGTTTTTTAAGAGCTTTCGTTCTAATGTGAAAAATCGATTTCGCGCCATTGTTTCTGAATGTCCCAACATTATGGACTTATTTTTGAAGGGGAGGTCTACGACAAAATTTCCAAGATCGGTACGTTTATGTTTGTCAACAAACTGTTTTTCGCAAGATTTCTCTTCGGGAGAGAGTATTTTGTTAGTAGGACTTCCAGCAAGACCCTCTAATTGAAAAAAATCTAAGACTTGGTCATTTAAAGCTTGCAGCGTATTTGTATTGCACGTACTTAAGCTCATAAAATTAGTAGTGTTTATGGATCCTCCAATAATCCAACCAAAATCTGTATTATGCAAATAAAGAGAGTTGCCTATTTGGATTTTCCCATCTCTTAATACTTGGAAAAACATTCTTGCCCCTAATAAGATATCTATTTCTCCACAAATGTTAAAATTGGCGTCAGCTAAATTTACAAAATCTGGGATTACCATACCTTTCGTAGAAAATGAGTTTAGAGGTAGGTTTTGTGTAATTTTGTTCAGTACCAAGCAATCTATGTTATAATGCAAACTCTCTTTAAATAATGAAGAAAGATGCACCTGAACGGTTTCGTTTACTCTGTTGGACGATAAATTTACGCCAGTTGTAATGTGATTTGTACTCTGTGTTTTGAGGCGCAATTTTTGACATAAATCTCTGGTAATGAAATTAGATTGCGAGCCTCCATCAAGTAACGCTCTGCATTTATGCATCTTTCCGAAATTATCCCAAATGTAGATAATTGCGGTGCTAAGTAATGTCTCTGACAAATTGTAATTGCTAGTATGATTTGAAGTGCTTGTCCCAACGTGAGGTTCAGGCAATACTTGTTGGATCTCCATTCTATGTAATAAGCTATTATGTTTTTGTTTACAATACTTACATGAACTATTTGATCTGCATTCGATACAAATGTGGTTTGGTTTTAAACAATTATTGCAAAGTTTTAGAGACGTTACCTTTTTGATGCGTTCTTCTAATGACATTTTTAAAAATTCATTGCATGAGTACAAATTGTGGTTAGGCCGTTTACAAACTAAGCATGTCCTTTTTGCTGTGAAGTGACTGACTGTTCCCTTAATATTGTAATGTTTCGGTCGTGGACTTGCATTAATATGGGCAGTACTTTCCAAAATTTGACACCGCGCATCTATCAACTTAAATAATTCCGCTAATTTGGGTATATCATCTGTTAATTTTGACTGCCATTCACGCTTTGTTTGGTAATCAAGCTTATCGACAATTATGGTGGTTAAGATTGAATCCCATTGATCTACTGGAATTTCAAACGCTTTTAATGCTGCAATGTTGGCGCATAATAAATCGCTTAATTGTCTTAAATTTTCTTGATTAGCCCTTGTGACGGCTGGCGCATCTAAAATGTTTTTTATGTGCTCATGTACAATTATTAGTCTCTTATTTTGAAAACGTTTATTTAACAAATCCCACGCAATTTCGTAATTTACATTTACCGGGGACAATGACTCGATGGCTCGAAAAGCTTCTCCCTTCAAGGTGGACCTCAAATAATGGAATTTTTCAATATTTGATAACGAAGAATTTTCATGAATAACAGACTTGAAAGTGTCCCGGAAAGAAGTCCAGTCAGAATAAGATCCGCTAAATTCCGGAAGTTTTAATGCCGGAAGCGTTATTTTTGGAGTTGGATTTTCACGATTGTTTATACTAGTATGTTTCGAATTGCCTTCGTTTTTAATAATTGTATCAATTTCGGCTATAGTTTCGTAATATTTTGCCTCGAAATTAATCCGGTGGTCTACCTCATCGTCAAGCAATGCAGGTGGAACATTTTCCTCGATTTTAAATTGCACTTCTTTGAAATCGTTAATTGCGTTAAGAGCGATTGGTCTTCGCGCGATTATTAAACCGATATTGCTGCCAGATGGAAAATTCCTGACAAATTCTAAAATTCGATCCAACTCTGAAACAATTTGGTTGCGCTTATTTATCCACGATCTTAATAAATTAGCTGTTTCACCTTCCGAATCGGATTCGGCATCTCTGCTTTTGGACGATTTGTTAACCCTTTTGCCCATTTTAATTTTAATTTATGTGGAAAACACACACAATAAGTACTTGAACAGAGGCGGAAATGGTACGAATGAAGGAAAATGGGATCTGACCTTTAACTCCCGTGCTGCTGGCGGCCGAACTCCTCGCAGGCGTCTTACTCCGTGCTGCAGGTCTCTGGCCCTCGGCGACGGCGATGTGGGAAGTGGGATCTGCTGTGGATCCTCTGGATGATTTCACCGGAGTTGTATGCGTCGCTTCCGGAGATTTTTAGATTGTTGACACGGGGTGGTGACTTAATTGACGAACCACTGCTGCCGTGCTGCTGCGAGAACTGTTTGTTCTCTTTTTTTTGTGTTTCTTCTCCTGCTGCTCACTGGTCACTACTCTCCACTGTTTTTTACCGGAATTTATAAAAATCCGGCTCGAAGGACCAAAATGGTGTGTAGCGGTGAGGGGAGATTATAAACAATTGTGTAAGGCACACAGGTTTATTGAAAATTGATTATTACATCAGAGCACCCGTGTGCTAGATGTTCCGGACAAAACTTAATAGCGACTGACTTAAAAACTAACTGTGTCGGTGTAACATAAGAAGTCGCCCCCGAATCGAAACCCAATGATTTTTTACGGGTCAACCGGGTCAAAGGGGTGGCTGCAGACCTGCAGCTGCAACATTTCTTTGACACACCGACGACATAGGCGTACTAAAGACATAGGCGTACCGACGACATTGTAGCACACGCAACAGACAGTAAGGTTTTATTGAGCTATAAATCATTGAAATACCACATAACAGGGAACTTCAGGCTTTGAGGTCACCGATAGTGTCTTATTAAAAACTTTAAGGTGTTTGTGTTGAGGCCACTGGGTCATACGACTTCACTATCATAATTAGAATGTCTGATCGATTTGATTAAAAACCGACTGCAGACTGGTCCGGTGTTTATGGTAATTGAGATGCATCTAGGCATTTAAAAAACAAATAATGTGATAATTATGTTCAACTAGAGGTGGAACAGGTAGACACAGGTACAGTTAACTGTTAAATAAATGTTTAAGCTTTAAAACTAATAGTGCTATGTATTTTCAAAAAAAAAAAAAATTCCAAAAATTGTACGGACGGATCGTTTCATAAATTTTCGTTGACAAGCATGCAGCATTTATTGTGACTGGTTGTAGAAATAAATTTATGTCTTGTTTTTTATGGTTTTATGAGCGGAATTTGCTTTTTATTTTCACTGCATTTGATTACTACTAATCAGTACGCTGTTTAAAATATTATGGGAAAATATGTGTTTGTAGATACTCACTGATGACACAAATTCTTTCCCAAAGTACAATCAAATAAATCCAGTGTGTCAGAAAATAAAAAAAATCCGGTCATCCAACCTGAAAAATTAAGGCGGATTCATACATCACAAATATACAGGATTGTTATTTTATGAAATGTAAATAACATATAGTATGCATTTTTTTTTCGGACATTATTTGTCCAATAACGTCGCCAACAGACCATAATAGATGACAGACAGACGGAAACGGGAAACCGATTTTTCATACTTCAGGAGTCATGAAATATCGAAATTGGCCTTACCTCACGACGAGGAAGTAAAAATAAAAAAAAAACCTAAATTTCAAACTTATAAATCAACTATTTTTTACTTTGGTAGACACAACTGCGTCGTTCCTTTTATTTCAGAAAACACTAAACTCAAAAGACATATACAGGGTGTATTTTATATCGTATTTTTGATAAAAGCAAAATTAAAAACATTTAAAGTAGAAAAAAAGACTGTTTTGTATTTTTTACCAGGTCTACGAAATATATTCCTTGAAAAATGTTGAAATTTGATTTTGCGACATTTATTTGTCACAATCTCTAGATATAAAAATATAAATAGTAACAGTAACAGTGTATTAAAAAAGAAAGGCCAAATGGGGAATCGAACACACGATCCTTTTCGTACTGCAAATCCGAGCTCGGTAACTTTTACGGTTGGGCTACCAAATCCTCGTTTATAAATGGTCTTAGGTACATAGTTTGGATTTTTCGCGAAAATTCATTATTTTGCCACCATCTCTTCAAATGACAGAGAAAAATCCACATTTTCTAGTCTTTCGAATTAATAAAATTCGATCAGATCTACCGAGCGAGGTATATAATCTCATCTAGAATTTTCTCAGGAGAAAAATACACATTTATCTAACCCCCTATATTTTTTCGAATTGAAAAAATTCCTCCAAATCGATCAATCGAGGTACCTATCGCATGTATAATTTTCTCAGGATTACAATTCCGTCATTATTTTTCCAGTATCTCTTGAAATTGTGGAGAAAAATAGACATTTACCCGACCCCCTATATTTTTTCGAATTAAAAAAATCGTCCAAATCAATCGAGCGAGGTATCTATCTCATGTAGAATTTTCTCAGGATTAGAATTCCGTCATTATTTTTCCAGTATCTCTTGAAATTACGAAGCAAAATACACATTTATATGGCCCCCTACATTTTTTCGAATTAAAATATTCATTTCAATGACTACTCTTAATAGTGTTCAGTCTTATCTTAGGAAATACTAGCCCCGCCCACCCGCCCTCTATTTTCTTGGAGAGTATATCATTTGAAAAAATTAGTCTCAACAAGTATCAGTCCCGTCCAGTCGCGCTCAATGTTATTACGTCATTTGCCAAAATTAGTCTTAATTTGGCAAATATTAGGTTCGCCCACCCACCCTCCATTTTCTTAGAAGGAATGTAATTTGCCAAAATTAGTCTTAACTTAGCAAATACTAAGCGCATCTGCCAAAAGTAAAAAATGATATTGTAGAGCATATTTGCGAATTATTATTAAATTAAAAATTCGTCCAAATCGACCAAGCGAGGTACCTATCCCATGTAGAATTTACTCAGGATTACAATTCCGCCATTATTTTTTTAGTATCTCTTTAAATCACGGAGAAAAATAGACATTTACCAGACACCCTATGTTTTTTCGAATTAAAAAAATCGTCCAAATCGATCCAGCGAGGTACCTATCCCATGTATAATTTTCTCAGGATTACAATTCCGTCATTATTTTTCCAGTATCTCTTGAAATTACGAAGAAAAATACACATTTATATGGCCCCCTACATTTTTTCGAATTAAAATATTCATTTCAATGACTACTCTTAATAGTGTTCAGTTTTATCTTAGCAAATACTAGCCCCGCCCACCCGCCCTCTATTTTCTTGGAGAGTATATCATTTGAAAAAATTCGTCTCAACAAGTATTAGTCCCGCCCAGTCGCCCTTTATGTTCTTAGGTCATTTGCCAAAATTAGTCTTAATTTGGCAAGTACTAGGCCCGCCCACCCACCCTCCATTTTCTTAGAATGAATGTCATTTGCCAAAATTAGTCTTAACTTAGCAGATACTAAGTGCATCTGCCAAAAGTAAAAAATGATGTTATGGAGCATATTCGCGAATTATTCTTTAATTAGAAAATTCGTCCAAATCGACCAAGCGAGGTACCTATCCCATGTAGAATTTACTCAGGATTACAATTCCGCCATTATTTTTTTAGTATCTTTTTAACTTACGGAGAAAAATAGACATTTACCCGAACCCCTATATTTTTTCGAATTAAAAAAATCGTCCAAATCGATCGAGCGAGGTATCTATCTCATGTAGAATTTTCTCAGAAATACAATTCCGCCATTAGATTTCCAATATCTCTTCAAATTACGGAAAAAGAGACACATTTATATGACCCCCTACATTTTTTCGAATTAAAAAATTCATTTTAATGACCACTCTTAATATTGCTCAGTCTTATCTTAACAAATACTAGCCCCGCCCACCCGCCCTCTATTTTCTTGGAGAGTATATCATTTGAAAAAATTAGTCTCAACAAGTATTAGTCCCGCCCAGTCGCCCTCTATGTTATTAGGTCATTTGCCAAAATTAGTCTTAATTTGGCAAATATTAGGTCCGCCCACCCACCCTCCATTTGCTTAGAATGAATGTCATTTGCCAAAATTAGTCTTAACTTAGCAGATACTAAGTGCATCTGCCAAAAGTAAAAAATGATGTTGTGGAGCATATCCGCGAATTATTCTTAAATTAAAAAATTCGTCCAAATCGACCAAGCGAGGTACCTATCCCATACAGAATTTACTCAGGATTACAATTCCGCCATTATTTTTTTAGTATCTTTTTAACTTATGGAGAAAAATAGACATTTACCCGAACCGCTATATTTTTTCGAATTAAAAAAATCGTCCAAATCGATCGAGCGAGGTACCTATCTCATGTAGAATTTTCACAGAAATACAATTCCGCCATTAGCTTTCCAGTATCTCTTCAAATTACGGAGAAAAAGACACATTTATATAACCCCCTACATTACGAGGTACCTATCCCATGTAGAATTTTCTCAGGATTACAATTCCGTTATTATTTTTCCATTATCTCGTGAAATTACGGAGAAAAATATACATTTATATGACCCAGTACATTTTTTCGAATTAAAAAATTCATTGACTACTCTTACTATTGCTCAGTCTTATTTTAGCAAATACTAGCCTCACCCACCGCCCTCTAGTTTCTTGGAGAGTATATCATTTGCAAAAATTAGTCTTAGCAAGTATTAGCCCCGCCCAGTCGCTCTCTATGTTCTTAGAAAGTATATCATTTGCCAAAATTAGTCTTAATTTGGCAAGTGCTAGGCCCGCCCACCCACCCTCCATTTTCTTAGAAGGAATGTCATCTGCCAAAATTAGTCTTAACTTAGCAAATACCAAGTGCATCTGTCAAAAGTAAAAAATGATGTTGTGGAACGAGCATATTCGCAAATTATTATTATTAATAAATTAAAAAGGTCGTCCAAATCGACCGAGCGAGGTAACTTTCTCACATAGAATTTTCTCAGTATTACAATTCCGTCATTATTTTTCCAGTATCTCTTCAAATTAGGAAGAAAAATACATATTAACCCGACCCCTATATTTTTCCGAATTAAAAAAATTCGTCTAATCCATCGAGCGAGGTGCTTATCTCATGTATTTAGAATTTTCTCATAAGTACAATTCTTTCATTATTTTTCCAGGATCTCTTGAAATTACGGAGAAAAATATACATTCATATGACCCCCAACATTTTCTCGAATTAAAAAATTCATTGACTACACTTAATATTGCTCAGTCTTATCTTAGCAAGTACTAGCCCTGCCCACCCGCCCTCTATTTTCTTGGAGAGTATATTATTTGAAAAAATTAGTGTTAGCAATTATTAGCCCCGCCCAGTCGCTCTCTAAGTTCTAAGAGGGTACATCATTTGCCAAAGTTAGTTTTAATTTGGCAAGTACTAGGCCCGCCCACCCACCCTCCATTTTCTTAGAAGGAATGTCATCTGCCAAAATTAGTCTTAACTTAGCAAATACTAAGTGCATCTGTCAAAAGTAAAAAATGATGTTGTGGAGCATATTCTCGAATTATTATTAAATTAAAAAAATCGTCCAAATCGACCGAGCGAGGTACCTATCTCACATAGAATTTTCTCAGGATTACAATTCCATCATTATTTTCCCAGTATCTCTTCAAATTAGAAAGAAAAACCCATATTAGCCCGACCCTTATATTTTTTCCGATTAAAAAAAATCGTCCAATCCATCGAACGAGGTGCCT